CTGCACCGCACAGCTATTCCGCTCTCTCTCTCTTTCCTCTCTCTCTCTCTCTCTCTCTCTCTCTCTCTCTCCTCTATCTCTCTCTCCTCTCTCTCGCGCTCTCTCGCTCTCTCTCTCGCTCTCTCTCTCGCTCTCTCTCGCTCCTCCTCGCTCTCTCTCTCGCTCTCTCTCTCGCTCTCTCTCTCCGCTCTCTCTCTCGCTCTCCTCTCTCTCTCTCTCGCGCTCTCTCTCTCTCGCTCTCTTCGCTCTCTCTCTCGCTCTCTCCCTCTCTCTCTCGTCTGTCTCCGCTTCGCTCTCTCTCTCTCTCTCTCTCTCTCTCATCTCTCGTCTCTCTCTCTCTCCTCTCTCTCTCTCTCTCTCTCTCTCTCGCTCTCTCGCTCGCCCCCACAGAGCGCCCCGTGCGTGCGAGCGAGACAGAGACAGCGACGGCTAGCGACGGCGGGCGTGCGGAGTGCGGTAGTCCGGGCCCCGGCCTGGCCCCGACCGCGGAAGGCGGGCCGGAGGGGAGCGCCTTGCAGCACGGCGATGCCCGCCCGCCCGACAGGGGTGCCGGCGGGCTGCCTACCCGCCGGGCTGTTGGCCGCTGGCTGCTGCTCTGGCTGGACGGGCCGTGGAGTGGAGGGCACGGCCTACGGCTGCTGCTGCTGCCCAGGCGCGGTTTAGGGGGCCTCCGACAGGAGGGGCGGTTGTGTATATTTTGCCTACCTACAGGGGCATGTGATGCTGGTTGCCTACTATCAGGCGTTTAGGGGATCTCACAGGGGGGGAATCGCCGCTTCGCCCCCCCCCTTAAACCGCGCCTGCTGCTGCCACTGTGCTTTATCCGCGATGGGCATAGGGATGGTGTTTCTGTTTTGTCGGGTTTTTTGGGACTTCCCTTTCCCCCCCGGGTTTTCCGTTTGCCCCCTCTCCCTCTCTCTCCTCTCTCTCTCTCTCTCTCTCTCTCTCTCTCTCTCTCTCTCTCTCTCTCCCCTCCTCTCTCTCTCTTTTCTGCTCTCTTCTCTCTCTCTGTCTCTCTCTCTCTCTCTCTCTCTCTCTCTCTCTCTCTCTCGACCTTGGGTCGATGTGCGAGCGGTTTGCAACGAGGAGGTGACCTCCCCAAGGGTGACCCAGTGCGACTTATGACCGGGGCGCCCCAGTGCGAACCCCGGGTCTGGGTGGGCGGCGGCCCCCTCCTCCGGGCGTGGCAGTGTGCCGCCGGCCGGGTCGTCTTATCGCGGCGAATCGAACAAGCGTCGAGGTATCGATTGGAGCGCAGTGCCCGCCGTGGCGTGACCACCCCACCGCCCGGCCCGGCCCGGCCTAGACTCGTGTCGCCGAGCCTGGCGGTCATGTCCTCTAGGCTCGGTGGGACTCGCGGCGTTTTGGCGCGGCTTGCGGCCACTTCCTCCGCCCGCCCGGCCCGGCCGTGGTCGAGCACGCCATGCACACCGGGGTCGCGCGGCCACTACACTGTAGCGGTCGCATCCCCCGGACTTTGGTTGTCACTCGCACGGCGTGAAGGCTGTGGTTCGTTACGGCCGGTTCCGCTGAGGGTGCTGCGGGCGAGGCGCTGCACAGTGGGTCAGAAGACCGGTGGAGGCGGCCAAAACTCTAGACGCGTTTTGAGCTCCGGAGTCGCTAAATGGGACTCGAACCGGACGTGTGACCCCACCGATGGATTGCTCTCCGAACGAGGAATCCATTGGTGAGGTCACACGTTCGGTTTGAGTTCCGTTTACCGAGTCTGCAGCTCAAAACGCGTCTTGAATTTTGGTCGCGCCCACCGGTCTTCTGGCCCACTGTGCGCTGAAGGCCTGGCCGGCGTCGAGGAAGCTCTGCGTGCGGCGCAATGCGGCGCCGCCTCCGCACTTCGACGTGCCATATTTTCCTGGGGCGGTGGCGTGTTAATGAGGATAGTTGGCTTGCAAACACGGCTCCCTTCGCTGGCTTGTCGCGGCACACGCGAGAACATATGCCGCCCGGCCGCAGCGCAGGTAGGCGAGGCAGCGATCGTTACCTCACGTTTCTATCCCTGGCCGAGAGAGAGAGAGAGAGAGAGAGAGAGAGAGAGAGAGGAGAGAGAGAGAGAGAGAGAGAGCGAGAGAGAGAGAGGAGAGAGAGGAGAGAGGAGGAGGGGGGAGGGGGAGGGAGAGAGAGGAGAGGAGGGGGAGAGGGGGCGGGGAGAGAGGGAGGGGGGGAGAGAGAGAGGGAGAGAGCGAGAGGAGGAGAGGGAGAGGGAGAGAGAGAGAGGAGGGAGGGGAGAGGGAGGAGAGAGGGAGGAGAGGAGGGGGAGAGGGGGCGAGAGAGAAGGCCCCAATGGACCCAGCGCCGCTTTGAGGCTGGCCCTGCTCTGCTCGGCCAAGAGAGCTGGCCGCTTCTTCTTTACAAACCACTCCGAAATCACTGTTTCATTTTTTTACCCGAGGCTTTGTCTTTGATTTTGATGATGTCGGGGACCAAAGCATGTTTCCACGAAAAGATAAAATCCTTTTCGGAAACAGTTTCATCTGGATGGCCTGCGTGGAACCGCGCGCCGCGTGATTCCGAAGAGTGCCTTCTCGGCGTCGCTCGAGGCGATGATTTTTTCCCCTCTTTTCTTTTCTCTCTTTTTCCTCCTTTCTCCTTCTCTCTCTCTCCTCTCTCTCTCTCTCTCTCCCCCCTTCTCTCTCTCTCCCCCCCCTCTCTCTCTCTCTCTCTCTCTCTCTCTCTCTCTCTCTCTCTCTCCCCCCCTCTCTCTCTCACAGGGCGTAGCGGCCGCGCGCGGCGTGATTCCAAAGAGTGCCTTCTTCTCGGCGTCGCTCGAGGCGGGTGATGTGCCTCTCTCTCTCGCACTCACGGGGCGTGGCGGCCGCGCGACGAAAGCACCCTTCGGGATGAGGCTGGTGCGCGTAAAGGCGGAAACGGCACTGCGGCGAGGCGGGGCGCTGAGTCTGCGGCGGGCTGCGTCGCTCCGTCTCTCTGGCGCGGCGCCCCGTGCGGGTGCGAGAGAGACGGAGCGACGTTTGGACTCGGCCTGCCGGGTAACGCGGCGGGCCAACATCCAACCTTCTGCGTGTATTTACCCTGTGTGCGTGGCGCGGCCGTGCGGCCGGGGCGAGGCCGCTGTGTAAAGTTTGGCGCGGTGGTGAGCCTGTTGGAGCCGCCAGTCGCCGCCGCGGTGGGTCCCTTTTCCTCTTTGTCCCTTTCCTTTTCCCCCTCCCCCTGCCTCTCGATTCATCGCCCTCCCTTTAGACCGCCTTCGCATTATAGATGAGAGTTGCACAGTGATGCATTACTATTCATGTCGTCCCGGGGGCCCGGGGGGCTGCGAGGCTGCGAGGGGCGCGCCGGCGGGGGGAAGGGGGCGGGCGTCCCGATACACCGCGCCCCAATCAAGGAGGGGGCTGCCGACACCCCGCGGCCCAACGGCCCGACGCACAGGCTGCCTTGAAGGCTGCCCGCCCGCACAGTGGGCCAGAAGACCGGTGGAGGCGGCCAAAACTCCAGACGCGTTTTGAGCTCTAGAGTCGCTCGACAGGACTCGAACCGAACGTGTGACCCCACCAATGGATTCCTCGTTCGGAGAGAAATCCATCGTTGGGGTCACACGCTCGGTTCGAGGCCCATTTAGCGACTCTGGAGCTCAAAACGCGTCCGGAGTTTTGGCCGCCTCCACCGGTCTTCTGGCCCACTGTGACCCGCCCGGCACAGGAGGGTGGTTTCGTCGCTCTGTCTTTGTCGCACTCGTGGGGCTCTCCGGAAGGGCGTGAGAGAAACGGAGCGACAAACCAGCTGGACGGTCGGCCGTGGCGGTTCTGATTCATGTGGCGCTCTTTCTTGCCTCCCCGGGATCGCCCTCGCCCTCCTCCTCCTTGTTTCCAATTAAGGCCCTGAGTGGCTTCCCCGGGCGGCCGGCCTGGCCGGCGTGGCTGGCGGGGCGCCCCCCGCTAACTGGATCACCTTCTCGTCGCACGCCACAGTCCGGGGGGCTGCGGTCGTGTGTGTGCGTGTGTGGCTGTGTGTGTGTGTGTGTGTCTGGTGGGCCCGGGCCTGTTGTCAATCTGTTCGCCGCGATTGCGGCCCGGTGCTGCTCGTGGCGGTTGCGCCGTGGACGGTTGCTCACGTGGGTGGGCCGGGAGGGGCGGGTCCGGGTTCGGGGTGGTCGAGCCGAGCCGAGCCGCCGTCTGGGGAGCCACTCGGCGCTGCGCCCAGCGGCCCAGCGTGAAGCGGGGCTCTGGGGCTGCAGGGGCTGCGTGTCCGCAGGGGGCTGTGTGTTTTTCAGTCTCATAATGCCCCCCGAATGGCTGCCAACGGCTCCGAATGGCTTTGGGAAAGCATGGCAGAGCACTCTGCTCATTTCCGCGCGTTGCTGCTCATCTCCGTCCCTTTCCGGCCGCTTCGCCCCCCCCCCTTTCCCCCTCCTCCCCTCCCGCTCCGGTCCAGGCGGTCCGTGCCCCACCCCCCGCCCGCCACCCACTCGGCCAAGGCGGGCTGCTGCCGCTGCCTCCGCTGTGCCGCGCTGCAGGGGCACCAGGGGCACGGAGGGCACGGGCACGGCACCGCGGGCATACTGGGTAGGCCGAGGGGAAGGCCGAGGGGAAGGCCGAGGGGAAGGCCGAGGGGAAGGCCGAGGGGAAGGCCGAGGGGAAGGCCGAGGGGAAGGCCGGGGGGAAGGCCGGGGGGAAGGCCGAGGGGAAGGCCGAGGGGAAGGCCGAGGGGAAGGCCGAGGGGAAGGCCGAGGGGAAGGCCGAGGGGAAGGCCGGGGGAAGGCCGAAGGGCCCGTGAAGGCCGAGGGGAAGGCCGAGGGGAAGGCCGAGGGCGGCCGGGGGAAGGCCGGGGGGAAGGCCGGGGGAAGGCCGCGGGGAAGGCCGCGGGGAAGGCCGAGGGGAAGGCCGAGCCCTGGGCCGACCGACGGCTGACCCGCCGCGCATGGCTGCGTTCAACGCCGGAACCCCCCTTTAAAAACGTTCCCCCGAACGAGCGTGACGAAGTCACGACACTGACGCCTAACCGCCGCCTTGCGTTTCGTTTCGTTTCAGACACTCCATTCCCGCCCAGTCACAAGCTGAGCGTGACGGAATGCTTCGACCAGCGGACGGGCAAGCCCAAGCCCGACGTGCTCAAGCAGCACTTCTTCGCGGAGGGCCGCATCGACGAGGCCGCCGCGCTCAAAATCGTCCACGAGGGCGCCACCCTGCTCAAGTCAGAGAAGACCATGATCGAGATCGAGGCCCCCGTCACAGGTGAGTGAATGAAAAAGAAAAACACGCTTATTTTTATAAAGAAGTTAAGTCGGGAATTTTCGAAAACCACATTATTCCGGGTGCATTTTTCAGTATGCGGAGATATTCACGGGCAGTTCTACGACCTGATGAAGCTCTTTGAGGTGGGCGGCCCACCAGCCACCACCAAGTACCTGTTTCTTGGTGACTATGTAGACAGAGGGTACTTTAGCATTGAGGTGAGTAAAGAAATTGCGGTCTGTTTAAATTTTGGATTGGAAGGAAGAATGTTATAGATTGGTGTCGTGTTTTGTTGCAGTGTGTGTTATACTTATGGGCACTGAAGCTTTGCCATCCAACTACTCTATTTCTATTACGAGGAAACCATGAATGTAGGCACTTGACAGAATACTTCACGTTTAAACAAGAATGTAAGTGTTGTGGGCTTTTTATGAAATGTACTGAAGTCACTTTCTCATGAAGCCTAGCCTATCATAAATTTGTTTGCTTCATTGTGTATTTGCAGGTAAAATAAAATATTCAGAAAGAGTTTATGATGCCTGTATGGATGCTTTCGATTGCCTGCCACTAGCAGCGCTTATGAACCAACAATTCCTCTGTGTTCATGGTGGCCTTTCTCCAGAGATTCACGTCCTAGATGACATCAGAAGAGTATGTCTCATGGGCATAATTTTGTTCTTTGTGCTTAAGATCATTTTTGTTCCAAATTGATTGGCTCTTATCTCTCTCTATCTAGTTGGACCGGTTTAAGGAGCCTCCTGCCTTTGGACCAATGTGTGATTTGTTGTGGTCAGATCCTTTGGAAGACTTTGGCAATGAGAAAAACGTAGAGCACTTCACACACAATAGCGTTCGAGGCTGCTCATACTTTTACAGGTAAGTCACCTTTAAAAGATGATGAAATTTGTATTTCTTCGGTTGTTATCACAATAACAAATTTTTGTAATTATTTATCTTGCAGTTACGCAGCATGCTGTGACTTCCTGGCTAACAATAATTTGCTCTCAATAATCAGAGCTCATGAAGCCCAAGATGCAGGGTAAGTAAAGCAATCACGTTTAATGAAACTTTTGAAAAGACTAGGACCTGTTAATCCGTCCCTTTTTTTGTGTCCGTTCACTTTCCCTCCAGGTATCGGATGTACCGTAAAAGTCAAGTTACTGGATTCCCTTCCCTCATTACTATATTTTCTGCACCAAATTACCTTGATGTATACAACAATAAGGTTCGTAGCCCGGTTTATGTTACTTCCGATGTCTCTTCATCTGATCTAATTTGTTTTGTCTCATGTCTGTCTTTCCAGGCTGCTGTTTTGAAGTATGAAAACAATGTTATGAACATCAGGCAATTTAACTGCTCACCCCATCCTTACTGGCTTCCAAATTTCATGGATGTATTCACATGGTCCCTGCCATTTGTTGGTGAAAAGGGTAAGTTAACATACAAATGGCTCTCATGAGATCACGCTTTTAGTTTGGTGTTTCTTGAAATCCTCAAATATGATTTTACTTTTACAGTCACTGAGATGCTGGTAAATGTCCTCAGTATCTGCTCAGATGATGAGCTTATGTCTGATGGAGACGAAACTCTTGAAGAAGGTGAGAAAATTAATGAATCTTTTTTTCTATATTCATTTTTTAAATTATTATTGACTGATTCTAAGATACTTTCCTCCTTAATTGGATTTTCCTTCCGTGTCTTCTGGTCGTTGTCAGTATTACAAAAGTGTCCAACACTTATGATTCCCGGTTAATGTAGCATTAGTTTGTTTTTCATTATCATATAACATCCTTGCAGAACATGAGACCTGTGTAGTGAATTCACATCCTTTTCCCTCTATGTTTTAAGATATCGCCTTTTATGTGTTTATTTCCATTTTATTACTATGTGTGTTAATTTTATGTGTCTTTTTGTAAATTTCGTGCGGATTACGTTGAAGCTGATGGTAAGAATCAGTTCAACATCATTATATGTAGACAGCACACTGTAGCCATGCCTGCTTATAGCAATTCATTTACTTGGGAATTCTGAAGAGTAATGTAGCTCTCTTGTACACTCGATTGTTGCTTTATTTGTTGCACTGGGCTCTTCTTATTTCTATCTCAGTGGAGATACCAACTGAGGTCTCCTCTCACCACCTGTCACTATGTAGTTTGTGTGCATCTCAAGTGCTGGGAGCATCGAATTTTGAAAAATTGGGGATTACATTTTTAAGTGGGTGTATAATGTGATGATGGTTCCCAAAGCTTCAAGCATTATGGCAATCAGATTTTTTTATAGGCCTGTGCTTATGTGAAATCACTCTTGTTGTTGGCGAGTAAAATTGTTAGCTGAAGATTTGAAGAATTCCACTGACCACAAAACACTTCTGCTGTTTCAAGTATGACACATTTTGCCTTTTGGAGGTGTCTTCTTACATTTCAGATTTTGTCTTTAGTAGGTTTAAGCTAGTAAACCTAGCACACACTTTGCTTTTGACATTGTAAAGCCATACTCATGTGTCCCTCCCCCCTCCCCATTTCTTGTAAATTTCTGTTTTGACCTCTCCCTTTTCAAACAGGCATTTGTTAGTCTCAAAATATTGATAATCATAAAGGTAATATGCATATTAAGTTATTTTGATTCAATGAAAGATGAGGTTTTATCTTTCACCAAACAAAAAGTTAAATTGTACAGTTGCCTTGATTGTGCGAATTCCAAATTGTGTACATAATGGCCCAGAAGCATTTTTCAGTTTAAGCTGAAGTAGCTTAAAACATGCAAACACAATGAGAAAAACTGCTTAAAGCACCCTGTGCCTGCTTGATCACAGCATTAATGTGAATGCCCTCAGGGCATTGTAACTGTGCACACTAGTGAAATATCATGGTAATCTATTATTGTGTTCATCTGACCAAGAAATGTGCCAAATTTATGCCTTGTTTTAGGTTGAAAATGTGCACATCTCTGCAAGCTTTTCAAAATTTCTCAATTCATACGTTAATGCCTCCAAGTAAAGAGACTCAGCCTGGAATAGCTTTAACAGTGCCAACATTAATTCTGTTTCAACTTCTTTTTCTTTTGATTGCTCTTCTTTTAAAACAAATCAAGGAGATTATGTATCCTTTTTTTGAAAATGTGAGTGTGATAAGTAGTTTTCGGCGTTTCCCAATACCCAAGGAATGCTGCTACTGATAATCTCATACTTTTTTTTCTTTTTGTCATGAGTTCTGGCCATAGCTCGTCAATTGCAAAATGTGACAGTGTTTGCTCATGTCATCCATTTTAGGGGACAGTCCTCTGTGGAAAAGCTTATATTTCATCATTTTCTCATATCTTTATAAATAATAATTATGAAAGCACTTCTTGGCGAAAAATGCTATCTTTGTATTTTTCAAACTATTCGGTCCCAGCATTGAGTGAATGTCATGTGAATTGCTTGCTCACGTTTGTCTCACTCAGTGCCCAGTGCTTTCGGACTTGTTCACCTATCTGATTTGCCTTCTTACTTTTACCTTCTATTTTTGCCTTGGACCCCACAAATGCCGGTTCCCTCAGCGAAAGTTATTTTAAGACCTAAGAGTGGTAAGTGCCTGTGATGAAGACTACAAGCTTGGGTTTCCATCTAACTGAGTGCAATGCAGTGTCGGCCACTCCTTACACGCTTCCTTCCCCTTTTCTGTTTATTTCTCTTATTTTTTTCATTTTTCTTGCTCTTTGATATTTGCCTTTTAACCAGAACTGTCCTAACTCTAATGTTCAAGCTTGATGAAGCCTGTCGTAGGGCAGGTTACTGAATAGATAGTCAGTTTTTTAATTGGTGGTCTCAGTAGTATATGCAGATAGTCACAAGTTACCAGGCTGATTCAAGTTCCCTGGTTTCTTTGTTACTCAAAGGATCTTAATTGGTTAAATTACCTGTCAGAAGTTATTTTATTGAGTGAAGCAGATCTGGTTTAAGGGACAGTTGTCTCTCTTTGCTCTTTCTCAATCTTTCCTCTCTTTAACTTTTTCATAATTTCTCTATCGCCAGGTTTCTTTTTTAAATTTTTGAGTTTTGTTTTTAACTTGATTTTAATTTTAAATTGATCAAATAACAGCATGCAGTAGTGCAACATACCCTCACATAGAGGAAATCACAGTTGCTATGCATTCAATTGTTCTTAATGTTACAAAGAAGTCTATCACCAAAATGCTTTTTCATTCTGTATCTTTTGTCTATAATTATTCATTGATTTAATGAAAAAACTGAGTTAGTTGGTAAAAAATAACGGGTATCTTTGAAAAATATCACTTTTCTAAATAGTTAGCTCTACAACATTGATTTCACTTGATTGACATTAAATGTTCTAAATACCTTAGTCTCCAAAAATTTCCTTTTTTTGTCTTTTTTTTTAAATTTTTAATATCTATCTTGCATTTTCTGTCTTCTTCTGGGTCTACTTCTTCTTTGTCTGTAAACATGTCATTTAGAGCGTGTTTTAATCTTATTGGTGGACTTTGTAAAGTAACAAGTCTTGAGAGAACAGGCCGGCAATTTGTGTAGTCAGGTTTCCTTTGTCACATTTCAATTTTGGTGTCAGATTGTCTTCTTTCTGGACACATCCTAATTGCTTGCACACCAAAGTTTCATCAATTGGATCAATGTGGATTGAGAGTTGATACTGATGATTAGGGGGAGGGGCATTTTCTTATAATGGCTCATCTTTTACACACCCTCAATTTTGCCTCTGCACCCACACAGCACTATATGTAGTGAAGTCTCAGTGAAAAAAGGTGTTGCATAGAGTATCTGCGTTCTTATTCTGGGCTTGTTTATTTCTTTCATTTGTGCCTAATTTTGGCATGCTATTTTCAAAATGAGTTCAAAATGTTCATTACGTCAGTCAGCATGGTCGGGGGTTGATACTTTACCTGCGGATTTTGTTGTTAGTTTCCAATAGACTGACGTTAATGTGAACAGTCCTAGATGCACAAGTCACAAAATTCTTACTCCTATGCCCCTTGCATGCCTTTTGCTGCACATTAAACCATTTTTTTTTCTTTCTCCACAGAACAGCTTAGTTTGTTTGACTTGTTTTGGTTTCGTCTTTTTTGTTGATGTTTTTTAGACTAGCAGCATTTCATCCTAGCCTTCAGACTCAGTCCCTGCATGTTATTTTTTAGCATCCTTATTCAACTGCAGCTAAAACTCTGATGAATGATTTCATTATATTTTCTGCATCAATTTCATTGCATTTTCTCCTTGTTTTTTTGACCATGCGTATTGTTTAAGGCTGAAGTGGCAATGTGGAAAAAATTCAATTGTATCTTAGCACATTTGTGAACAACCTTTACTTCTGCCTTTTAATTTTAAAGAAATTCGATGCATTAGTAGTTGTACCAGGTAAGGGAGAAAACCAAATCTTTTGAGTTTTTTTTTTTTTTTGCTCTCAGCCCCACATCATGCATATTTGTCCCCTCCGGCCTGTGGGGAGGAGTGTTTGTTGGTACTTCAGGAAGATGATTGTGTTTCTGCCCCACCTGATTGCTCATTTTTATTTCATGTCTCTTCTGTTTAATTTGATGCAGCTCTTATGAAGTTGTGAAGAGTTGCTTTCTTATAAATTTTTGAGGTCTGCTGGCCCTTGAAAGGAAGTAAAAATGTTCACCATAATAGGATATTTTGCAAGCTATTTTAATTGAATGGACTATTACCAAGATACGCATGTTAGATTTGTCAGAAATTGTTTTTGAAGATGGTCCAAATTGCCAATGGTCAAATTGGTCAATGGTCAATTTCTGATTTGATTTTCTTTTCACCCTAAGATGAAGGAAAATTTTTCCAAGAGTAGTTTGAGACTGCAAGCTTACTTGGATTTGCATACTTTGAATACGAACAACAGCATGTTGCAGTAACTTAGATCTGCACTAGATATCTCCGTACTATGTTGATCATTGTTTTGAAAAGAAAAATGCAAGAAAATGCCATTTATTTGTACTGTTGGAGTGCTGTCTGCCACTTTCTATTTTGCTAAATCAGATGACACACTCAACTCTAGTGAATTGTATCATCTATTTCTCTTCTGCAAAACCTGACAGTTTTGTTTTTACAAATATCTTAGTTTGGATTTTTAGATTGTATCTGCTCTTTGGCAGAAAACTCAGACTGTATGTTTTCATGCCTAAACTATGTTGAATTTGGACTGATCTGCATAAACACTGCCATATAACTGCTGTAATATATCAATACATGTTGCTTTTGTATCTTGGTATGAGTCTGTTATGTTTCTGAAGCAAATGATGTATTTTCTGTCCATGTATGCCATGGTATCAGCATATGCTGCCATAAATCCATGCTCATATTTGACTTGATGAAGTAATGTTTTTCACACTTTGCACTTTTTTTCTTCCCATAATTTCACGCTTTTCGCGCCGAATGGTACGCCTACTGCCGATCTCAATTCCTACTCGGCCTGTTCGACGACTGATTTGTTGGTGAGTTGCTGCGTTGCCCCAATTTATGTGTGTAAAAAGTTGTAGTGGAGTGTGTGGCTTGTAGTTCTTGCGCCTCTAAACAGATAACTGACTGTAAGCTCTTCAAACAAACGTTTAGGAAATGGTTTGAAGCAGTAAGCAACTCACTTAATGCCTTTGTAGAAGTGCTGTTTTGTGAACAGTTTTGTTATGGGAGTGGGTGGGCAGTTTCTGTGTGCTTTCTTGTTTCTGCATGCAAGCAAAAAACAAAAACTTGTATTATTATTTTGCAATGTTTAGTATAATATTATAGTTCCTGCTTTTAAGTTTTGTTTTATGTTCTGACTGCCATTCAATGTACATAGTGCATAAGTTGTAACTCTCTTCCCCTTATTTTGCTGCTGGGTAGACATTGCTGCTGGAAGATGAATTGATTTTATTGTCTTTGCTTGTTTTGAGAGCAAAGCTGTTACAAGTGGCCTGGTATTCAGATCTTTTCATGTTGAAGAAGTTTTTATGCTACTTTTTAAATTTGAGTTCTTGTAGAAAATTTATTGCATCATGGAAAAGAACACGTAATTATTTTAAATGTAGTTTTTAATAGTGAGATTTATTATTTTTTCCTAGACAACTTGACATAGAATTTATTGGGTTCATAACAAAGTGTAGCGAACTGTGAATTACAGCCATTGAAGGAAGGAGAGGACTCCTTGACAGTAACACCACTGTGACCTTTATTGCTTCAAAGTTCTCTTCTCAATGTTTTGGGTTGTAAAATCCTTCTCTGGGTATTATTTGTCAAGGACTTCTACATTTTCCCTTGAACAGCTTCTTGTTTTCCTCAGTTGTGTCTTGCCGACTTTGTGTGCTGTGAAATTTGTGTTGCTTCTTCTAGCGCATGTTCCTTATAGCTCTGTGGTTGACTAGAAATGACTCCTTTGGATTATGCTGAAGTGAATTAGCATTGTAATACAGTATCATAGTATGGTAAATTGATATCCCAAGTGGGAGCCATAGGAGACCTCCTGATAGATTGTAACTTCACTGACTTAATAAGCGGTATGTTTCATACATTATGATGAACCTTTTCATATCTTCGAAGCTGTAGAGGTAGAGTTTAAGCTTTTGCTACGGTTCCCTCCAAAGAACAGTTGAATTGATACGATAACTGTAAAGCAGTTAAGTTGTTACGGCTTTGCTTTGCGGGGTATGTCAAGTTTCTGTTCTGTGAATCTGATGAGACACCTACCACTGTTGTACCAGAGGTGTTGAGTCAGCACTGAAGGATTGCTGCCAAGGAGCGGATTATGGTAGAGAAGTGATAATCTTTCTACTCTGGAGTATTGTTGTGGTCTGTCATATATACGTGTTCCCTTTATGTGTCTCCTTTCTTCCTGGTGGATTGGAAACTTTGGATCTTTTTACCTCTAGTTTTTGGTGTTTGAGTGTGTCTTTGTTTTTCTGTGGTGTTTGTGCTGTGGGTTTGTTAGAGTTTCTTGTGCCACGAATATAGTAGATTTGTGCTCAATTGGTCTGTTTCTTGTCTGGCCTTGAGTTAGTGAAGAGATTGGCCTAGAATAATACCTCAAAGAAAACATTTGAAAGAAATTCTATACAGAAAACTTTATTATCCTAACAGAAAGAAACAGCCAAAGCTTTGGCTCAAACCTCTACTTATCGGGCCCTTGTAAAATGAGATTCCAGTTTTGCCTTTAGTTGACACACAGCTTATGCTGGGAGCCCCTTTGCTGTCAACAGGGCACAAATCATTTTCATGTTCTTATAATACATGTTTTGCTTAATACAGGTGCTGCAGCAAACCTAAGGAAAGAAGTAATTCGCAACAAGATTCGGGCAATAGGAAAAATGGCCAGAGTCTTCTCAGTTCTTAGGTAAGTCATGTTAAAATCTAGTGTCTAGAAAATTGATTGCTTTGAGATCAAATCAGCCTTCAAAATTGTCTTGTGTGCATTGTTAGTTCAGTTTTGTTTTGTGTTGTTTTTCAGAGAGGAAAGTGAAAGTGTCCTACAACTTAAAGGTCTCACTCCTACTGGTTCCTTACCTCTTGGAGCGCTATCAGGTGGTAAAACGTCTCTCAAGAATGGTAAGTGTTCTGGATTATTATTTCAAATTATGGTACAAACTTGTATGTCAGTCTACTTATTGTGATCTTCCCCACAGCCTTGCAGGGCTTCTCACCAAATCACAAAATTACTTCATTTGCGGAGGCCAAAGGCTTAGATGCTATCAATGAAAGAATGCCTCCCCGAAGAGATGCTTCCCCCACACCAGCTGTTGAAGAAAAGCCGCTGGTTAAGGCTGATCCCTCCTCTTCATCTGCTACCCGCTAAGGAGTCGACTAGTGCGTGTGACCGCCTGGTTGAGGTATAGCTTTTTCCTGTGTACATTTGAAAAGTTGTTCATATTTCTTGCATTTCAAAAAAATAAATTTTTTCTCTTTCCTCTTTTTTAGATTTTCAAGACCTTCTTAGTCAACCAGGTGGCATCGTATCTAACTCAATTCCCTTGTACTGGTGCCGCCTTTTGCTCTGCTCCACTTCCTCCAATGCCTGGCAGCGGGCTGTCAGGCAAGGTCCAAGGAGAGCGCTGGACACTCTTTCGACTTTCGACTGCTGTGCATGTTTTTGTTGTTTAGGACTGCACCATGAAGACTTAAATGAAATAATTCTGGCATCACCTTTGTTAGGATAGCCTTGGGTACTATGGAGTCAGGAAACTGTGAGGATCACAAAAGATTCATGTCTTGTTTTTATTATTGTTATTCGTTATGTGTTTGCTAGCTGAAATCTATCAGTAGATTAGGGGATGGGGGTTACATGAAATTGGCTCTACAATGTTTATTGGCGCCTTCATTGAGCCTTTTGCCTCAGTCTTTGACTATATGTGTTAAACCTTCCTCTTAAATTGCTGATGTCCAAATATTGGTGCTCTCAATGCACATACCCAATATAGGAGTGCCGTATAAACATATGTAAGTCATATGAGCCTGAGTTATTTTTCTGCTGGCAAGATTTCTTGTGTGTCTGCTTGTGTGGGTGTAATACTGCATCATGTGAACAGGTTTTCCGAATGCAGGTGGACTGAATCAATTACATTATTGTTGATAGTTGTATTTGTTATCAGTGATCTGCTGAAACTCAGTCCATTCTGCAAAATGCAACGCATAGCAATCAGAACTACCACATGTGATAAGTATGAATGATTGTGGGTGTGTGACTTGTGTGCTTGTGAGTCAGACTCTGTGTGCCTGTGTGTATGTAAGACTGTTAACCAGTCTAAGCAAGACTTCCTGTTTAATAGTCACCCATTATTAGCTTGACTTGTTGATGAATCTTGTTTCCTTTAATGAGAAACTACTAATATATATCCGATGTTATTCGGTTTTGGTGGGAGTTAATCACTTTGAGTGGTCTTCAATAAACTTGTTACCTGTAATTTGTATGGTCCCCAAAATGTATTCAGCATTGCAAGTTCTTTTCATGCGCCATTTATGTAATTTTTTGGCATAACGCTATGTGAACCTGTGCTCTTGGTCTGAGGTTATTTGCTTGATCACCAATTTTCATTCTTCATTTGACCGCTAAATTTTTCTTGTTCCTGTTAGAGACATCAAATTCTGAGATGGAGAGCCAGCTCAATTTTGTTCCTAGTCCTCACTTCAGATTGTGTGGTTTATCACATGCTTCCATTTAAGATTATCAGTCCTTTTCTACTCCGTAGTTTTTATGCCAAACGGATACTTTTGAATCTTATTCTAGAGTAAGGTACGGTGAACAGTCATGTTGGCATATGTGAAATCATTCTTGCATTACTTCCTATCTGCTCCAGCGTTTGAAAATGTTTAACTTGCATCATATTTTTCGATGCATTGTGCACTTCATTTGAAGCGAAAGTCATGAAGTGGTGTATTTTGTACTCTGGATTATCCTCCCTTCTTATGTGAAGCCTTTGAATTAAGTTACAATGCTGGATTTATCTGCCTCAAACATCAAAAATTGTTCTGATTTCTGAAGTAAACAGAAGGAAATGAATATTCAAGTGTTTTTCTTCATGTGATGACAGCAGATGTTGTGTTCTTGGTTTTACCCTTAAACAGTTGCTATATTTAAATGATAATACAAAGTAAGCACCATGCACTCTGAAACTATCTAGTACAGAAAATTTTCCCAAATGGTTGAGTAGTGCAAAGTAATATTTAATAAGGTGGGCCAAAACATGGAAGTCTCATTATCCTCCCTTCTATTGCTATTGTCTTTGGGTGTATTTACTACATGCCTTCAGAAGGATGACGTGAATCTAAACAACCTTTCAGTGAATTAAATCAAAATCTTTCTACTTAATTTATATACTGTTTGTTCAGATAGGTAGATATTTTCTCTTTTCTTTCTCTCTCTTTTTTTAAATTTTTTTTTTTTTTTTTGGTTAAGTTCTATATTATTTTTTAAGATGACGATAATGCTCTGAATCAGGAATTGCCATACTAAGAGAGGTCAGGATTTCTACCTCTCCAGCATATCTTTGGCTGTGATTTGTATAATTTGTGTTTAGCCATGGTACAAAAACTATTTCTCTCCCTGACTTTTTTATATAAATGTGTTGTGCCACAGATCATTGGCTCTCTTTTATGTAGAGAAGAATCCATTGATTGTGGTGAATTTAGGTGAAATTGTCTTTGAGGTCGGTCTAGTTTTCAATAGCCGTGAGGTTATTACTGACCCTCCAAGGTCCTCATATGAGCCCATCAACATAGTCATGAAGGTATGCATGCATAGGAACCCTCTTCATCTTCATATGTAAACAATACCCCTTAATTGTAGTTAATATCATTTCATAGCATGTTTTGAGTCCCTTTATAGTAGCTTCTGAACCTTGAACTGTATTAACTATCCTAAGTAATAATGAACGCAATACCTCATTCCTTCTATTTGAGCTTTACAATTTGTTCAGTACTTAACTTGACGAATACTTGACTGTAGGTGGTTTCACACTGCCCCATGTATCAAAACGAAAATTCACTTAAAAGATCATTCATTTTGACTGCTGGCAGTTCTTATCTTCCTCTAGAATCCTGAATGGTCCCATTATAAGCTTAGAAAGGCACTGAGAACTGGAACGGATATTGAAACAATGAATCCTCATAATATGAAGCAAGTCAAGCCTCACTAAGTTAGTAACTTTCATGAAGCTTGTACTTTGGATGTGAAGAAAGTCTCTTCACCTACCAAAATACCCTTTGACTGGAGATAAATGCTCTTGGGATCTAAGAACTAGATGAGTGATGTGACTTTGCCATTCACATCTCCTTTCTAACTAGCACAATTTGTTAAACTTTTTGTGGTTTGTTGAACAGAGCAGCGTTATTCTTACAGTGTCTGCTCATGAGTTATGAATTCTGTCTGTCAATTTATTAATTGCAATTTACCTGGAGGTGTCAAATGTGCACAATTTACTAGTGTGGTGTTTGATGCCATCTTGCTGAGCTCTCTTTCAGGTATAAAATATTTGAAGCAGAATTAGCAATCCTGATCCTTGATGAAGAAGGCCAAATGGTGATTTATGGTCCATGTGGCTTAGAATGAGAGAAACACACACTATCTGTGTAGACAGACTTGTGAGACGATTTGCCGTGAGAATAGCTCAAAACTCAGTTCTGTGTAAATTATACCATCTGTTGATGTTCTTGACTTTCATGTTGGATTGATATGGTATTTTATGGTTTGTATCTATGTATTCATAGGGAAAGCATCATATTGTTTGTTTTTTCATGCTTGGCACCTTTTTTACCATGTCTTGCTAGTTTCTTTTTCTAAATACCTGTAATACTATATCCACAATCTAATTATATTCAACTACATATATCTATACTATTTTGTAAGTAACCCTTTCGATAATAAAAGTGAAGTAATTACCAGAGGAGTTCTGTGTCATCCAGCCTTGGTTTTCTCTCTGATAATTATCTGAATTTGCAAGAGCCATTTGTTCAATTTTAATAGTAGCCACTCTCCGCCAAGTAGTGTATGTAATATCATAGACTCTCATTACTTTAAAAAATCATCAAAGGTCAATCTGACATGAAAACTGAATTATTCAGAGGCAAAAGTCATACAATTTTCCATTATCAAATAAATCTTGAGTTGAACGTTATGCAGATAATACCCCTATGGCAAGAAAGGTAATAACGGAGGCTGCAGACCTGTAATTTTTCAATGTAGGCCATCAGTACAAAGTGCACCTTTGTTAATTGGAGTATTAACTTAAATTTGTAAATGCATGTTTCATAACGGGGACTTGCCCTCATGCTGAAAATGGCCAACTCATGGTGTCTTAATCTTGCTTATACTATGGTGTGTGTTATGACAGCACACAAACATTTATCCTATTGTTAATGATTCTTAATGCAATAATAATAACAAAGAGGATATTATACAAAAAAAATCTTATTTTTTATTATAATGCATTTACTCTTGTCTTAAAAACAAAAATAAATTCCTGTTGTGCACATTTGTGGTGTGCTTTTTTACTCGTTCTTTTCCCTTCCTTGTGTTTATGCCCATACAAGGGTATGAAGAACGAGTATTGTGCCCATGGTGTCATTAAATGAAAAACTTTCATCTCAGAAACTACAACATAACATGCAGTTACTGTATTTTAGAGAAAAATTCCCACTCTTTTCAAAATTTATTGAGGAAACAATATTCTGCATGGATCAGTAAACAATTGAAATAAATACAGAACAATTTTGAGTGCTGGAAGAGACCAATTAAAATGTATGGCTGAGGCTTTGCCATGCACTCTTAAAATTTAAAATAGAAAACAAATTAGGTGACTTGAGTGCCCAGCACTCACACCTGCAGCACACCTCAGGGGCCCTAGAACATGCGGTACACAACGCGTCGAGGAAATAACAACAAGAAGCCAAGGAACAACATTAATGGGATATTTAGAATATCAAAAGTATTTGATATTAAAGTGGAGGACTCGTTCTTTTCAGTCGAAATCTATGTATGAGTTTGCGTTGAACGTTTATTGAATGAGCTGACGTTTAGAGGGGAAGGCTGTAGTCTCGTCCAGGGTATTGAACAAAAGAAAGTATTGGAGATAACGACGAGAAATGTCAACAGATGGCGCTACCGCCGCAGATACTAGCTGTTTAACCTCAAAATAATATTAACATGAATAATTTACCTGCTATGTTGCTACATTTTACTCTCTGTAATAACAAATAATTACATATTTCATTTTAAGCACTAATTACTCATATGCTTACATTTTAAAGACAAATTATTCATTTGCAATCATTTTCCATCAACTGATGCTTCATCTTATAAAATTGTTTATATATCTTATAAAATTGTTTATATCTCTTTACTTAGATAAATAACTGCAAAAAACCTCTTAAAAAACATTTTAATGGGACTGTAATTATTGTATAGAAAACCATAAAATCTTCTTTCCTTGTTATTTTCACTGAGAAAAACTGATCAGAAAGTACATGCAACACAATTTTCACCATTCATCATTTCTCACATTCAAACCTGATTTTCTCAAAATTTTACATAGAAACTGAAAAAAAAACCTCATAGTATTGTTGTTAGCAATAACAATATGCATCAAATCATGTGAATATGGGAGCTATATGTGTAATAGATTTCGAGATGAACCACATCACCACATTTCGCTGCTGAGCACAATACTCGTTCTCTTTAGGTGATAGGTTTTTGTTGTTTTGGTTTTTGTAAAGAACGAGTAAAAAACCAGACAAGACAAACGATAAAAATTTAAAGTTCAGCTCAAGGCGAGGCCTGAAGGGTCGGGCCTGTAAGGAGATGTGTGGAAAAGTACAGGGTCTGCTCACTTGCTGTTATTGTGAATCACCCCAATTGCTGTGTTCCTCAACTCCCAACAGCATGGTCAAACTCAAAAGGGTGAAAAGGGGATAAGAAATTTTCCTTCACATTATCTGTCAACTCAATTTCAGTTTATTCATTTAGGTTTGCAGCCTTTCAATTGCAGTGAAAATTTCCTATGGAAAATTTTATTTATAATGTTCTGAATCTACCCTAAAAGCTGTCCAGAAGCCAATAAGGGAGTTTTCCGAACGACCCAACAGCTTGGTAACATATTAAAACCTGTTTGTACTACTCAATCAAAAACAACATTACAAGTAGTTCAAATTCTACAAAACAACACATAAATCTTGATGATTCGCTGGGAAAGTTGTTACATACCCATAAAACAAAATAAAATAAAAATACTCGTAAAGAGTTAAACTCAATGGTTTACAAAATACAAGCATAACAACTAATATCAATAAAAACCTGTCACAAAAATATGTATGTAAATCTATTAAGATAAGCAACATTTTTAGGTACAGAACACATTCCTCTCTGATGTTATTCAACCAGCTTTGCTCTTGGGAATCTCTGCACAGTTTTTTGGCAGTGAAATAAGTAAAATTTTTAGAAATGGAAAAAAAACATACAGCTATCATTACAGATGTACAGTACTGTACAGTAAATAGAGTGTTCAAAAACTCAACAAATGAGAATCATTTTTCATCACAACTTTTATATTAATCAATCCATTACACCATTCTAAATAAATTAACTATTGCAGTTCATTTTTACAAACATAAAATGAGTTCTCACATTCATAAATAAATTTGATTAACCCTAAGTGACTTTTGCTGGCTGGACAAAATCTCAATAGGGCATTGTCCAAGCAAATGGAATCTGGAGCTGAATAGAATTTCAATTTTCTATAGCTGTGCCTTATGGGTACTTAAAGTGACCCAATTCTGATCCAATGAAGAACAAGAGCACTTCAAAGCACCAGGAGAGTGCAAAATTATACACCTAGCGCATGGCGCTCTTGTGCATCCCCACTTGATGGCACTCCACCAACAATCATCATGTTCGGATTTTCCAAATTCCTTTGAACAGCTTCAAGGAAGCTGGACACTTCCACTTCATCAACAGCCCGACGATCATAAGAGAGTGTAGCGGTCATCATAGTCTTTGGCTGGCATTCCTCATCTGTCACAAACATAGAACATTTGGTGATGAGAACAAAAATTTCAGCATATTGTCAGATAAATTTCTAAATTTGAGGAGAAACAGATGGTACAAGCTCACCTAGTTCAGGACGGCCGCCTCCGACTGCAAGAATGCCTACTTGAGGAGGATTAATGATGGCACTGAATTCAGAGATGCCAAACATGCCTAAGTTGGAAATACTGTTGAATAAAAAGAGATAAAATGAATTACCAGAGATATTCTTTCTAGTCTTCAAGCCGGCTTTTAGAAGAGACAGTAACTTACGTGAATGTACCACCAATGAACTCATGAGGTTGAAGTTTACCCTCTTTAGCCTTGCCACCCAACTCTTTAACCTTTTGAGATATTTGAACCAGTCCAAGGCGATCAGCATCCTTAACAATTGGTGTTATCAACCCATTGGGGGTTGCCACAGCTACTGAAATATCTACAGTGTTGGAAACAGACACCTACCCCCATATGTTCCAAATTAGTAATAAAACAGTAAGTCTAGAGCATCTAGATTTTTATCCTATAACTCCCTGGTAAACACTAAAGTAATAATACTACTAACCTTGTCATTAGAGAAAAGAGCATTCATCTCTGGGACTTGCTGCAAAGCCACAGCAACTGCCTTTATGATGAAGTCGTTGATTGAGACAGAGATATTCTCAGCCTTCAGCTGCTTCCGCATTGCTAAAACTTTATCTAGCTGACATTCAACCACCCCATATGAATGTGGAATTTGAGTCTAAAAATGAGAACAATTAAATAAACAAGATAAAATTTAAAAACAAAATGAATACTCAGGAAAGTGCAATACCTTAGACTCAGTAAGACGTTTAGCTATTGTTTTCCTCATACTAGTTAATTCTATATCTGTGTGACCATCCGTTGGCTTCAATGAGGGAAGAGGTGCAGAGGCTTTGCCTGGCTTGGCACTAGCAGCAGAAACAGCTTTAGCACCTGCTGGTGGGGGAACTGGAACGCAAACAAAAATATACAATCAATAAAGTACAGAAGTTAAAAAACAGTAACAATAAAGAAATGAAATCATTCAATTGAAAAAATGCTGATTCTCAAACAATACCTTGCTTGGGAGGCTTGGCAGTAAGGCCTTTCTGTTTTATCACCTGAAGAACATCTCCCTTGGTAAGAAGACCGTGAGGTCCGGTACCCGCAACCTCTGATGGGCTCATTTGATATGCTTCCAGCAAAGTACGCACTGCAGGACCCATTTTCAAGTCTGAGTGTCCGTGTCCTCCTGACGGAGTGCCAGAGGAAGCAGGGGCCTTAGGTGCCGCGGGGCTTGGTGCGGCTGGGCTTGCTGCGGCTGCGGCACTGCCGGGAATGGCAACATCCTTCCAATCCTGGCCCTCTTCTACCATCAAAGCAATGAGTGTCCCCACCTTGACGTCTTTAGTGTCCTCAGGCACCTTAAAACAAAATTTACATAAATGGAAACATCAAGGTTCAGTCCTGAGTTCAGAAACAGTTGCAATCTCTTAACTTACAAGAATTTTTGCAAGGATTCCCTCTTCTTCTACTTCAAATGACATAACTGCTTTGTCGGTCTGGATTTCACAAAGCACGTCACCCGGTGATACTGCATCACCCTCCTTCTTGAGCCACTTAATTAGAGTGCCCTCTGTCATTGTTGGTGAAAGCGAAGGCATATTGATGGCTACCCCAGGAACTGTAAGTAAGGCCCACCTCTCATCAGTAACTTTCAAGAGATGATTCACTCAAAAAGCAGAGTGGAGATGACCTTACCACTGCCCCCTGATGGAAGGGAAGAAGGTGCTCCAGCAGCAGGAGCAGCACTGGGAGCAGCTGCTGGTGATCCAGACCCTGAAGGCATGTCCACACTCTGCCAGTCCTCACCCTCCGCCACCATCAGGGCAATCAAGGACCCTACTTTGACATCCTTGGAGTCGTCTGGCATCTACGGAAAAGAACATCATCTTCACCACTAAGAGGCAGAATGTTCAGGAAAGTGACAAAGGGACGTCCACTCACCAAGATTTTGGCCAAGATTCCCTCTTCCTCGATTTCGAAAGACATGACAGCCTTGTCCGTCTGGATTTCGCACAAGACGTCGCCGGGGGCGACGGCGTCTCCCTCCTTCTTCATCCACTTGACGATGGTGCCCTCCGTCATGGTCGGCGACAGCGACGGCATTTTGATTTCTTGTCCAGCCACTGGAAGGAGCAAGCAGGAGACATTCGGAGGTTATCACATTGTCACCTCGCACGAGTGACATGACAGCTTTTCTGCCATCCGTCGAGGCGACCAGCGCAGTCAGATGACAGACAGGCTTGCATTTCCTATTTAATTGCCTGACCGGACTTTCAAGGGACATGCCACTGAGCCAAACACCGGATCAGGTTCAAGGTGAACCTGACACTGTGAACCCAACCTCCTTCCGTGGAGGTCAGAGGCTCCTGTGGGCTTCGCCATTACCCGACAGTCTCAACTCACCCTGGAGAAGTGCAGTGTGGTGGAAACATAGCTTTGGATGATTTCGGAAGAGTTGTGGTTTGGTTACAAAAGATTTAAACAGTTTTTGGGAGAAACCACCGAGACGGACCTTCGTTACAGCCGCCATGTTTGCGAAGGCACCAGCAGACAGCTCGCAGCAGGGACTACCGCACGCCAAGATTCTCATACCAAATCTACTTCTAACGTCACAAACCAGGGCTTCATCCTTGATGGCACAAAAACAGTTGTGTTGCAGATGCAAATACCATAAAACGTAAAAAATAATTTTTATAAAAAATGTTTTTTGTTTAATTTCGATTAAGTTTGATATTTACGGTAGTAGTAAATGATCTTTTTCTTCAAACCTGATTTTATGAGGTACCTTTGTACCTCGTACTGCTTTGGTTGGTTACCTGTACCAAGTTAAGCGCGTGTTTTGAATGCTTGACATTGACATCGGAGCTAACACCAGAACCCTGACAGGTGACGGTGTAGTTCCTGATTAACACGATTCCGACTGCTTGTTAGCAGTCTTCTTCTTTATCCTGGCCGGATCTGGGTGTCGTGTACCTAATTTTGCCTTCAGATCTTGTTCTATCTCCTGCCTAAACACCTAAACTGTTAATTCCTTCCTATCGTCTGCTGCCCTGTCGGAACATGTCCATCCCTTCTTTGTCGATTCTGGAATAAGTTTACTCCACTGAGATGAAAGAATTTCCTCGGTTTTAAGTTTTCTTCTCCTATCACTGTGTGACTCCCGATGGACAAATAAGAGCAACTAAACGTCTATTGTGTAGTTAAGAAACTTTATAACCTCTCAATTCAATATTATTGTTACATAAAATCATTAAACTGTCGATCATCGTCGCCTCTGCCCAAAGTCGTTCTTGGTATTCGATTATTTCACTGCTAAGCACTTCGAAATGAAACTTTACAGGTTCTCCCCGAACTCCATCATGTCAGCCCCGACAAAGCTCATATCTTGCTTTACAAAGCCCAATCCATTCTCAAAGAGGTTCTCATCGCAAGTACAGAATACAGAAAAACCAGCCCAGCAGTCGCTTGGCGGGACCACCTCTGAAACTCCAAAAGGTAGGACAGGATGTGCGCCAACTATGATCTAGACTGCATGCAAAGTGACCGCAATCATGCAATGTTCGATGTGTCACAAGGTGTTTTTCAGTAATAATGCCTCAATATTTGGCCTTCAGATTATGTCCAGGTCAGCGCTGCAAGAAAGAGAATGTTTGTCATGGCAGGCCTTTTCAAGAGCGCTGCTGATTGCCCTGATAAAATGACGTGAGTCTTCTTTTTCTTGATATAACTAATGAGCCACCATTTCTAGAAATTATGTGATGTAAATTTATATTTCTGTGACAGGCTTAGTTCTATGTCTAAGAACATGGATAGATTTCGTGTGAGAGCATCTTTGGTCATCATGGGTCTGAGTGCATTGGGGGCCCTGTCGTCAATTATGCTTGCCAAGGGGGTTGTGGACGACTTTGAAGAGAAAAAACGAAAAGCCGCTTAAAAGTCTTTGTACATTTTTTGTTGGAACATTGTAATTTGATACTGATTGTTTAAATGGTGATATTGATTTTAACACTTACCAATTACCTGTCCCCTTGGCTTTAGTATTCATTAGCAATAAAGACCGTTGTATTTTACTTCCCTTCACTTGTAATCAAATATGTATATCCAAACAGTACGCTTGGGTTGAAAGAAAAAAAAATTGTGTGCACATTAGTGACTCATGGATACTTTATTGCAATGGAAAATGAGTTCCTGCAAATTACAATGTCATTTAGGTGATTCTTAGATTTTCAATCAATAATAAACCAATTATGAAAAAAAAAAGCTCTAGTTACAATATCAAAACAGTGACTTGGTAAAGCTGTACACTATGTACTAAGAACTTCAAAAGAAAATAACTCCCAGAGTTGAGAGATTTGGGGGAGAGGAGCGAGCAGTCAGGTCTACAGAGGACTTTACAAGTTTGCCACCAATCTGGTAACTTGAAATAAACTTCACGAAATATCAAAGAAAAGTATAAATAAAATTAGAGATAAAACTTAATATTTTTTTCTTCTGATAACACTATTTTCATTTGGAACAGTTTTAATACACTATTTTTAGAATTTAAAATACATCCATATTTGTAAGAAAAATGGTTGTAAAGTATCTAATAAGATAAGACAAAAGTCCAATATAGAAGAAATAATCAGTCCATAGTTCAGATTATTCCATTATTATTATTCTAACGAAACAGACCTTTCATTTCAACAATAAAACACACAACTAAATCTACACCAGTGTTGTCAATGTCACTGACTCCCATAACATATACACCATTGCGATTTTTTAGATTATAATTAATACAAAAAATGCTTCAATAATTACAACATAGATATAAAGTAGTGTACCACATATGCAGTTGTACATAAGCATCAACCACCATGTAGCACCTTTCTATACAACTGATAGCAGGACATCCCAAGTTCTGTGCTGATTCAGAAATGCAGAGGAACAACCTTGAAGAGACACCTTTTTTATAACTCTTTAAAAAAAAAGGGGGGGGGGTCAGAGAGGGGTATTGAGACAGGACATCTAAAGCCCACAATCAAAGAGGGTCCTCGTTGAAGTTCCTTGTTAGTAAGGAAATGGAAATTAGAACGATCATTAAAGTTGGAAGGCTACCTTCAGGAAATAGAAAGTACACCAGAAAATCTTGAGCAGAAAATGTGGAATAGAGCAAACCTGATATATTAACTAGGCAATACTGCCTATTGTTAAGTCAAAACACATAGCATAGTTCTGCAGTTGGAAACTACATTCCTGAGCCTTTCTTCAAGTAAATATATTATATTTTCCTTATAATTGAAAATTCTACCAGTCTCACTCTTAAAAAGGAAACCATAGTAATAGCATTGCCACATCGGCCTGAGGTTAAATCTTTGACACCAAAGTGACAAGTATTTAGCCCACCATTTAAATAGATTTTATATTGTACTTAAGGCGCATCTTTAAGCCCATCTTCTGTTATCACGCCAAGGGATGTTTCTACATCATAACTAGAAGAATTTTCTTCCTCAGCATCAAACCTATCATCACCAATTCCATCACTATCAACCACTTCATCAGAACGAGCCTTTTTCTCCACAGTTTCACTTCCTGAATCACTCCTTCGTTTTCCACCTTTACTTCCTTCTCCTGTCAGACTAGAGGCACGAGTTTTACGAGGTTGGTGTTCAGGTGTAGCCTGGATTCTTTCCAGAGCAGTTCTCAAAGGCAACAAACCAACTGCAAGTGGTATATCCTTGCTTGATGTTTCGTCATCATCATCATTCAAATCATCTAACAATGTGTCTTCCAGTTTGGTATTGTCAGTTAGTATGGCAAGGGTATCTTCATTCTTGTTACTTTCACCAAGCAAAACACTATTGCTTGATTTATCATCATGGTCTTCAGCACCCAAGACAAGACGCATGCTTTCAGCATCAACAGCTGCCTGTTGAGCACTTTGTGGGGTGTCATGGTTAGATGCATCAGAACCCCCCATCATTGCTTCCAAAGCCTGCTCAACTGACATTTCTGCTTCCTCCTGTCCTTGCTGCACCACAATGTTACCATCGGCGATGGAGAATGTGTGGGTCCCATCCACTGTGGATCCATCGGAAACAACAGCAAAGCTATGGGTTCCATCACCAAAGTTGCCACTGGCAATCACTTCATCAGCATTTTCCGTTACCAAATAAACCATTTCTTGCTGACTCTCTCCATCCTCTCCAAAAGTCTGGAGCAAAGCCTGAACTTGACCTGATAAATCATACAAACATTTTGGATAAAGAAGGATAATTTACCAGCAATCAACCAAACTAAACCAAACATTACATACCTCCAGATTGCACAAGAGTAGGTTCAACTGTTGTGGTGGAGACCAAGTGTTGCTGCTCATCATTCACCATCCCATGCTCATCATGCATGATAGCGTCATCAGCCTGTTCTCCTTGCTCCATATGCACTTCATCTGACACTAATTCAGGATTCTCATCACCTGGTTCCATTACAAGTTCAGCTTCTTGCATTTCTTTAACAACAAATTTGCGGATGCCAGCTGAAAGAAAATTTCATGATTTTTACAAAGACAGACCTTTGAGTACACCATACAAAGGTTCAACAGTGAAAAGCAGACCTTGTTCCTGACGGAACTTTTCCATGGATGCCTTCACAATCTGCCTTGCTGTGGTATACCCACAGCTACTGGCCGGAGTGGCAACTTTTGGTTTGCTACCAGGCTTACTTTCCTGGATAACAGATTGGGATGCGGTTGTAACTTGCTTTAACTCTTCTTGAGGCTCAGTCTGTAAAAACTAAATGGGAAAGAAGTTGGCTTTAAAACAGGTACAGATGATGCCATTCCAATTGCAGGGGATAGAATCTAACAAACCTCTTGCTCAGCTTCATTCTCTCCTTCTTCCACAACAACCTGCCCATCAGTGCCTTGGACAAGATTACCTTCAGCAACTTGATAGTGAATGACACCACCATTGCAGATATTCATGAGTACTTCTTCATTGACTGTTACATAAGACCCATCCCCAGAATCCAAAAGGATAGGAAGGTCTGTTGGTAAACCAGCTTCCTTCAGAGCTTCCATATAAGAGGCTACATTACCAGCCGCATTGGGATCAGATCCCCCAGTAGCAACCACCTGACCATCTGCTGTTACCTGAAAGGAAACAACCGGTCATAAAATAATAATGATATGGATTCATGTCAGATGTGGAGTCAGCAGAGCCTCTGATCCTCACCTGATACAAAACTTCACCAGGATTTGCTTCAGATTCTTGACTGTTTTCTTCGGAGGCAATTAAAGTCTGAGAGCCATGAGAAATGTCCTCTTCATGCTTGACCATCATGTCTTCATCTTGAATTTCTTGTGATCTTGCTCCTGCTTCCACTAATTCAGCTTCAACAGCAGCAGCATTACCAGGATCTCCTGTGTTCATTTCTCTTTTGAGAGCTTCCAGTGCCATGCGGCTAGCATCGGCTTCCTTTTGCAATGCCACTTCAGCATCTGACATAACTTTCTCCTGTTTAAACAAATTTAAGACAAAATGTCACAAAAATTGTTAAATTAAAAGGCATTTAAGAATTTGGGTAAGGATTGGTTAATAATTTTGATTACACTACCTGGAACATGACATTAATTTGCTTCTTTAATGGACGCCCTCTTCGCCGGGGAGACTCATCAATGTGATGAGCACCTACAGCTGGAGTCTCGCCAAGTTTAGATTTCTCCACCAAAGTTTTAGCATCTATCTTCATCATGTTTGAACCACGTATATTTGTGAGGCGAACGTTGCGACTGGACATTTGAAGCATAGGTCTTGACTGGGGAAAAACAACAAATCACATATGAGACCTTTATAATAATAATGGTAACTGTTTCTACTAGTTATTGTCCTTTGAGACACACCTGTGTTGATGTCGTTGTTGCTAGCTTAGAAGCAGCTGCTTGAACAGGAGTTTCAATTGTGGTGACAGCCTGAGATGTGCCCTCCACTCCAGAAAGATTCAGAAGCAATTGAGCTGTGTCAGTAGAAATCGTTGAAGTTCCTTGAGCAGATGCAACCTTGACAGCTGTACAAACAGGCCATTTTTAAAAATGTCATGAATTGGTAAAAGTTTCAAGACACGATGAGCAAGACCAGGTTCATACCAGGGGAGTCTCCTCCAGGACCAACTCGTCCGTGAACAGATGCGGTGCCAGCAGTGCCAGCAGTGGTAGTAGTGGCGGTGCTGTTTGAAGCTACAATTTGTTTATTCATGACTTCAGCAGTCGATACAAGGGTTGTCTGCATACCAATTTTTTTCCCTGAAGTGGGGGTTCTGAGTTGTGGCACTTTTTTGGCAAAGTCCCCTGAAAAAACAAAAATGTTTCACTCGTACTTCAGCTTAACATTGGGTTATTTTAGCTAAAAAATTGGGAGAAGCACAAACCATTGATGGGTACAGGAGTGGGAGTTGGTACTGGTTTCGATGGAGACGATGGCAGCCCAAGGGCCTCCTTTGTCATAGATGACAATCCCTTCACCTAAAGGGAAGATTGAGAAAAGATAGAGAGGTTACATTAGAAAATAGAACATTCAACTAGGACAGTGACAGAAAAAATTAATAAAAAAGGAAAGTCGGTTGTTATGATGGAAGTTTAAAGGCATACCTGGAAAAATTTTGCTGCTTGAAGCAAGGCTCCTAGGTTGTCTTCAGTCACACTTGTCTCTCCACAATACATAAATTCGATTAAGGATTTTAACACAGAAAACTGCATGTCTTTCAGAACAATTAAAGGATGAGCTCCAAGTTGTCGCTGTAAGATAGACTGCAACACACAGAAGCGTAAACCAAATTTAATAAGATCAAAACTGACATAGGATGGAAAATTTCTGAAAAATGCTCAGAGGTTTGCTTGGTTAAATTTTGATCATACCTCAAAATATGGACTGCAGGCTGCTAAGACGGCACGATGTACTCGTAATGTGTGAGTATTGCACATTAGAGTCACGTCCACAAGCGTCTGGTGCTCAAGCAGCTGTCCCAGTCGAGTGGCCAAGTGGGAGGGATGCTCCTCCCACTGGACCATAAAACGAGTTCCACCCATATTATGAGTTAATAGGGGAACAATGCTTCATAAATCTTTGGTACTGATTGTTGAGCTGCAAAACTATCTTTGAAGCCTGGAACATAAAAAGGAAGTATAATAGACACAAATATCTGGAATCCAAAGGTAATCAGCCACTTGAATCAACATCGGCATGAATTGCGAAGAGTGTCTGCCAATTACGCTTGACGGTAACAGAGCGAGAAATGCGAAGGTAGACTACTGACAAGTTCAAGGACATAAAATGCAGCAAATTCCATTTCGTCAACACCGAAATTTTCAGAAGATCACTAGTTTAATGAAATGAAAGAGATATGACCGAAAATCCATCGTGAGCAAACAATCAAGACCTTCATAACCACAGCACAACAGTTTAACTGAATGGAAAGTACCGAAAATTTTACTTTACAGTGAGCTGGCAAGCCTTAAAACAAGTGAAAGATCAGAAACGCAAATTTTCTTGACAGCAAAAGTGTGTTCCAAGATCAAAAAAAAAATTCGGCTGAAAACTTGCTGAACTTCACAAAACTACGAGACACTTGAGGTTACACGGTGTACGGCAGGGTTACGTGATTGCGAATTTCTCTTTTAGAACGCTAACAACTCCATTATATGAATCACGGAAAGTTGGAGAAGCGGCGAACGCGAAGAACAACGAGAAAACGCCTAAATCGCATTACTTCCATGATAACAGTGAATTCCAAACAGGGCCATTGAGGGGCAAGCCAACCTACGGTACACTCCAAGTTGGTACGATTCCAACAGTAGAAGGTTCAGATCGGGCAGGACCAGCGCCCAATTACACTGGGAATTCGGGGTTCAATTACCTCGCGTTTTCAATGACTATCGGCAATAAGTTTGCAAGTCGAGGAAAAATCCAAAATAAAAGCGCAAAGCGCGGCGGCCATTTCTATAAACAAGACGCACTTTATAAAATGGCGGACCTGCGTGACTAGCGCTCGGAGCGGCAGCGGTCTGAACTAACGCCAAAAGTCTTTTCTTGTTCTTGGTGTGTTGGGTTAAAGATAGTTTTATTCGTAGCCAGTCTCTTGGGCACTCTTGCGGTCATTAAATGACATGTACGTTTAAATGCCGTTCTTAGAATTGACGTATGCCTGTGCCGAAATGTTTTCATTTACCGTAATAGCATCTCTCTAATTTTCAATATTGTTTTTTTGGTGAAGACAGGAACCGCCGGCTACCTAGTCCGCAACATTCTTGGGTTGCTACGGCCAAGTAGGCCTAACCCATTACAGAAAAAAGATCCCCGAGAGGCTTAACCCAACTAACACGAATACTTGCGAATACTCATCAACTCATCCTCCGCAATGGCTAAAACATACGACTATTTATTTAAGTTACTGCTTATCGGCGATTCTGGTGTTGGAAAGACTTGCGTCCTTTTCAGGTTCTCCGAGGACGCCTTCAATACTTCATTTATATCAACAATTGGTAAGAAAAGTGTTATAAACACCCTGAACAACTTATTTTGCCATTTTGACGGACACTAATTCAATGCAATCACTTTAAAACGGATTTTCACGCCTCCAAAGGAAGTCTGAACTGTCAAAATCTTCCATGTTACTCTTCTTGTCATGTCAAATTATAGTACCTTCTCTTGTCCCACCCAATGTCTTCAATTGACATCTGGTACTCATGACATTATCACTTGCATGTAGGGTTATTTTAATTGACTTTTGTATTACCATTCAAGAGGCCTTGTCATTCTTGTGATGTCAAGAAACTATGTTTGTGTTTTCAACCGTTAAGTTTGTGTTTCTGCTGTCATTCATTTTTGAAATATTATATTTCAGGTATAGACTTTAAAATCAGGACAATAGAATTGGATGGAAAGAAGATAAAGCTTCAAATATGGTAAGTGCTGTATACCTTTATCTTTCATTAAGCAGCTTATGAATGGTAGGGAAGAGTCCATTCTGCGACTTCCGAATATCTTGTTTGCTGGCACTAGCAGCAACTAAGTTTCGTGTGTTAAAAATATTGCAGTTAACTTTTACAAGTGAAATATTTGTGTGTAGTTATTTAATCAACTGAATGTTAATAATAGCCTGTGTTCAGAACACCCCTTTTAATCAACCATAATCCCTACCACAGTCTTGTTATGTTCTCTCATCAGGGACACAGCTGGTCAAGAAAGATTCCGCACCATCACAACTGCTTACTATCGAGGAGCCATGGGAATCATGCTAGTGTATGATATTACAAATGAAAAAAGTTTTGAAAATATCAAAAACTGGATCAGGAACATCGAAGAAAATGCATCAGCAGATGTAGAAAAAATGTTGTTGGGAAACAAGTGTGAACTAAGTGAGAAACGACAGGTCAGAGCTTTTTTAATGAATCTATTCTTGTTTCAAACAAACAGCTCAATTGTCTGCTTAACTACTTGCGTTTTGCCTGTATGTCATGGTCTTTCCATTGCAGGTTTCAAGAGAAAGAGGTGAAGCACTAGCAATAGAGTACGGTATCAAGTTTATGGAAACTAGTGCAAAAGCATCAATCAATGTGGAAGAAGCGTTTTACACTTTAGCAAGAGATATTAAGGCTAAAACTGAGAAGAAATTGGTAAGAATTTATTCACATCATAATTTAAAGTGTCATTTCAAACCAATGTTTTTCCCAACATAGTTTCTGTGGTTTACTGCCTCAGTGAAGTCATTCCTTTTCTTTTATGTTGTCTTTGGAAACAGAACTTGCTCTCTCATCAGTCCCTTTTTAAAGATAGTGTCTCTTTTCAATGCGTAGTTTGTTTTCTTGCTATGTGCAAAGCTAGGTTTGCCGATAGAAACTGAGAAAGTGTGTGTGTGCTTATACTTCATGTGAGAGAGAGAGCTTTTGTCAAAATGAGATGTCTCTTGGTGACCCTTCTACTCATATATTTACCGCACATCACAAGATTATTCTAGTTAATTATGTCATCTTTTCTGTTGTCTAATGTCCTTTCTTGTCTTCTCTTTTGTCTTTGCTTTCATCTGGACATGGCAGAAGGTAAATACGACTGTATTTTTGTGTGTGTTGTGTCCAGTGCATGAGGAATATGAAAATACTTCTGTATTTGGTAGTCCTAGGATTTTCAATCTCTGCTTTTATGCTGAAGATGAGCATAATTAATACTCTCAATACAGCTTTGAGCACTGTGACTTTGCTTTATTTAAGAGGTATTGAACCAAAGAGTTTCCAAATCAGTTCTACAGGGTGTCTTTAGTTTATAGTTTGTCTTTTGTAGTGTGAATGCATTGTAAGGTACTCATTCTTAACTCTTCTTTAGTATTCATTTCCCTCCTCAATTAATGAAAATATCTTGTTTGTGATTCTAGGAGGCAAGCAACCCCCCCAAAGGAGGCCATCAACTGAAACCTGCTGAGCCGCAGCGAAAGCCTACGAATTGGTTGTCACGTTGTTCTTTACTATGACGTCTCTACTGGTGCTTTCATTCGCTCAATTTAATGTCTGATTTTGCTAGCCGTTTTCTATGGATTTGTTCGAATTTTTTTCCCCATTTTTATGGTAGGAAAAAAATCCAAACAATATTCCTAAAGACCTGAGCACAGAGGTACTTTCATTTGTAAGCAAACATTTTGGAAAGAAAAATATCTTCAAACTTTGGTCTCCCGTCAAATATTTCTGCTTGCTTTCAACTAACAGCTGGGATCTCAATTATTGACTAATTTACACCCTATATTTCTTTTTGGTTCTGATGTATATTCGTTTAATAATAATACAAAAAAGGAGTAATGGTAAAATGAAAGTGTGCTGACTGTTTTAACTTTCCTCATTCTCAGATTGTATTTTGTCACTTCTTTTATAAATCTTTAAAGTGGAGAGACTGTTTTCCTACCTGGAGATACAAACGATTGTTGCATACTTTAGTCATAAGTGCTACTTAATCTTGTCTTTCACGTTGGAATCCAGTTAAATTTACAATTTCTTATCAGTTCTTACTGAACATAAATTTATATAGTACTATTTACTTCTGGATGGACCTTGGTGCTGTTCTGTCTTTCAAGATTGTGGAATTGGTTCAAATCTTTTTATCATTTACACTTGCCAATGTTTTGGAACAATGGATTTTAACTATCCCCACTCCACAGTGTTTATTTTCGTTTCTCTTTTGTTTAATTAAAATCAGTTTGATACTGTACTTTTACTCATTATTTATGGAGGTGGTTTTGAAGAATAATGTTGCTTCATTTTTGGGAACAATGGTCTATCAATTTCGTTCAGTTCAGAGGATGGTTTTCATCCCTGAATGCATATTTGCACAAGACTTTAGTATGATTATGATACCTGTCGTATATTGACTTGCGTGATAAACCAGGTCAGCCCAACAGAGATAGGGGCTGTCAGACTTCTGTTTAGGGGATACTCATTTCTTTATGTTTTTCATTTTCATTTTTTTTTCCTTTGCTTTCTAGTGCACTGTTATATTGATTTAAAAATTGCTGTGAATGTTTAAAAGCAGTGGTAGATGGCTTGTTTATTTATGCATGTTGTTTATGTGTTAAGGATTACTTTTCTTCCCACTTCCCATCCCCCCCTCTTTTTTTTTCTTTTCGACGTGCTGAGGCATGTGATTTCACAATCAATATGCCTTAAAATATGATTGGAAGCATAGTTTTAGTGAATGTATGTTTGTAATTGCTAAGCCATGACATTGTTGTTTAAAGCTTTGCTGTGTCACTTGTTCTGCAAATGACAGGGTTCACATTTACTAATTGGCTTTCTGTCATCCCTCTTTCGCTATTATCTTTTCACCATTTTTGTGGCTCTAAAACACGCCTGATGTGACTTGTGGTTAATATAATTGTTTCTAATATTACCTGAAATCTGACTTATAATGTGTACCTGTTTGTTGTATTTGCAATATTCAGGAGCCAAACACGTCTGAAATAAGGCCTAGTGTTTCAAGTGTGACTTTACACCAGTATCTTCGTTTATTTTGCCAAAATTTCTGTTAATGTTTCTCTTATATTTTATGTTGAAAATCCTTTGAGATAATACCTCATATTGATATTATGACTCAAGTGATAAGTGCCTGTCATCCTGCTTGCCAGCGTAATGAAAAGGCATCTAAGTCTGGATTGATAAGTTGAAATTTTGCACAGGTCATATATTGTGTTTTTAATAAAATTTATGGTGTGCTTGTACAATTTGTAAAGTTATTAATTTTAATATTTCTGTAAGAAACTCAAAGTTCTTGCCTAAATTGTTTTCTTTCTCCCTCCCCATCCTTATAAAACATGATTGGTCTTGTTAGTCTCTGAATACGTGATACTACTTTATTTCATTTGCTGATGTCTTTGTGCTGAGTAAGAGACACTGCCCTTAAGACTTCAAATCAAAGAAAATTTTTGGACTGCCTGCTCTGAAAATTTTCATTTTGTTCATGTTCTTTTTCAACAGTTATAATGTTATTATCTCATGTATTTTTGTTATGAAGATTGTGAAATAATTCTCATGGCATGCAATTGCTTGCCCTTTTTATTTTGACTAAAACTTTGCTTATTGATTGAGTTTATTGTATTACATGTATTTTGTATTATTTGCAGAGCATTCAGTGGAAAATTTAGCATCTTTTATATGGAGATAATTGTGCAGTATGTAGATCTTACAAATAAATTTATTTATATATTCCAAATTTTTTGACTAATGCTTTTCCCTTAATCATTCATTGCCGCGAGTGCGTTTGCGACGCTGTGCTGCCTGGCTTGCGATGGCCAATGGGGCTGCCCTGGACCCCTGGGCAGTGCCAGGTCAGTACTGCATCTTGGCCTTTGAGCCAGATAAAGCACTGTCTAGTTCAAGAGAAACATTTACCTGGGTCCTAATTTTGCTGAAACGCTTATTCATCTTGAGAAAAATTACAACCCTTTCCAAATAATATTTTATTTCAATGATGTTCCTTGACAAGCTGCATGTCTCTCTTAAACTAAAAAACTTTTCAACAACACTGGGCACTTGATGTTTCCTCAAACATTGTTCTAGATCCAGTAATGCTTGGAGAACAAAATTAACCCACTGACAGTAGGAGTGGTGAGAGAACAAAAAAAGAAAGGAGGATTGTGCTACAAGATTTTATATTTATAAATAAAATTCCAATTTGATAGTGAAGAAACATACAATACAAGAACACTAACAAACCACACCGCAAGCCCATAGCACTTGGCAGGGTGAGCAATTATCACAAAGCCTTGATCGTGTTTCCAGAATCAGATGAAGTTCATTCATTGTAATGTGAGTGTGAAAGGTTAGTTTCGCAACAAAACAGGGATAACAATCAAGAAATTTCAACAGAAAAAAAATCATTAGTAACAAAAAAAGAGCCCACTGTCTCAGTTTCAATTATATGTTTATTAGGGGAGAGAAGATACATTGACATGATCTACACACACTCTCAAGACTGTCAGACAGCAGAAGCATCTTTTCATTTGAAACAAGCAGCAATCTTATTTTACCACCAGTAACTGAGGTATGATGGAGAATGCACTTGTATTGTATGCCTTAAGGTCCAGTAAGATTTAAGCTGATAAGGTTCCCTTACTTTCTTTTTTATATTTTTTCTTTTGTATCACATATTTCAAGGAGACTAGCAGATAGCTACAATCTTTACAATTCAACAAAACAGTATTTTTTTTCCAATTTATATTTATTTGTGAATCAATTTACCAATGATGTTAAAAACAAGGAAATCTTTAAGATAAACTGACGTATTTACAAAATACTTAGTTGGGTAGCATGAGAGCCCTCCTCACCAATGTAGATTAAAAAGTACCTAACACATGATAACAGCAGGAAAAAACTTTTTCCTCAATGAGTCAAATAGGGAAATGTTCTCCTCAAAGTGAATACCACAAATTCGAAGGTTTCCACAGCAAAACATTAGTTCACTTTTTGCTCAGCTCAAGTTCAAGGTTATAGCTAAGCCAATCAAGAAAAGTCTTGCTTTAGCAAAAGGTTTCGATTTCTGTTTGTTCATTAAGATAGTTAATATATTGGCAAATGGGTTGTAACAAATACTGAAATAACAAAATAGTTCTTTGCCCAGAATACATCATACATTTCAGCCAGAGTTATGCAATGCGTCGATCACTAATTAATTGCACACACACTCACAGAGTATCTAATTTGTGGGGAAACAAGTAAAATGTTCAGATTGGTAAAGAACCTTTAGGCTCGGAGAAACCCCATAGCCATCTCTGTAATATACATCAGTCTACTGCTCAGCAATGTGAACCTTCTTCCTCTTCTAAATTCAGACAAACTAAATCAAATTTATCACTATCCAAATAGAGCTTGCTTATTGATCAGTCCTCCCCTTACAGATAGTTTAAAGGGGGTAAGAATCAAAGAGGAAAATAAGGGTATGGGCATTTAACACATTGGCTAAATTTACAATTGGACACTCACAACTATACAACCATACACACACTCGCACTCACACAAGCGCACACCATATGTATATATTTAAATATATACATTTAATATAAATTCTTAAGAGGTCACACAACAGACAAATGTGCACACAAACTTGTTAATAGCCGATGTCCACAAGTTGGTTAATCTCATCACAGAACACCAAATGTCCACAACATTCAGCAATGAAATAATTTACAAATTAAGTTAAAACACTTGAGAATTATTCCCATAACTAGAAAGGAGTTGTATCTAAGGAAAATTTAGTTCAATATCCAGATGCGTTTCTATTTAGTATTTCACTTCCCCTGAACAACATCCTTGGAAGGGATGTTTGCTGGGACAGTTCCTCATACTTCCCTCAACTCTGCCAAACCCCCATGATGATGGTACTCTATATCCGCCATTTATAATTAAATTTTTCTTACTTAATCTGCTCATAGGTTAGGATGAAATTAAATTAGTTATTGAAGCATTTCAGAAATAACACTGAAAGAATTTGCCGAGGTGCCAAGGCTTTGATTCAGTTATGCACGTTAATTTTAAAATAGTCATACAAAAGAACAGAATTCCTCAACGACTGGACTTGTTTTGGACTAAGTCAGGACATAAAAAATATATTCAGTTGGTAGATATGTCCACAGCCTTCAACACTAGATAATTCGAATTATGAAATACCTATACATAGATTCTCTTGGTTACAACCAAAAGAAGTTGGCAAAGTTGTGAATTTTGGAAACTAAACAGCACTTCTAATGCAATCAATTTCTTGGTCTTAAAGTTATTATTAAGGCGACACAAGTCAATGACAACTGTTCACCATGAATTTTGATGATTAACCCTTGTGCTCTGAATTTGTCTGACACAGCCAATATTTGATTAAAGAAAATATATATTTAATAAAAGAGACTACCAAAGCATAAAAATGTGTTTAATCACACGCTCTTGCAGCAAAAACATAGCTAAAAAAGGCTTATCAGGGGACCAAAATGATGTCACACACTACAATGTCAGCTAGCTAAGTGAAGGGAGCATCAACACAACATACAATTACGAATGCCACATCAACAATTCATCTAAGTGGGGTCTGCCTGCTACCAGTTCTGTTATGATAGATCAATAAAATGAATGATTGTAACATGAAAACAACAACAAAAAAACAATTAACAAGGAATAAACCATGAGAATGAGGCAGTTTATGGATGACTGAGCTAATAACAAGCACAAACTACTCATACTACAAGGATTTATTTTGAAGCCAACAGATGGAAAGTTAGCAAGTTTACCAAGAAGAATCAAAATTCCAAGGCAAGCAAAACACTGTTCAATTGTACACCAAAGGGAAAACAGCATCACTGGTTTCAATTTCAAATTTGAGCAGAAAGCAAATACTAAATAAAAGACAGCCAAAGGAAGCCACGAGAAGATCCTAGTCATGCCAGTGGTGCAAAAGTATGTTCCCAGCAGCAGGAGAAAGTAGTTTTATTTCATTTCAATTGCAAAAAAAGAAGAAAACTGGCATTAATTTTGCTGAAAAGTGCGCACAATATTCTCAGTCTATCAGTTCAGGTGTTAAGCCAGCTGGCTTGAGAATATCCCCCTCTCACCCCCTTCCATTACATGCACCCACTTCTGAATGCTCAAATGATTAATGCTAAAGGAACCATCACCATGAAATTTCATGAGATGAGAATTGTACAAAATTAGTACTTATTTTAATGTGTCATTAATGCACAGTGATAAAAAAAGTATAATTTTAATGTACTCAAAAATTTGAATTCAGGCAACCCGCAGGAAACAAACACAAAACAAGTAGCTAAGCACCTTGAGCTGGATCAACAAGAATAATCAATGAAACATATTGCCAACATTGGGTAAAGCAATTCATAAGATAATCTCAAACCACCCCAGCTGTCCAATAAATCATAAATAGCAACCATTTTCACTATGTGAAACTTTATTAACTAGGTCAAAACTTGGGAGAAAAGGACAAGAAAACAATTGGATGAAGAAAGGTGACAGGGAGGGGAGAGGGGGAGGGACTTGCTTTAGTTACCTAGAAACAGGCATAAGGACTAGAACTATGAACACTTTTAGTGAGGCGGTGGTGGCTCAGTTGCAGTGCGAACTGGCTTTCTCCTGCTTGATCCTGGACTGCCGTAGCTAGGTGCTGCGACCACTTCCCGGATGGTGCCCGTGCCTGTGACGACGCGCATGGGTTGTGGAGGCTGCTGGGATGGCTGGTTTTGCAGAGACATCACTGCGCCACGATCGCGAAGGTGTAGCGGTTGCTGTTGAGGCTGGGCCACTTGTTGGGACTGCGCCTGCGCGGCCTGCGCGGCCTGCGCTTGGTTGCGTGAACTTCCACTTGATGCAGTCACGGGCCCCACACCTGCAATTGCATAAACTTCATAAAGTGATGAAAGGAACAAAATTAAACAAGTTTCAGAGTTGTGAGGATAGCCCAACAATAATGGTTGAGCCCCATACCCCTAGTGCTGCTGCGCTTTGCAGCGACAGCTCCTGTTGCAGCCCTTTGCTGAGATGAAGCTGGGACTGATGAAGAGCTGGACGAAGAGCCAGTGGAGGGGGCAGAAGAAGGTGGAGAAGATTGAACCCTTGCCCCCCCTCCTCCACCGGGAGACTCCCTACTTGAAGAAGTTTCACTGTTTTCGCTATTCCTATTTGGGGCTACTGCATTCTGACCCAAGGAAAGAATTGAGGCAGTTGAGTCCGACAAAGTGGACATTACTAGCTCTTGAACAAACAGACTGTGATCAGCTCGCTCCTGCTCTGCTGCTTGTAGTTCTGCTTCAGTGAGAGGCGGCTCAGTGCACCTGCAAACACACAGTTGCAATTACATTTAATAGGCGGCAATGTCAAAAACCAAAAGTCCTATTAAAACAATTACACAAGAACAAACCTTGAAAGTAAAAACTGTAAGTTAACAGGTGCAGTGGGTGTGCTTGAACCTAACTCTCCATTCGAACTTGCAGAACTAGCGCTGACGACAGCTGCCGCTGAGGCTGTAGGGGCAGCTGCAGTGCCACTGGCTGCATTTGAAGTGCTTGTTTGTGCCTGGCGTCGAGGTAGCCTCTCTAGCTGCTGTCGTGCCGCCTGAAACAGACAAACCAAACAAAGCACACTAAAGCTGCCCTCAAATTCTAGGCTACCTTCTTTAGTTGATACATTAGGCACTGTTTGAGGACCCAATTGAGCAGACCAAGCAATTTAGCAGTACACCCTCAAGTTTTAATACCTCCTCCATCATTGACACCAGTTTGTGTTTTGAAAAAGGACTGACCAAACTTTGACAGCATGACTGCCATTGGAAGAGGACATACTGGGCTATGGCCTACCACAGTAACAGAACTCATTGTTGAGAAGTCTGGGTTACCAACTGGGTGCCACTAGGTGCCACCCAGCATGAGTATTTCAAACATTCCAGAATAGAATTTTAAGAAAGACAACTTCAAATTAGACAGATGACAAACAATATGATGGTAAAGATTGGCTGTCCAATATTTTTTCAAATTTATGCCCTCCCGCTCATTTCCCCAGAAATGAAAAAAAATTGAAAGTAGGAGAAGCATTCATACCCTCACCTGCTGACGTTCCAACTGCAGCTGCATTTGAAGCTGTTGTAATTGAGATGGTGTCGAGCTTTGAGCTGAAGTACTAGCCGTTGATCGTCGGACGCCAGACAGCTGGGACAGTAGCTCAGCAATGGGGTCCACAGTGTCTCGAGTTGAAGGTGATATAGAAGATAAGCCACCAGTACTGGAAATTGAAATAAAGAAGAGGGGTTGCATTCTCAACTCAACTAAAGAGCACAAAGGTGCATAACAAAGCAATCACCTGAAATGCATGTTGCACCTCCTAGGCCTTGGACCACCAACACCTCTTGATGCATGAGGACCACGACGGACGCCACCATGCCGAAGACTAGCTGGTTCATCGTAAAGCAGTCTGTTAAGGAAAATTTCTAAAAAAGGAGGGCACATGAGACTGTTCAGTATAAAAAGAAAACAGAAACAGGTACGAATAAACTTGAAAGCAAAGTAAGGTGACAATAGTTTTCATGGAAATTCAATACTACGGCAATGAAAGGATATTAGAAATGATATAAGATCTCGAGGTCCACTTCGATGCTCAAGATTCAAATGGCCAGATAAGTCATCAGTCATGAGATTAGGATCACCTCCAGGTAACGATGCACAAACTGGACAAACCTGAAAACAATATGAGGTAAAGACTTAGAAATGGCACAAAACCGTACTACCAAATAAACATGATGCTGCCCAGGCTTTTCGTTTAATTGCATAGTTGTTACATACCACTTCAGCAGTGGTGACCATGTGATCTAAAGTCACATGTTCCTGGAGAGTTGTTTCAGTCAAGCCCATTCTTCCACAGTGCGGGCAAGTGAAAGATTGGGGCTGTTCAACAGTTAGTGATTCCCCACCGTAGTAAAGTTCTGTCGAAATGAATTAAAATGTGTTATAAATGTTCAACTTCTAGTTATTTTGTGAAAATATCAGAGAAAAATTTACCGAAGTCTGATCGGGTGAGAATACACTGCATAGGATGGCCTGTCGTGTGGTGAGGCGTAGTGGCCCCTGTTTCGTAGCATGATGAGCATAAATCATAGTCATAGCAGACAAGACACTTGTAGCGACGACCACGAAAGTTACGTTTAGAACAGGAGTCGCAGCTCACACCTGAAACAAAAACATTTGTGTCAGTTCATGCTCAGCATATTAATAAAATTTTATCTTAACTAAGTTCACGTCAAACATGAAAAGGAAGAAAAGCAAATGGGACACAACTGACAATTAGTTTAAGACACTTGCAGAGATGCTTTCTCCCATTTACAATTTGCAAAGAACAAACATCACAACAAAATTGACACAAACTAAACTTAATCTTTGAAACATATAAAGGGGTTTCAAAGAGATGATGAAATTCAGATTATAGAAAAAGACATTGTATAATACTTGACACACCATCCGCAAGCAGTGAGGAACACCACTCCAACATTTGACACTCAATGGATAGCAATAATCTATGTTCGAGTAAACATTTATGAAAGCGAAGCGGCTGGAATGCGAGGAATATAGAGAAATCTTCATAAACTAAACAAAGACTTATCACACAATTAGACAGCAGTCATAAAACTCTGTGCTGTCAACCAGATGACAGATTAGAACTGATAAGCTGTGAGAAGCTCGCGGAGAAAACCAGGGTGGTGAGGGACGGTGAATGAAAATATTGAAAGAGGAATTTAAGGGCTAAAGTGGAACGAACAATGATGTTGCATTTCTCGCATACGGGGGCCTGGCCTAGGCTTTGATCAGAACGAGAGCTAACCGTACTTGACGGTTGGGGGAAAAGGTTCCAGGAGAACCAACCGTATGAATCCAAACCAGTTACGGTTAAGTACGTTTAATTTGACGATGCTGACAAGTGCAAAAAGGTAAACACAAAACTCGTATGTGGTTTGAGAGGCCAATAAGCCTATTCTACCCAACTCAGGGACTCACCTTCATGACGAGACATTTCAACGCAGTGCCCCCACGACTTCGAAACTAGCGCCAACAATGAGCAACAATTTCCCCTTTCAAATAATACTAGACGTGAGTATTGCAGTGAGCTTCATAATAACAATTTCATTGACGAAAATTTTAGTTCATTTCCATCGCCAATCCTAACCCATCTAGGCCATAATGACGTCACGATGTTTCGTCCGGAAAGCCCGACTCTGTTCTGTACCGCCCGAACCGAACCGACGAGACGTCTGCACTGTGCGGACTACACTCAGATCCGACGGACAAGGGACTCTCTAGAACCCACACAGAAAGCCGAAAACCCCCACATTAAATGAACAACAATAAATTGAAAAAAAGTGCTTTGACACTAAGAAATGAACGCTTCCTCCTCTCTTTCAAATGTGGCCCTTCCCTTCTCGAGGACGTGTGCGTTTCGTGCCCTCCCAAATTCCATACTTTGCGTACGTCTTTCGTAGGTAAGCGTGCCCCCAGCCCCTATTAATTTTTACTTGCGGAGCATCGCATCAGTGCAGATCCTAGATTTAATCTTTGTGTTTTGTGAAGACGGTGCCCTCCTCTGGTGTATCAATTCAGTTTATGTAATGACCCAGTGCCAGTGTGCCTGATCACTATATGAACCGTTCCACGACTGTTGTGTAAATGTATGATGTAAATGTCTCAAAATAATTTGTCAAATAAAAAAAAACTGTATTGCGTCTGAAAAAATATGATGATGTTTTGTCATTTGAATCTGGTGAAAAAAAAGTCATCTTTAAAATAAAATGCAAGGAATGCAATAAATTTAATTTTTAACATTATTGTAAGTGACTAGATATGTCATAAATTTTCTTTGGTACTTAAAGCTACATTAACTTTCTCTGGTTGAGAATTTTCTTGACGCAACTCTTCCAATGCCTGTTCTACAAGTACACGTACTCCAGGAGGCAAAGGTTGAAAATCCTCCACTTCTGAGCTACTACTGCTTTTCCTCCAAGTAGATTTTTTCTTCACATCTAGAAAATAAATAAAAAAGGGACAAAATACATTTTCATCTTGAACGCAAGAGGAGTAGGAGCTAATTAATTTCCAAGTTACTTCTTACCACAATTTTCTTTGTTTTCAGGTGCTGCCTCTTTATTTATCTTCACTTCCTTTTCTGGTAATTTAAATTTTTCTGGGGGATGAAAAAAAGGCGTGATGAGAGAGCACAATTTTCTAAACATATTGTTTATAGGGAGTGAAATACCTAATGTGTTTGCTGCATCAGACTCAGAGTATCCTTCTAACAGGAGCATTGACGGGAAGACTGGCGTGCCTTGTTCGCCTGCTAGGGATTCCAGTTCTACAATACGTTTAGCAAGAATCCTGCAGCAAGATAATGCATAAAAATGTCACATAGTCCAACATGTAATAACAAGAGAAAGATTAAGGATCAATTACCGATTGGCTTTTTTCTGATGTACAAGACGAAGACTCTTGTCCTCCAAAGAATCAAACAATGCCTGACATACATTTCTCATGCTTTCCATGAAAGCAGGAGTGCTCGACTTCATTGGATGAGACACCGCTTCCAATAACTCCCGTACTGTTCAAATAAATTATTATGTTTTCAAATGTTGACAAAAGTCGTATTTGGATTCCACTTTATAACTCGCACCTACCTTGGCTCTGGCTTATAAATCTATTTGCGGGAGACAGAGTAGCAGAAATTTTTCTTTGTGAATTCGAGCTTTTGTTTGTTTGGTCAAAAGCAGCCTGGTGATGATAAATTTTTTTAAAATTAAGCAACACAAAACATAGAAGAGACTTCTTGCATTTAAAAAAAGTATACTTAACACAAGTTGTACCTTGTATTTTTGAAGAGATCGTTGGATGACCTCAATCTCTTCTTGCGATTGAAGCAATCTGTCATGGAGATACCTGTTTTCTGTGACTAGAGCATCAATATCAATATTATTCTGCTTGGATTTCAGAAGAGAGGATAGTTCATAATTCAAACGGTGAACTTTAAATTTGTAAGTATCACACTCCTGTTTTAATTCTTCTTTTTCATCTAGGAGAGCTTGAAGATTCACCTGCAGTTGTGAACACTGGAACAGCAGGTAAAAATTGTCTCTTAAATTTTCAGGCATGTTACAGCTTTATTGGAAAATGGATAAGTTCTGTTACTTTAGTATCCAAAGTTTCCAACTGTTGTATTAGTTCCTCTTTTGGATGATTTGGGAAGGCCTGACCCTCCCATCTACAAGAATTGCCACAGCGATGTCGAGCATAATTTGATCGGAGAGCCTGAAACAAAGAAGGATGTTGGTAGCACAGACACCAGCATGAGCTTTCGTCTTCTAATGAGTCACCACTGACCTCCATGTCCTCTCTAGCATCAGAAAGCTGTTGTTTCAGATCATCTATTTCCATACGCAGAGCTTTATTCCTTTTCTGTGCATCCCTTAGCATTTCAGCAACAGTAACACCAGGTCTAAATCCATCCTCTTCATCTTCAGTGTAGAGTGCCACTCGGTACAAACCCTAGAGAAATCAAAATAACACCCAAGAGCAAATTAAATGTTAAGGTTTAAGATGATAGTTGTAAAGCTAATATACTTCTCTTCCTTTACCTTGTTGTGCACATTTCGTTTGATGCTGGCCAGCCGGTGCTGCAATTCATCGACCAGAAGTTTAAACTGGTCTCGTTCACTCCTACATTTGTTGAGATCTTTGCTTAGAATTAAAACAGCTTCAGTTTTGCTCTGAAGCTTCCTCCGAAGCATAGCATTCTGAAACAAGAACAGGACAAGTTTATTTCTGGGAGTTAAACTAAAGGGCAATGTAGTAGTCTAAGTCTAACCAACACCAAAACACCGAACGTGCGCACAAACACAGCGCGATCCTTTACCTCGGACGCACATCCCTCCACGTAACTTTCCATCGTGATTCAAGACCAAGCACTCCATCTCACGTCATTTTCCTCCTGAAACAACGACCGATTGCGGCTGCAATCAGCCCGTATTGGCCGTAGCAACCTGTCAACTGTCAGTGAGCGAGCCTGCAGCCCGCAGCTGTGCAGCAGACGACGTGCGAGGCGAAGGGGGCGAGGGGCCGGGGGGGGGGAGGGAGGAGGGGTGAGGAGGGGGCGTGGAGAAAAGGGTCACTAGACACTAGAGTCCTACATCGTGTACTTGAAACACAAAAAACAAGAATCAGATTTTTGACAATCGTCATTCTAGAAGCTCTGACAGCATGGCCAAAAATGTGTGACTGAGCAGTCTTTCTGAGCAACAGTCGATTCGACACAAGACCGAAGGTAAGGTTCAAAGACGAATCCAGTCTAAATTTCATTATTTCATGTTGGCCAAATAAGTTGACACGATTTGCGATTTCCCTCTCGCCTGGAATGGCACAGAGAGTAAATTTATTTTTTGTTAAAAAACGAAATTTGGAAAATTTGCTACGTGTCTCTTAACGATTCTGATGAAAAGGCACACCGTTCTTGTCATTTCTCGGCTCTCAGTTCAGTAACCCACTTTAGGTACCCGAAGCACATGTAACTTGCAGCCCCCAAAAAATATCACAATTTATTTATAAATTTATTTAAAAACGGACATAATACGGAGTGTTGCCTGGAAGTTCCACTTATTTGATGACCGCCAATCTGCTTCATGTTGGAAGAAAGTAATCACGACATGAGCTCAATTTTTTTGCCACCGATCTTTTGACAGTGTACTTCGGAACTACACACAACAGTCCTCTACGCGGCGCAACGCGCGCCACACCGCGGGAGAGCTGCGTGTTTGGGAGCTGTCTGGGAAGGATCTGGGGGCCCAGGACCGTCCGCAGTGTGCAGGTGGCTCGAGGAAGACGGCAGCATGGACATGGAGACGGAGGACGCTCAGGAAATAGGTATGGAAGATGCGGCCGAGGTTAGAATTGAGGTTGCTAACGATCCGTCGCGACGCCATGATCGCCATGAGCAAGGAGGCGCGGTGCTGCCCCCTAGCGGCGTCGGGCTGAAGCTCTCGGTGGAGATGGAGGCGTTCAGGCAAGAGCGCGCGCCCGACGAATCCTCAGCGGGGACCCGCACGCCGGACGCCCCGGACACCCCCGAGGACGAGAAGGACAAGGACAAGCTGATGGACACGGAGACGGAGAAGGACAAAGACAAGGAGAAGGGACGTAAGAGGAAGAAACATCGGCGGCTGCAGCACAACAAGAAGGTGTGGCTGTGGAAGAAGGAGCTGGCGGCGGGCGGGGGCGGAGGCGGGGCGAGCCCTTCGTCGGGGAGGCAGAGGCAGCAGAGACCACGGCCCAACCGTTCAAACCGCTCCAACGCAGCCCTGCCCGCCCCGAACAACACGACGCAGTTCATCATGGAGGACCATACGGACGTGCCAGCCCTGGACCTGGAGGCGCTGCGGGGCTCCAGGACCAGCAGGGCCAGGGACTCGAGCTTCAGCATCGACTCGGATGAGGATTTCTCTTCATCCCCAGAGGATGAGGCGTACCTCTGGAAACAGTTCTCTAACACCTATGAAGATGTCCACGTGGAGAGATTGGGTACAATGACCAAGGTGGACCTCATCCAGGAGTATCTTCGGTTAGAACAGCAAGTTGGCAACCTGGAGAAAAAATTGATAGGCAGCACGGGCACCGATTCTGAGAGTGAAGTTCCTGAAGGAGACTTGGCAATAGAACCCGTCATGGCAGAGAAGATACGAATATTCCAGGAAGAGATTCGGAAGCTTGCTGTTGAAAATGAACAATTGGTTCAGGAAAATAAAAGAATCCAATCATCAAGCAGCCTTGTGAGGCAATCATCCTCATCCCTCTCATCATCCATCGACTCTGAAAGCGATAGTTCTACCTCATCTGGGAGCTCATCGTCAAGCAGTTCAGGGTGCAGTGGAGCCAGTCGATCAAGTGGTTCAGGACGCAGTCACAGTGGTAAATCATCACCCCAAAGTGCAATCAGAAACAATAATCCAGGTATTGAATTGGAGGACAAAACCATTGATTTGTCCTCTGACCAGGATATGGAAAGTGAAAGTTTGAATGACGCTCCTCTCCACCTGGAATCTGTCCATGAAGAGAATTCAACTGTTTCGTCTGTCACTGCCCATTAGGTGTCATCTGTAAAACAACGAATATGTTCTGTTCTGTAACTTCATATTTCCTTACTCAGACAAAAACAGTGGATGGGGAACTATAATCCACCTAACTAAAGGCTGTGTGTACTGAGCCTAGAACTTGTGATGTAAATCACAAGCTTATTTTAATTAAAGATATGCCAGTGCTATTAGTAATTTTGATAATGTTCGGCAGCATATTTTTACTACAATTTACTTTGTACATAGTAATAACTAAGCAGTTTATGTCTTTGTTTTTATCTGTTCTGTAGGAGTATTGGCATATCTTTAATAAAATATCTCACTGTTGTAAGCTAGCTTTAAGTTTTAGTATTAATAAGAAAGATGTGTGTTGATTAAGTTAGTAAATTTGCTCTTCAAGTTCACATTCTTTCTTACCTGTCTTGGTTTAGCACTAAACTTGGTCAGTCAGAAATGATTTTTTTTTCCCATTTTTTCTTTGTATGGCATTTGTTGGCACGTGTTAGATAATTTTTAAAATTTGCTAAGTGCTTTGGTGCTGAATTAGAATTAGTAAGTTGTACTTTCACCAGTTTGTATCCATCTTATCATGGATCTTATGAAACTTTTGATTATTACCTATTTATGTTCATTATGTTCAAAATGTAGGTGCCTTTGTCTACCTGTATGATAACAGCCACTTTGTGAGGAGTTCTCTTAGCTTTATGCCCATTTTTGATATTTATTATTTTTTTTTTCCAATTGTGCTGCATTCATGTTTATTTCATCTTGCCATTTTTTCACTTACTAATGTGCTCAGACTTGTGTAACATATCTTCACTGGGAAAGCAACAGTTGCTTTGTGTGTCAAGTCTTCCATTCTTTTTAAAGGTCTTCAGAAATTCTTACAAAAAATACCATTTTGTTGAGTTAACTCATGAGATCACTGTGATTTGTGTAAAGTCTTGCTACTTGTCAGATTAATTTTAAGCATTAAAGACTGAGATATTTAACATGCTGGTGTTTTTATTAATTTCTTAAAAATAATTTGCCCTGACAAAGCAGTCTCATTTTCTTCACACACTCAGAAAAGTTCTTGAGTTTTGTCATGGATACACAAGTGAAAATTTTCAAAATGTTCACAAGTTTACAATTCCTATTTAGGAATCAGCAGTATCAGATTTCCTTCCAGACTTCTTCTTTACATTAGGGACTGGAGCATTTGGGTTTGTACCTTTGTAGAAGTCTTTAAGAAGTTGCATAGCCTCTTCAGCTCTCACTCCACCAATTATTTTGCAGGGATTTTCTGCCAATAGCCCTGCATCCAAAACAGTGCCACAGCCACCAAATCGATCATTCTGACATCCATAAGTGACTTGTTTAAGATGAAGATTGTGAAGTGCACCAGCACACATAATGCATGGTTCCACAGTTACAAAAACTTCTGTGTTTGCAAGAACAGCAGAGGAGTCCTTGTTATTATTTTTGCACCACTTTAGTACCTAGGGGCAAAACTTCACAATTAGCTTAAAGAAAGAGGCAAGAAACACATGTGTCAAATTTTAAAAAATACATACCTCATCAATACAGTTGATTTCTGCATGCCTTGTTGCATTTCGCGTTTCATTGACAGTATTTCTTCCAATAGCAATGATTTTGTCTTCATGAACAAAAACACATCCCACAGGAACCTCTCCAACTGCAAGTGCTTGCTGGGCCAGTTTCATTGCAATTTCCATACCGTCTTCTTTCAACTTGTCCCCAACAACCGGAATGTCATCCTTCAAGTCCCCTCTGGAAGAACTTTCCTTTTTCTCCGGGAAAAAGTCATCTGACTTGGACGCAGAAGAATCCATTTTAACTTCTTTCTTTTCTTTCAGAAAGCCTGAAGACAAGGTATTCTGATGATTATGTTTGAATTCCCTTTTCATTCAATAGACACAGTTGATTATTTGCAACAAACCTAAGAATAAATTTCAGTTGCCAGATAGAAGGTCAAGAATGCCCAGATCTGTCAAAATCTTTGCTACCACCTCTTTCCAATTTCCACTGCAGTGAGCATTACGGGGACTTGGGTGAGGAATTGAGACAACCTACAAGAGCAACATTATTAATCAAACGTTTTAAGTGAGTAATTATTTTTTTGATTTTTCAATCTTGGTTTAACTTTACCTTGACTTCTTTCAAGCATGCTTCATTTAAAGCTATGCAAGCTCTCTTTTCTGCAAATTTCCCAATTCCAACAACCAAATGGACTTTCAGGAGTTGAATCACTTTGGTCAAAGCTTTATCACAGAAAGCTAGCAGAACTTTTGATTCAGAAGCCTGGTCAAAAGCAAAAATTGGTGCGAGAGTTTTTAAGTGAATCAACAGCTTTTTGTTATCATCAATAAAAATGTGGCTTACCTTCAACTCTGCAGGTGTAATGTTTTTTCCAGTATCAGACATAAGAGCTATTGGACATTGGTTGTAAATGAAACAATTCTTAAAAAATAAGTAGGGGTTTGAGCCACAGATTTCTCGGAAAAGACCCCAAAATCGCTTGCCACTAACTTCACTGCGTCGACAGTCTAGCCCTTGTATCAGCCTAGATAATGGAAAATAAATATTTTTATGTCCTGTAAGTTTGGGATTAGCTTGGAGCAACAGCCAAACATTACTTGTTTAGCTCACCTTGATGGATGTTCGTGCTTCGGCTTTTTGACAGACCCCTGCAAACCAAACCAATCCTTCACAACTGATACCTCTCCAAAAGGGACCTGGAGAGAAAAAACAAAGAGCTGATTGTAATACTAAATCAAGCTCGAATACTCATGCTCAGTTTTGGTCGAAAAAAAATTGTCATGCAGGTGTTTCCATCTCTGACCTAATAAATTGAAACCATGCTACAGCACTGCAGTTACTTTATCAGATTTTTTTTTTTAAATAAGTGATAAAAGGAGGATATTGAAAGCAAGAAGCAAAGTAAACATTGAACTAGTTCTCACCCCAGTCTGTGACATGCCCCAAGGTCCTGGATTCATTCCCAAGAAGAGAACCTTTTTTGATGTGTTACAGAAATTCCTGACAAACTGAGCGTGCAGATCAAATGCATACTCAATTGGACTGTACACATACCGTACAGGCAGACTAAACATCAGTGAGCTTATTTGTGCGCACAGTTCTAGCTCAATGCGCAAGAGTTCCTCAGCTATCGAAGGGCTTAAATTTGTAACAAATGTGGTATTTGTTGATGGTTGGTCGATGTCATCACTTTGAAAGCTTTGACCGTCCTGTATCGCTTCCACCTCATTGTCAACACTCTCCAATTTCATCATCTTAAATAGAAGTGAATTGAGCAGTGAAGAACAAACAAGACTAGAATGCATGCGTTTTTTACACCCAATACCCCCAGCATCCACAGGCCGAACACCAACAACAATAAAACAACTGTCCACTTCGCAATCGACATGCCCCAATGCAAGCTACTGTAAGGAAATCCTGGCTAGGTGGGCAAGGGGGCTCCTACACACCACACATTCCGGCTTTCCACGCGGAGTACGAACTGAAAAGCCGCAAATCCTAAATCGCAGCAGGTGCCTGTGCAGGCGGTCCACGCTCACGCTCCTTGCAGAAGACGCCAGCAGACGCTTGTGGTTATTTGCAGTTGATAATAATTCTTTCACTATTCGTAGTACGCGATACCCGATATTGACACGACCGAGAACAGTGAAGTCAGAAGTGTCAGGACTGTGATGCACTCCCATTGTTTTCCCCGGTGACACATCCTTTACACCTTTCTACGTTTACTACATGTGCTGATTTCGTGCTGTTGAGCCATGGGGTGCTGTTGGGGTAGTTGCAAAGAAGACAGCGCGTCTCAGGTGTGCTTCGTTGATCTATTAATGGTGCATTTTGTCACGTAGCCTATCCTGGTTGAGGTTAGAAAGGCTCCTGATGGGCGTCGTTCTCCTTATCTTGTTGTGCCATTGGTCTCTGAATCTTCTTCGTATTTTACTGTTTACATTACTCCTCAAGGCAGAGGCAACCATGACATGTGCTGATCCAGGTAGTGACTATACAGCGCAGTGTGCTCAGCCTGCTTTGTCGTCCTCGTCTTGGAAAGCGCCACATTCCTGTAGCAACTAGTTCCCAAGCCTGATGTCCATGCTTATTCTCTCATTTATGACACCACCTTCTTTGGTTTACAGGGTGGAGATACGAATGAACGAACCCACCTCCTTGTGGATCCTGTCAGCAACAACACTCCGGCTCAAAGGGCAAACAGGTGTGTACTTCTCAAATATTGTAAAATTCTTTTGTGAATTGAGTTATTCTTTCTTAATTGAAATTCATTGCCATTCATTCTACTTGTTGGTAGTGACGACTTCATCTCCCGCTACCCTAACTCGATACCGAAGAAAACAGATGAACAGTCTGCATTGAGCAGGATATTACAAGAAACAGCTACGTAAGTCTTTTCAGAAGTCTTTTTTTTTTTTTTGTTTTTGCAGATTGCTCCTTGTTGCTTTTATTTTTTATGGAAATGTTATTGTTAATCTCAACAATGGCTTTGCAATTTTGTTTACAGAAATGTAATTGATGTGGCTGCATTAGATTCACATAATTTAGAGCAGCATGAATATAAAGAACGTTCTAAACAATACCAGCAAAGGTTGTTGATGCAAGGATCAAGCCAGCGATGGCATTTGTCTGCACCCAGTCTCCTTATTGATATACCTATGCCAGAAAAGGTACTTGCAGCCCCACCTCTGAGCTATGCAGACATGGACATGGTAAGCGATTAGATTGTTTGGTTTAATTTTAGTTGACACAATAAATATGATAATTTCTACGTTAATTTTACTTTTCAGATTTCACTACTTGTTCAAAATGCCAACTTTGCATTGGAAGAATTGAAGGTGGAGCACAGAGAGGACCTTGTTGTGCCCTTCAGAATCCCGTGAAAGACTCTTACAAAATAAGGATGCGTTCTTCTCTCACATCTGATGTGTTCCTGAGAATGAAGGAGTCATTTCTCACAGATTTGTTGAAATATTAAGTCATTTATCTTATATATATATTATTTTGTATAGAAATGTCAAGCCATAAATTCTACCATTTATGAGTAGTGAATGATACTGATGAATCATCATTTGTGATATAATCTAGGGTAAATGGAATGTGAATTCTTTTGGGAATACATACAGACCATTTGAACACCCTGCTCCATGACTGAATACAAAAATTTTACTAGAGAAGCTCCCTATTCACTTTGGTCATCTTCGTTCCTTATCTGTTTGAATTCTAGGGAACTATTTTTAACTTAAACATTTTTATAACACCTTTACAATTATCTTTTGTTATGTGTGTGGGTGGCACATGGAATTTGTAACTGCAAATTTTGGCTGTGGAATTGTATTTCTTTAAGCATGTGGTGGGCATTGGCCACAGCATTACACATGAAATCAATCTGTAAAAAGTTGATTAGTATGTATTGCTTTTAACTATTTGTTGGACATTACCTCATACTTCTTGTACTGTACATTTTTCTTTTTGTTATTTGACAGAAAATATGAACTTGTCTATCCACTCTTGTGAGTTCATCAGAAAAATACAACTTTTCTTTAATTTTACTACCGTTAATATGAATGAAGATAATAAAAAATCATGCAGCACTGAGGACTTACTCATTCCATTTGAACATTAAACATTTGTATTTCGGAAAAATGACAGGGAACAAGGAAAAATTTAAAATCAGGAAAGAACCTTACTACGGTGAAAGGAATGACTTGTACATAACAATACCATAAAAGGATACCATAACATATGGCTACGAATGGGTAGCATTATTAGTCATCACATTCCGAATGGTGGTCACCTCAGGAACTAGACTTACATTTTTCTTATTTAAAACTGGATAAGCATGGAAAAAGTAAAGCATAAAGCCTGCTGCTAAAACAGTATGAAGTACAATTATAATACCAAGAACTAGATAACGGCGAGCCTCCATCTGAGAAATGGCAGGCCATACAGAGGTCACAAGAACAGTTGCTGAAAGCCCTGTACCAACGAGGGCAAGAAGCCATTGGAGCCACGATAGTTGAATCACCCAGAGTACAGAAACAGGAATGTAGATGGTCAAGGAATAGCCATAGACACACAGCAATTCCAAGAATGACAGTCGATGCTGCAAAAATAAATATGATACAAAAAATTAAAAAGTGTAAACAGACAGAGATTTATCTGCAGCAAGTTGGCTCAAATCCTCACCTCTTCTGGGACCATCCATTTGAAAACTGCCCACAGGCCGAGGGGGACAATCCACGCATAGCTGTATATGGCAGTTGCTGAAAGTGTCACTGCATGGAAATCATATTTCCAATGATAGTTTTCATTAGCTGCTCCAGCTTGAAGATAATTTGCAAGATTTCCACTAATTGCGATAGAAAAAACTAAAGTTGTGCAAATCCAGAACGGTCCGTACAAATCTGGCTTTCCATTTACATGATGTTGTAGGAAACTCTTGGGAAAAGGAACTAAGGCTCCATAAAGGCGATCATATACTTGATCAGTATCTACATCAAATAGATTTTGGAAAAAGCCGAGGGACCAAAATGATGTTTTCTTGGTAGACTGGTCGGTGCTGTCCTCTAGAGGGTTGTCAGTCAGTTTCGTCTTGCCTGGGTCCATGTCGGAGTCAGAATCAATATCCAACAACGCAGCATTTTGCATGGAGCCGCTGGGGGCATTGTGAAATTCCAATTGTGGATCCATACTGCCCTAAAATAGTGTCGAACTAAGTCACTTTGAGGTTACAATGTCTCTCAGCCGACTTCCAGTTGAAATGAGCAGCGTTGAGCGAAGGGCAGCCGTAAAACAAAGAATTACATCACTAGAGCCAATCTCAGCGAAAACCACGCCCAAATGTGTCGAAAAATTAAAGGAAGCTGCAAGAGCCACACCGCCACACTTCACAACAAATGCAGTGTTGTCAAAAACGTCTCTCTCTGTCACTCTGCTGTCAGCCAAGTTCAGTTCAACCAACTCAACGTCACAAAATGGTCCTCGACCAAACAGGTTCCAACAGTGTCTATTAAACAGTCATCAGAAGTACTGATACAATTCTAAAATATTCAAACCTACCTCTTTTCAAGTATCACACGATAATTGAAGGCAGAAGAATGGAGACGCACGCCATCACAGTTCGGGGGATGCCCCACAGTTGGCAACAGTGTCTACACTGGTGTGCCTGTGTCGTCTGCTGGAACGCCACCCCACCTCTCTCTCTCTGTGAATAATTGAAGGTATCATCATCATCATCATCAGCATTGCTTGAATCTCCTCGTAAATTAATGAAGTATATGTGAGTGTAGCAACACATCCTCAAAAACAAGTTCTGTTTTTTTTTTTTCAAAATCAGAAAAATCAATAAATTAAATAAAAGTTTCTTGCAAAGAACTTTAGGCAAAACTGCTTTATATTCTATTTTTTGTATATCTTTTAATCTTTTGCAACTGAAGCACTTCACCAATTCTCCAATGTTGTATCACAGTTTTGTTTTAAATGATATTGCCATCATCAGCCCTGTAATAAAGACTCTTAAAAATGCTTTTGTTTTTAGAATTAACTCTCCACTTCCAAATAAAACATGGTACTTCTGTTTATGGCTGAGGTAATGGCCAGAAACTACTAGTTGGAATTTCTTGTCATAAGACATCCTCTTAAATACATCAGACTTACAGTGATTCAAGATGAATTCGTCAAAGAGCTCAACACGAAAAAGTCATTGACCTCTGACTTGAGCAAGTAGCTGTAGCGCTGCAGTCAGCCCTCACCTTTCTGCCGCAGCCCTCAAGAGTTATTTTTTGACTGTGCAAATTACTGCAGTTTTCCCTCCTGTCAATGTCCTGAAGGATCGGGGGGAGGGGGGGAATCTTCCAGAGGGAAGGAAGAGACAGTGGCGCCAGAGGCTCTTCAACATATGCCTGTTAGGTAGGCCAACCATCGGGCTCGCAAGTGTGTGGACAGTGGCTTGCCACGGCGCTTGGTTTGTTCTGAGCCGACCAGAACAAAGCAGCAGTAACCACCGACGTACTCGAACCCGCCTCCGTTGGCTATGTTGTAATTTTCGCATCGAATAGAATGTCTCAGTTTTTAATGGCAAATTAGTCTCTCTTCGAGCAGTAATCAAAAAGACCGCCCATCATGTGCCGCAACGTTGCCGCTGTGTAGTCCATTATATCGATAACAGCATGGACGTATTACATTTGGACGCCCGCTACGTGTTATCTGGTGGCAAATATAAAAAGAGTTTCGAACAGGTTTGAGATGCTGCAGGGTCAGTATCTCCAAATTGTGGCTCTAATTTTTATTTTGTTCGTTGTTAGTACTGGAGCTACCCTTCCTCTCCCCCTTTCCTTCCTCTCTCCACCCCCCTCCCCCGCTCCCGGAGACTGCTGGAGACGCTGGAGACGGTCGTCAACAACAAGTGCAGCAAGTGCATTGTCGGTTGCAGCAGCTTTCAGTCGCCTGTTGACAAGAAGTTCGGCGTTAATTGGCAGAATCTTTTCCTCGCCATGGGCAGGTGAGTCGCGAAGGCTGTTTAGTCTTGCCACACTTCCTTCCTGTGTAGCGAGCCGGCCTCAGCAACAGGTTATGATGGCGTTGTGGTACGTCGTCTACAATAGTCGCAAGGGCTGTCGCAGTCGCAAGTCGCAAGGTTCGGAATTTTGCGGCCTGAGGTCGTTGGTGCGCACTTTCTGAAGGCCGTGGCACCGTGCACGCACTGAGAGTGCTGTCGCACGTTGTTGAACCATGGATTTGAATAATTTAGACGATTTAATTATGACTGGTGCAGCAATGTGTTTACAAGGGTTCGCCTACTATATGAAGGTCCTTCGGAAACGTCGAGGGCGGCGCGGGAGAAGGAGGTGGCTGAGGCCTTCAAATAGGGAGAGAGGCGAGCCATATTCAGGCGATTGTTTTAGCAGGTTAGTGTATTAGTGTACGCCAAACCCTGGTCCTCCCCAACTTGAACGGTTAGTTTTATGACTAGAATGTCCAAAGGCGAGCAAGTCCAGTTGCACTTATAAAAGTGAAATAGTCATATGAATGCGATGTGCACTAACTGCAAGAAATTTCGTACTCTTTGTTATTTATTGTGTGCCTAAGTCCAGTCTTTGACCACAGCATCTCTTTAAAATTCCTACAAATTTTAAAATTTTGACCAAATAGGTCAATTTTATTTGAATTTGTAACTATGCCATCTTCGATTTGGCTGGAGCTCAGTTTTTAGTAAGCTGTCCAAGAAAGCAACAAAGCAAGTAGGCTCTGAGCCCGCCTTTAGGGTTTAAAGATTGGTGGAAAGGTTGTGCTGTAACTATCTAATTTAGCGGAAGCTGTCTATTTCCGTAACAGCTTGATTTAATGTTCCTGTAGTAGAATATGTACTTAGTAGAAATTCTGACAAAAATTTAGTGGACCAATAAGCCTTAACATAAATTGCTCAAAAAAGCGTTATTTATTTTTGCTTTTAGGAACAGATTTTGTCTACTCTGAAAAGTATTGATATGAAGCAATGTAATCAGGTTGCATAGCTTCCTTCACACAATATTCAAGGAGACTATTTATGTTATCTGATGAAAGCCCATTAGTCGCATCTCAGCATCTAGTATTAAAAGGTCTTTGGGACAATGTACGACATTTCAGAGAGACTTCAGGTATGGTAAAAGTTGTTATGAATCGACAAGTTGAGTGAACCAACAAGTTGAGTGAATCGACAACAGTGCGCTCAAAGGCAGCTCACAGCTGATAGCATTTCAGTTTCGATGAACACAAGTCATTAGTATGCAGTGCCAAATACCTGCAACAGGGGCTTTACATCTGAAATAACTTTCATGAAAGTGTATCATGAACAAGTTTGTCATTGAGGGCGACGTTTTCAGGTTGATCTGCTTCATCAGTCCCCAGTGACTGTCCTCTCGGGTCAAGCTACGAGGGGGTTGCACGCTCTAAACCTGTGACCTAACTATTAGGCTATTACGCTATATTACGCCTCATAATAATCAGAATTTAGCTAAAAACTGCCCCAAAACACTCCAAAATTGGTAAAAATTTGAGAATTTCGGATATTACGCGGCTATTACGCGTATTATTACGCGTCCTATTACTTATAGAGTGAACAGACTATTCTTGGTTCCTCGGCTCCTTGAAATTGCCTACATTCAGGGGACAACATACAGCGCTGCGGCACGGACATAATGCGAACTACTGATATGGCGGGAGATTTTGAACTTGGAACATTTCAAACAAGGTTTGGGAAGTGAATTTTGATCCGTGTGACCTAAATTTCAATGAAGATGCTTCCCATGATTAAATATTGTGGCCTAAAGTTGATCCCAGGCACATGATTGACTACTTTTTGGTGTTCCCAAGAGCTCGGGTTGGGGTGGTCCGACTAAAGCTTTCTCGACATCTTTTATTTTAGACCTAATGTTTTTTCTTGAATTATTGATTGACTATTTTTGTGTTTTGTGATCACTGATCATGTTAACCTAATGTTTCATTAGAACTTCAATGTTACTTCTTCTTGAACAATTGAGTGAAAACTTATTTATGCAGCTCCTTTTTTCTTTGACTTTTTGTACGCAAATGAAGTGAAAAATTAATGTTCCTCACCTTTGTTTAAAATTTGTAGTAATTAAATCTTAATATATACTAACCAGTCGTTCACTTGCTCGCCCTTATCACAGTTCATAAAGAAATCGACACTACAGCCATAATTCTCTCTTAACTCTGATAATAAGGGCATGCAAGTGAACGATTTGTTAGTATATATTAAGATTTAATTAATACAAATTTTAAACATTAATTTTTCACTTCATTTGCGTACAAAAATTCAAAGAAAAAAGGAGCTGCATAAATAAGTTTTCACTCAATTGTTCAAGAAGAAGTAACATTGAAGTTCTAATGAAACATTAGGTTAACATGATCAGTGATCACAAAGCACAAAAATAGTCAATCAATAATTCAAGAAAAAACATTAGGTCTAAAATAAAAGATGTCGAGAAAGCTTTAGTCGGACCACCCCAACCCGAGCTCTTGGGAACACCAAAAAGTAGTCAATCATGTGCCTGGGATCAACTTTAGGCCACAATATTTAATCATGGGAAGCATCTTCATTGAAATTTAGGTCATACGGATCAAAATTCACTTCCCAAACCTTGTTTGATATGTTCCAAGTTCAAAATCTCCCGCCATATCAGTAGTTCGCATTATGTCCGTGAGGTAGCGCCACGGGTCGCCGATGTTAGCAGCAGGCCAGAGGAAGCTAGAATAACGCGATTGCATACCCCCTCGTCAAGCTATGCCCGTCTACAACTCTTGCTACGCCTGTTCCAGCCTGGCTGTGCTGGTGGGGCCCCGCGGCGAGCCCGAGCTTACGCTGCAGGTGCTGTGCGACGACGTGCCCCTGCGCGCCCTGTCGCACGTGGACCCCGCCACCGACCACCCCAGCGTGCGCTTCGTGGCGCCCGGCCCCGGCGGCCGCCTCACCGTGCGGCTCCACAACGGCGGCGTCCGGGCGGGCTGCTACTTGGAGCTGGAGCGCGCTGAGCTCGGGCCCAAGGACTCCTGGGAAAAGTGTGAGGCCGGCCAAGTGAACAAGGCCAACCTGCTCTACCACGGCGAGAGGTGCGTACAGTGGCGGCTGTTGTACACTGAGAATACCTTACAAACTATTTTGGGCCTTACATAGAAAAGCAGTTTGTTTTATCAAAGTATTTTGAGCATACATAAGCTTACAAAAAAATACTTCGTAATTTACGAACTATTTCTTCTTATAACAAAGTAAATTAGTTTGTTTATTTGTGCTCAAAATACTTTGTAAGGTTTTAAGCGTGTAGGGAGTCGAGTGCTGTGCGGGAAGAACTGCATCATCGGGCGCGTACCCAGGATTCTCCTTCAGGGAATTCATGTCCCACTTTTTGCTTACTGTCACAGGTGGAATGTTCTGTGCGTTGCCACCTTGAGGTGGATTGTTCTGTGAGTTGCCTACCTTCAGGCGATTTAAATCGAGGGGTGCCCTTCTCTTGTATAGCCGTACACTGCAGGCCATAACAGGATATTTTCGCTGTTTTTATCGGTTTTATCGGGGGGGGGGGCGCTCTTATGAAAAAATGGCAAGGACACAGGAGAGGGTTCGATTTTCGATTAAGTAGGATCGAACCCATCTCGGTTCTAAAATCGGACTCGGTGGCATGATAGAGCACTTCCAATATGTGAAATATGGCGGCACGAAGTATGGCAAGTCCTGCTCGCTGAGGGCCAGCAGAAGACGCCTGCCAGACGCTTGAAACTAGCGATATTTTAGTATTGTCAGCGTTTTCCACCAGATTAATGTTACCAGTTTGTTCCTTAAGATATCCGAAACATTTTGTCACAATATCATTCACAGAATTCGCTCCCGTGGGTGAATTTAAGAGTTAAATCATGGTGCTACGCGTACCCTTGTTTGAACTGCCGCGGCTTTTCGCTTGCAGACTTAATTTTAAAAACTATTCCTAGGTATCTTTCGTGTCCTCAGTATGAAAGTGCAAAATCAGGTGATGCCAGAACAGGTTTTGTTTAGTCCTAAAGACTTAGCATTCCCGAGATTTGAGCGATTTCGTAGCGTCGGCTGCTCGGCCCTCAGCGAGCGGAGAACGTTCTTTACCCGGCAGTGACTCCCGCCAAACATAACGGTACGCCATTGGGGTTCGAAGGCAAAGCTCAGCGCCGCCTGGCCAGGCGTGGTGGCCACCCGCGGAACTACAAAAGAATTGTGCCATGCTACTGTCAAATCGCGGAGAGCATGGGACAGCAGACGACGCCGCCGACTAAATATCGCTGACATGTCGAAACATGTGTCGTATCAGCTCTCTAAAATTCATTTGATCTTAGAAAACTTAACCCCGACAAGCGTAATAGCGTAAACGCTTGGCGGAGGCATTTATAAATCTGCTTGAACAACTGATTGGGGTCGATGGTGCTGCTCTCTGGCGGGCCCTCGAACCCCAATTGGAAGTGCTCTATTCGATATTTTGACAAGGTGGGGGTTCGATTTTCGGCTTTGTCGGCTTAGCATGGGAGTTATACCTCTCTGTTCCGTCCTCTCTGGTTTGAACTTCGCTAAGTTGAGTGAATATTTAAACAAACCAGATAGACATGGCCTTTCAGATTTTCATTCGTCTCGAGAGGACAAACATGATATGATAACACACGTCATGGGTTTAAATGGAAAATGAAAGAGTTGTTGGACTTATAGAGTGCTTAAATGGTCAAAAAGACATTAGAAGTTCAATAACTCTTTCATTTTTCATTTTAACCCATGGCACGTGTTGAGACGAGGGGGAAATCACTCTTAAAAATTGTGACCCTACTATTCCCTATTACGTTCTTTTACACTGTTACAAAAGGCTTATTACACTCGAAAATATCCAGATTTAGGCTAAAATCAAACCTAAAATAGGGAAAATGAAAAAAAAAAAATTGGCTGCTATTACTATTACGCGTAATACTAGGAATCGGTGACCCGACTATTACGCGAGTGATTTCCCCCTCGTGTTGAGATGTTTTGTTTGTCTTCTTGAGACGAATCTAAATCTGTGTATATTTCCCTAAGAAAGGCCGCAGAGCCGAAAGCCGGCGAAGCAGTCGAGAATCGAACCTCCATTGGGCTCGATTGTACTGAAACCCGCCTTTCCAAAAAATTTGCAGTAGTTCAACCGTCGGTGAGAGCCGTCCAGACGCAATAATTCTTGTGAACGATTTCGGATCTGCGTGTTTTTTGCTGCAGCATGACCGTGCGCCGCGACGAGAGCACTGGCGGCCGCAGCATCCTGGTGGAGGCGCTGCGGGACGCGCAGGGCCGCCCCCTCGGCGAGCAGGACGCCGAGGTGCGGGGCTTGGCGCGCACCAAGTGGCGCCTCGGTGCGTGGCCGGAGAGGAACGGCGACCAGCAGCTGTCGGGAAGCCGATGGCGCCTCCTGGACGCCAAGCAGGGCCGCGAGGTGCCCCTCTGCGTGCGGACTCCCACCGGCGACGCCTTGCTGGCGGCATGCCCCACTGACTCCATCGACTCGCTGCAGGTGAGTTTCATTCGTCGTCCAAACTCTCCTTAGTTCGTAAAAGTAAGCTAAAAGTCACTGTATCAAACATTACTGATCTTCTTAGGCCCTACAAAAACAAGTAGCTTGTTAAACCAAAGTATTTTGAGCTTACACACACTGGTAAAACAAAGGCATTAAAATTATGCCCTTGCAGAGCGTAAACGATTTACGCCCTTGGAGCGGCGTGAATCGTTAATGCCTTTTGGGAAGGGTATTAAACTTTTGCTTAAAGTTCCTATATCATTCACGCCCTTCCCAAGGGCATAAAACAACGCCCTTAACGGGCGTTAAAGAGTATTTATGCCCTAAAGGGCGTAATTTTTATGCCTTTGTTTTAGTGTAAGCATAAAGAATGTACTTCGTACTTTACGAAATTCTTCATGAACTTGTACCTTTCAAATGCTTAAAATACTACGTCATATTTAAAGTCTGCAATTCATTCAGTAAAAATTAAAAAAAAAATTAAGGTGCGAGATCGCGGACCGGGGTCCAAGCAACGGCTAAAGGAACTTAGACCGTTGTATTGACCGGAGTCCTCTCATGCGAATACTCCTTGCCATTTTCGTTCAGGCAGTTCAGGCAGTGTAGCACTTTCCCGAGAGATGGCACCACAGTCGAGTACTTCCAAAAAATTAAAAGGCCCTTGTTGGGGGTGGAGAGTCCTATCCTCACTGTGCATCATCTTCGTGTCAATGCCGCCTGATTTGGCAGTGTAGTTGCCGGTGCGGCCGAGGCGAGCACCGGCACCCTCGTCAAAGTGCACAAAGACAGCTTGACAGGTGTCACTCAGCATGAGCACAGCAACGGGTGAACTTCTGAGATTTCAAATTTATCAAATCAAACTTGTTTCAGTCGTTTTCCTCGTCTCATCGCGGTGCCAGGGGTATATAAATTTATCCCAATAGTGCAAAATGAACGGGTAGTGTCCGCGGCCTAATCCTGTTGTTGGCCCTTCTGGGGCTGCCCCAGTGGCCGAGCGCGCTGCCGGTCCTGGGCTGCGTCTCCAGCGGGGGGAGGGGAGGGGGCAGACGGAGCGGAGACAATAGATCGGAATGCAGCGAGGTGTCCATCATAAACGTGTCGCACCGACTCGGCCGTCCTGCACGCAGTTCCGATTCTTTCCGCCGCGCCACCCTCCGATGCCTCAAAATTCGACCGCCAAATTCAAAACGTGTGAAAAGGACGGAAAACTGAGTGAAACGGCAAGAACGCCTACGCAAAAACTATGATAAGTACAGCGAATCCGAAAACGGATCCGTGTAGGGGAAGGGTGTCCGGAGGGCAATTGATCAGTCTGAAAGTAATCCGACAATAATTAGTGTCATTGGGGTAGCGTCAAAGAAAAGAGCGAAAGTAGTCGGTTTTGAACACCTCACCAAACGTACAAATATTGATCGCGCGGCTCCCGGCCTGATCAATTGCCCTCCGGACACCTTTCCCCTACACGAATATGCCGCATAGTTGAGCCGAAGGCGTTTTTTTCCGCGAGCGCTGTTTTCACACTTACAACGTTCAATATTTCGGTTCAAAATTTTTTGAGAAGAAAATCCTTTGAATGGGGTGCTTGTATTGTCGTCCTTAATGCATGTACAAATTTTGAACGAAATCGGTGACCCAAAATTTACGCGATCTAGCACCTTAAAAGAAAATTGAAAAATGTCATTTTAAAATGTTGGTTTTACCGACGAGAATGTCGTCTGCTGCCCGCCCGATAAACGCCTTTTGAGGGTCGAAGTCGTAGAGTTGGCCTTGTGTGTAATGCAGTGTTGATGGTGTGTGTGCAGGCGAGCATCGAGCGCGAGTTGGGCATCCCCCTTGCCGAGCAGCGGCTGCGCGCTGCCGACGGCTCCTGCCCTGACGGCGCTGGGAGTCTGTGCGCCGCCCTGGGCAAGGGCTTCCCTACCCTATACGTGTGCGGCAAGCAAACATTAGGGCCCAATCTCTGGCTTTACGTGCAACATCCGAAGGGGAAGAAGTTCTTGGCGGCCAAGTCTTGTGAGGAAGTGAATAGCCTGCTGAGCGAGGTGCCAGGGTACAGAGGCGGCCTAGACGGACTCTTTCTGGACGGCAAGGAGCTGCGCGGTGACCGACCTCTGTCCTGCTACAACGTGGCGTGCCTGGACACCCTCGAGATGCGCGAGAGAGGCTCCCTGCGCCTCAGCTTCACCGTGGAGGACGCCGACAAGGCCCCCGTGACGGTGGAGGTGGGCGTCGACCCAGAGGACGCGGTAGCGGTGCTCCGACGGAGGGTCATCTTGAAGACCATCACAGACTCCATACAAGTCAGGCGCCTCAACCGATCTGTTGACTGCGTGCTGGCCCTGGGGGACGAGAAGCTTGACTTGGATCGCTCTGTTGCGGAGAGCGGCCTATGCTCCACTCAGACAGCCCATCTGGTTCTAAGGTGCGTACGTACAGACAAGGGGAAATCACTGTGAATTTCGGTGTACAAATCCAATGAATTTCAGTCGAATTTCGTCGAATTTCAGTCGGATTTCGATGAATTTCAGTCGAATTTCGATGTATTTCAGTCAAAATTTGGTGAATTTCAGTCGAATTTCGATGAATTCTAGCCAAATTTCGATGAATTTCAATGAAGTTTAGTAAATTTTAGATGTTTGGTGAATTTTGGTGTACAAATTAGGCTGGAGTTATTTCCCCTTGCGTACAGACACGCTGAGTCGATTGCGACGGGATTTGCACTCGAGTGCAAAGCGGTTGAAAGCGGTGAGCCGACCGCCTATTACGCTGGTATTGCGCGTAACCCGGCGTTACCGTAATGTGGGCTTGGAAATATCGGGATTTGAGAAAACTTCTTTATGAATAGGTAAAACTTCAAAAATCTCGCCATGCGAAAAATTTCAAGAATTTCGGCCACGCTACGTACTCTATTGTGACGGATAAGTGACCCGAGTATTATGAGCATAGTGCTCTCTCCTTCAGTCGATTCTAGGGGTGAATCACAAGTGCACTATGTGTACACATTTTCCAAAATCAGTGTAATCAGACGTTTTAAAAACGCAAAAGTTTCATAGTGTTTTGCGTAGTTTGGTGTAGTATGTCGTTTCAGACTCAAAGTTTAGGATAAAAACGTTGCAAAATGTGGAATTTTTGAGTATTACATGGTGTACTTACCTGTAATGTACTCATGTGTACACCAAAGCGCACTGTGATTCACCCCTCGCTCCGATTTGGGCGAGGGGGTAACGACTGCGGGAATCCGGCTGACAGCAAATTGGTAACCCGTAATCCGGTTGACCCGAAATTTTGAGGTAATCCGGGGTAATCCGGGAAAATTTTGAGGTAATCCGGGGTAATCCTGCTAAATATGGAGGTAATCCAGGATATTTTTTTTGTTGTAATCCGGAGGTAATTCGGGGGTAATCCGGGGTACCGTGAAACGGGGTAATTTCGGACACTCGGTGTAATTTCGGACAACTCTGCCCGGAAGCATTGCGATGATGCTCCCATCTAACGGCCAACTTGGAGGGTTGTCCCGTTGCGCGCATCGCATCGGCCACACCTAAAACCATCTGATCAATCACCCGGAGGCCAAATCAGGGGCAAACTCCAGGAGAAATGGTGGTTTTTGTATTTAACCATTTTTACCTAAATTCGCTTTATGCGTAAAAACTTTGACTGGCAAGCCGAAACTGTTCATGGCCGGTTCATGAGGTGATTGTTTGTCGATTCAATCATGTTAAGAGCATACTGTGTCAAATTTTCAATCACCTGGGTCAAATAGTATGGTTTATATGGGCTCAAAACTAAAAAAATGCTACTTTACGGGGTAATTTCGGACATACAAACGTCACTCCAGGGAGAGTGGGTATGTCCTGAACACTTCCAATTTCGCAGGGTTTGAGTGGTGGAAGCTGAAGAGCTCTTCTGAAAGTTGAAGTTAATCCAATAACAACGATAATCCTCAATTGTTAAAGCGGTTTCTTTGTAAACTTCGAATTTCATGAAAATGGGGCAAAGCTACATCTTTAATACTTAGTTTTTTTATGTGCGTGTTCTACCTTAGTGTCAACGACTGTTTTGTGATTAATTTTCTTTCATGTGACATGAGAGTTGGACTTGGCGAATGGCTGCATAGCTCGCCGGTTTACTATGCAACGCTTTCCACTGAGCCCCTGTATCTTCCTAACCGTACATACGACACGACTACTTGCCTTTCATATGCATGCATGTGATCGTATGTAATCTTGTAGAGGCAGATTTAAGATTCACTTTCGCGTAATAAAGTATGGCCCGAGTTGCCTGTGAAAGCTAATCGGTCAAAAACTAACAAATAGAAGCGTTCTAAATGGCTCTACTAGTTCCACCCACTATTTCTGAAATCGAACTACATATGAGTGCAAAACATGACTTAAAATTATGTATGAATGACCACCCCTACCTTTCTTTACATCTTAAGGGGGGAGACTCGTCTTTAACACCATAATTTTAGCAAATTTCAGGCTTACATGAAAACTATTTCCAATAGATTTGAGGGTCAGTGGGGTTTTCCAATAAAAAGCTGGTTCTTTAAGGTTCATTTTGGAAAAAAAAGTTTGACTCTAGGCCTCATAACCTAGGATCTGTAATCTTTCTGCCAAACCTCGAAAATACGACAAAAATTCACTGCGCGCATGATTTTTGGATAATGAGGCATCATATCATAAATGTCTTTGTTGCTCCTTCAAAAGGACTCCCGGCACTCTAGATTGAACTAGGATAATTGAAATAGGTGGTTCCTAAGTGCCTGAAACTTACATTTTAAGGTGTACGAAAGAAAGCATTCAAATTTAAGCATTTCCATAACCGTTTTCGGCCACTTCCGCTTGTCCGATTGAAGATATCCTAGTTCAGACTGACGGCCTTATGGAGGTGAAACATTGGAAAAATTATGAAGTCAATACAATCAACGGTCTGGCTTAAATCGTGCGCGCAAGACCCAAAATATTGCAATTGAGTAAAATAGCTCCAAAGTTTGAACGGTCTAACCTATCCTGTGGAAAATAAATTACAAAATGTCGTCCTTTGGCCAAACGGTTTTGAATTTCAAAACCAGCCAGCCACCCAATTCAAGGGTTTGACACAAAGAATTCAAAAAACTCAAAAACAAAAATCTGATTTTTTGAAGGAGAATGACGAGTCTCCCCCCTTAACCCTTACGAATTTCTCACATAATCATATTAGCACTTTAGAAAGAGACAGTGAGCGATTTTGGGACCAAAATCAGAACGAAAAGTCGTTTTTTCCAAGCGTGTCCGAAATTACCCCAAAATACGGGGTAATTTCGGACACTGCTTCGGACCCTCCACTGTAAAAACGGTGAGGTGCAAATATTTGAAATCAGCGCCAAATCGAAGCTAAAGGTGCGTAGATGATAAATTTTAACCCTCAAGTCCATGACAGCACCACAACTTTCACAATTTCAAAAAAACCTCTCAAAAGTGTCCGAAGTTACCCCGTTTCACGGTAATCCGTAATCCGGCTGACACGATATTTACCAGTCGTTACCCCCACGGATTTGGGCCAATCTTTGTTAATAAATTCCCACAATAGGGCATAGTCATGAACCAATTCAAAATTAAGCTCTACGGCCTTGCTTGACGGCCTTTTTTGAGACATCGCTTAATTTCGCTCAATATGTGGACGATTTGCCTGCTGTTTGCCAATACGTCTACAGACTCAATTTCTTACTAAGAAAGGCTGTGCCGGCCATGTTATGGTACGAAAATCGTTTCTAATATAGGAAAGTATGTAAATTTGTTCGTTTCTAACAAAGAATTTGACTTCGTAAGTTACAGAGCGCACACACAGCCATAAGCCATATGGTTTCGTACCATAATACACTGAAAATCCAAACGCTATGAATATAGCGTATAGTGTCAGTTGGTGCAATGCTTTTGCATTGCACATGAAGTCTGGTGCGATATCACGGTGCATTGCAGCATACGTGCTATACTCATAGCGTTTGGGATCTCAGTGAACGAAGACACTTCTTCGCAGGACATTAAGCGTTGTTTATGTCTGTTCAGGATTCCAGCCCGGCCCCCTAGTTCGGTGATATACATCAAAATCTTATTTCTCACTGGCAAGTTGCGTCTTTTGGAATGCTACGATTCGGACACAATTGCGGTGAGTTTCTTTGTCTTATCCGGGAGTCGTGTGACTTCAGCAATCACCACCCTCAATAACACTCATTCTAGGAACCTACATCACATTGAAACGAGTGACAAATTGTCACGTGCCTTTGAGCATTTTGTCTCATCTGTTCGAATGTGACCCAATGCTCATAGGAGCGTCGCATTCTGTCACATTCGTTTGAACGTGAGGTCACGTTCCTGGAATGAGGAGAGCGTGAATGAGGCGGCGTTCGCATCGCAATCAGTGTCAAACTGACGAAAACCCCGTCGCAGCGGACCACTGAAAATTAAATGGCGAGACTGATGACCGAAATTTGGCGCGACCAAAATGTCTCGCCATTCCGTAGCGAGACCTGAGCCGTAATTTTAGCCATGCTAAACTTATCCTGCTAAACTTATTCCTAAGACCCTTTATTTTATTTTTCCATTAAGGGAAGGTGGGGCACAATGGGACACGGGGCACAATGGGACACTTTCAAATTTGCCGCCTTCCTGTTGCCGTGGGATCTCCCAATCACGAGGTGAGATAGCCTATGAGTAGCAGATAAGTTGACACAAGGAGTTGACCCCGATCGACCTTCTCCCGCCAGGGCAGGTAGCTACGAAGTTTACAAACACTAAAATCAAGGTAAAACCAGCACCAGCACTCGATTTATTATTACCTGTAGCTCGGAATATAATGAAGGTAGATGAGATTTTGAAACAGGGGCCTGTTCCTTGACCCTTTGCGCGTCTGTGACTCGTGTCGCCACGCTGTCGGATGAGTGGTCATGCTGCTAGACCGCGGCTGGTCGGATGTGTCGTTCGGTACACAATGGGACAGACCCGGTTGGGGCACAATGGGACAGCCCACTTACTGTCTTATTATGCCCCAACCCCTTCGTAAACAAAACTTTTTCAAAATACATCGAGTACTTCACTATTGATATGTCTCCGTGTTGCATTTTTACTCCAGAGCAAAATGTGCAAGTGAAGGCAGTTTTATCTTGGTTTAATTTAAGGTCTTCTTTCATGTTGACAGCACTCATCGGGTATGATGCGTTTTCCGTATATGTGCTACTCAAAATACTTCCACAAGTTTGTCTTAAGAGTCAATAAACATTGGACTTTGCACCTGTCGGTGTTTCGAGCTCTTAAAACCTATCTTTTCGATGAAAAAACGCAGTGTCCCATCCTACTCCAGGGGGTGTCCCATTGTGCCCCAGACCGGGGCACAATGGGACAAGTGCAATGTTTTGGGAAAATGAAGAAATGTACCTGATGACATTAAAAAACAACAGTACCGTGAAACGGGGTAACTTCGGACACTTTTGAGAGGTTTTTTTGAAATTGTGAAAGTTGTGGTGCTGTCATGGACTTGAGGGTTAAAATTTATCATCTACGCACCTTTAGCTTCGATTTGGCGCTGATTTCAAATATTTGCACCTCACCGTTTTTACAGTGGAGGGTCCGAAGCAGTGTCCGAAATTACCCCGTATTTTGGGGTAATTTCGGACACGCTTGGAAAAAACGACTTTTCGTTCTGATTTTGGTCCCAAAATCGCTCACTGTCTCTTTCTAAAGTGCTAATATGATTATGTGAGAAATTCGTAAGGGTTAAGATGTAAAAGAAAGGTAGGGGTGGTCATTCATACATAATTTTAAGTCATGTTTTGCACTCATATGTAGTTCGATTTCAGAAATAGTGGGTGGAACTAGTAGAGCCATTTAGAACGCTTCTATTTGTTAGTTTTTGACCGATTAGCTTTCACAGGCAACTCGGGCCATACTTTATTACGCGAAAGTGAATCTTAAATCTGCCTCTACAAGATTACATACGATCACATGCATGCATATGAAAGGCAAGTAGTCGTGTCGTATGTACGGTTAGGAAGATACAGGGGCTCAGTGGAAAGCGTTGCATAGTAAACCGGCGAGCTATGCAGCCATTCGCCAAGTCCAACTCTCATGTCACATGAAAGAAAATTAATCACAAAACAGTCGTTGACACTAAGGTAGAACACGCACATAAAAAAACTAAGTATTAAAGATGTAGCTTTGCCCCATTTTCATGAAATTCGAAGTTTACAAAGAAACCGCTTTAACAATTGAGGATTATCGTTGTTATTGGATTAACTTCAACTTTCAGAAGAGCTCTTCAGCTTCCACCACTCAAACCCTGCGAAATTGGAAGTGTTCAGGACATACCCACTCTCCCTGGAGTGACGTTTGTATGTCCGAAATTACCCCGTAAAGTAGCATTTTTTTAGTTTTGAGCCCATATAAACCATACTATTTGACCCAGGTGATTGAAAATTTGACACAGTATGCTCTTAACATGATTGAATCGACAAACAATCACCTCATGAACCGGCCATGAACAGTTTCGGCTTGCCAGTCAAAGTTTTTACGCATAAAGCGAATTTAGGTAAAAATGGTTAAATACAAAAACCACCATTTCTCCTGGAGTTTGCCCCTGATTTGGCCTCCGGGTGATTGATCAGATGGTTTTAGGTGTGGCCGATGCGATGCGCGCAACGGGACAACCCTCCAAGTTGGCCGTTAGATGGGAGCATCATCGCAATGCTTCCGGGCAGAGTTGTCCGAAATTACACCGAGTGTCCGAAATTACCCCGTTTCACGGTACACATTCCACCACTTTAAAGAGTACATGATTTACTATCATTGAGGACGGTTTGGGGCATTCTAAGTCAAATATTCAGTTGGGTACGTCAATTTAAAGAAAAGTGTCCCATTGTGCCCCACCTTCCCTTATCGGCCTATGCTTTGCCATAGCCAAGGACCTACCCTAAACTTTTCTCTGACCGAAAGCAGGTATTGCATGGATAAAGTAAATTAAAAGACAATAGACCCCGGACGCACTCCGAAGCATGGGTTGTCTCTCTCCCCACCCCTCTTCCCTCCACGCCGAATCAAATTTCTCGCCAAACTGTGACGAGAAACAAAAGTCTTACCATTATTTGGTGAGAACCAAGTTTCTCGCCAAGATTTGGCGAGAATCGAAAGCCTCGCGGATTTAAGCGGAAGACAGGGCTGGGCAGCCGTTGTCTGCCGATACGCATGAAACGGATATACATGGGATATATTAGCCATTGAATATCATTCTACAATGATTTAAATTTCATTTCGTGTCTTTAATCTATGAGAATATTTTATCTAGTGTTTCCTCACATCAAATAGAGATAGGTGGCAATTATTGTCATATGTTGGCGAGACGTTTGATTCAATTCTCGCCACAGAATGGCGAGAAATTCGATTCTCGCCACAGAATGGCAAGACTTTTCTTTTCTTTCCCGTGGAGCACGAATTCTCGCCATTGAGTTTTCAGTGACGTGCTGTAAACTGATGCTTTCTGTTGCTGAATGTTTCAGGTGGTGAAAGAGCGGATCAGAAAGTGGGAGGGCGTTTGGCCCGATTATCAGACAATTATTTGGAGCGGCATGCGACTACAGGACGGTGTCACCCTCAGAGACTACGGTATTAGGGATGAAGACACTTTGTACCTGCTCATGAATCTTCGCGGTGGCGGTGAAGTCGTTCCCGACTGGAAGGTGGTGAAAGGGCTAGTGGACGAGGACGCTGCGTCCCCTGAGGGCGTTGAACCTGTGCCCGCTCCGCCCGCTCCTTCTGGCCAGGATTCAGCCGGAGTACTGGCAGTCGGCAAAATTGTGTCCGGAGGGTTTGTCCCTCCCCCGAACACCGTGAGCTGTGAATTCGAGATGGACCTCTTCGGTGCCAGCCCGAAACTGCAGTTCGATGTATTCGTGGATGAAACCTGTTCCAGCAATTAATCTTAATCTGGACACGCAGTTGACGACCTCTTCGATTCTGTGCACTGAAGTTTGCATGATGAGTGGATTTTTAAATGACTGTTTTATGTTTAATTTATGTTCGTTCGTTATCAAGGGGAAATACAGTAACTCCAGCCAAAGTTGCACACCAAAATTCATCAAACATGTAAAATTCATTAAATTTCCTTCAAATTCATCAAAACTTAATAAAATTCATTGAAATTTTTCTCGAAATTCAGTAGTTTTTGCCTGAAATTCATCAAAACTTAACCCAAATTCATTCCATTTGTACACTGAAATTCAGTGGTTTCGCCTTGTTCGTTAGTGCCCGTGTGGAAGGATCTGCATGTTTTCTATTTGTACTGAATTCAAGAATACAAGCATCTATGCACTTGTAATGTGTCTTATCTTTCATTTGTAATTGAAAACCTTTAACTTGATGATTCTGGGCGAGGTATACTTTTGGGTGCTAACATGAGCTGCAACTGCCTATATGGCCATCCAATATTGGGTAAGGATGGTGGCGTTTCGAATAAAGTGTCACGTCAAAGAAAACGGCATGACAGAGAAGTCACGCCGAAAATTGGCATGACTTTCTGAGTCATGCCGATGTTTGGCATGACTTTTCTGCCATGCAGTTTTTTGGCATGTCACTTTATTCACGCCCCTGAAACGGCACAAAGTCGCGCTAATACATTTTCAGTGTACATCTTGTTCAGGAGTCATCCGGCAATCATGGGAGGGAATCGCAGCTCCTTTCTTTCGAACGGTGCAGTTTCTGTTTGTCGAGTAGGACGCTGAACTTTGGTCGGGTGCCCCAACATTTCTTCTTGAGCCCTGCGAAGTACGCGCTCCGTGCGTCATCCCTTCCAGCCTGTGCAACCTCTTCCGTGGTTAAGGGTGTGAAATCCGAGATAAACGTGGCGATAGTTTTGACTCTAAGTGAGCGGAAACGTGAAATTTGTTGTGTAACGACTCAAATGAGTCTCCCCTTCACAGCCGTGCAAGCGGAAATTGTAATCGGACAAACCCACCCCTTTCCACAGTCACGTCCACCCCCTCCTGGGGGTGATTTTCGAAAATGTCTGAAACCGGCTGCAAACGATCCAGTGACCTCCACTGTACACGCAGCAAGTTTACTTTGTCAAATCCAACCACCCCCAGGCTGTACCAATCCCTTGGAGGACCTACCGCGTTTTTGTACCCTGAGGCGTTTCAGGTGCAAAGGGGTTGAATTTGGGCGTTGAAATTCATAGGGAGACACCTTAGGTGCTTACAAAGCCATTCCAATAAAAAAAAACCAGTTCCGGAAATTTTCATCCACTGTTGTAGGGGAGGCCACCATCTAGCGCTCCTTGCTCGCCCGGTAGGGGTAGGAACTCCGTTCAAGGATGGCCTCGGCAAGAGACACGGCTGAATCGTCCCTGAAATTCTCAAGTCGATCCGGTGCATCGTTTGCCCTCCAGGATGGAGAAACTGTCGAAAGCAGAGAAAACATTCCCTAAGTTCATCCCCCACACTAAATTTTTTTGTAGAATTTTGTACGTGCCTTTTGCACGATTTTGTGCATGCGGGGAATTTGCATAATATTATGCGTGAAAATGCATAAATTTATGCAAATTCACGCACAATTTTATGCACGACGGCACACAAGTTTAAAATTATGCATCACCACGTACAAAATTGTACATAAACATTCAGTGTGCCCATGAACGCCGAACTGAGGTGGGGTAGCGTCCAAACTCCACGTGTGACATCTCGACACAATCCTTCTCTGCAAGCCCCCAAACTTTCAGCCCGATGCACTCTACCAAAAATGTCCTGTAAATGCCGTTAATTTATTACCAGTTTTCACTGTACTCTAGAAACTGAAGAGAGTGCATAGCATGCTCCTCCTAGGAGTCAACCACAAAGCACACTCTTCCCAAGAGCATGCTTGCAAGCACACTCTTCCCAGGAGCATGCTTGCAAGCACACTCTTCCCAGGAGCATGCTCGCAAGCACTCTCCTTGCTTGCAAGCATGCTCCTAGGAAGAGCGTGCTTGCCAAGCATGCTCCTGGGAAGAGTGTGCTTGCCAAGCATGCTCCTGGGAAGAGTGTGCTTGCCAAGCATGCGCCTGGGAAAAGTGTGCTTGCAAGCATGCTCTTGGGAAGAGTGTGCTTTGTGGTTGACTCCTAGGAGGAGCATGCCATGCACTCTCTTCAGTTTCTAGAGTAGGTCAATTCACAGCGTTTACTGTGATCTGCTCACGGGATTCACTGTGATCTTGTTCGCGGTGTTCACTGTGATCTGGTCCCCAGTAAACACTGTGAGTTTGACGCCGCTGAGCACCGAAGTACTGCAAATCAGGCTCCAATTCTGGGCGTTTACTGTGGGCAGATCACAGTGAACACTCTAACCGAGATCACAGTGAACGCCGTGAATTGCATAACAGCAAACATTGGTAATAAATTAATGGCGTTGACAGGACATTTTTTGTAGAGTGTGCGGCAACGCTCGCGCCGTTGAGAACGGCGCAAAGCGAGTGATGCACTGGTGTTTCTCGCCTAGACAGAGCATTGCGCCTTGCGCCCATGAGGTAGGCAACCCATCACACGCGCTGCGCTGGTGTGCCAATGCACTCGACGCGTTTTGAGCTCCAGAGTCGCTAAATGGGACTCGAACCGAACGTGTGACCCCACCAATGGATTCCTCGATGACTCTTTCCACGTTTGCGACTCGAAACTGTTGGCATCAGTACAAGTTTCGGTCCAGGTGACAGAAAACTGATTGGTGGCCGAGGGCGCTAAGGCGTCGGTATCACTCGGGGGATCGGGGTTCCATGCCCCGACGCGTCACTCTTTTCCGAGTTTGCGGCACCAGCCTGGTGCCATCAGTACGAGTTTCGGGCCGTCGCGATGCAAGCGAGTTGGTGGCCGAGGGTGTTGAGGCGTCGGTCGCCACAAATATGACCTGAGTTCGAATCCCAGGCGACCGACTGTTTTCTTGAGTTTGCGGCCCTAAACTGATGCCATCAGTACGAGTTTCGGACCTACCCCGTGTAAGCGAGTTGGTGGCCGAGGGTGTTGAGGCGTCGGTCGCCACGAACATGACCTGGGTTCGAATCCCAGGTGACCGACTGTTTTCTTGAGTTTGCGGCCAACTGACGCCATCAGTACGAGTTACGGACTGCAGGATGACAAGAGAGTTGGTAGCCGAGGGGGCTGAGGCGGTGATCCCTACGAAAAAGATCTGGGTTCGAATCCCAGGCAACTGACCGTTTTCTTGAGTTTGCGGCCCTAATCTGGTGCCATCAGTGCGAGTTTCGGCACACAGACCTGCAAGGAAGTCGGTGGCCGAGGGTGCTGAGGTGTCGGTCGCCACTAGGAGAATCTGGGTTCAACTCCCAGGCGAGGCTAAACACAGGAAGGACCGGCAAGAGAAGGACTTGGGTTCAACTCCCATGCGAGGCCTAAGGCAGGAAGGGCCGGCAAGAGAAGGACCTGGGTTCAACTCCCAGGCGAGGCTAAACACAGGAAGGGCCGGCAAGAGAAGGACTTGGGTTCAACTCCCAGGCGAGGCCTAAGGCAGGAAGGGCCGGCAAGAGAAGGACTTGGGTTCAACTCCCAGGCGAAGCCAAAGACAGGCAGGGCCGGTAAGAGAAGAACCTGGGTGCAACTCCCAGGTGACGCCAAACGCAGGAAAGGATGGCAAGAGAAGATCTTGGGTTCAACTCCCAGGCGAGGCCAAAGGCAGGCAGGTTCGGTAAGGGAAATATTTGGGTGAACGCCCAGGCGAGATTAGAGACAGCAAGAGCCGGCTCGTGTTCAACTCCCAGGCAAGGTGAAAGCGACCCTGTGAGAAATTAACACCAAATCCCGAATATGTTTTAAGTAGTCAGGGAGGCCAACACTTTTATCAAACTGCGTGCACCTTTTTATAAATACACGGCCTAGGTACATAAATAAAAAGACAATGAAAAAATTATATTTAAAACTTTGATTGCCATATAGTTAAAGTCATGGTTCTGGACGGAATCTTCTCAACCTTCCTTTCACTGTGCTTACTGTCACTGGTTTGGCCTTGCTTCGAGGCTGCGTCCAAGCTTTCCCACACCACCTCCTCTGCCTCGCCTGGGAGTTCAACCCAAGTGCTCTCACACCGCCCTTCTGGCCTCGCCTGGGAATTGAACCTGGGTCCCCTCACGTCACCCCTCTGGTCTCGCCTGGGAGTTGAACCCAAGTCCTCTCACATCGCTTCTCTAACCTTGCCTGGGAGTTGAACCCAAGTCCTCTCACATCGCCTCTCTGGCCTTGCCTGGGAGTTGAACCCAAGTCCTCTCACATCGCTTCTCTAGCCTTGCCTGGGAGTTGAACCCAAGTCCTCTCACATCGCCCCTCTGGCCTTGCCTGGGAGTTGAACCCAAGTCCTCTCACATCGCTTCTCTAGCCTTGCCTGGGAATTGAACCGAAGTCCTCTCACACCGCCCCTCTTTGGCCTCGCCTGGGAGTTGAACCCAAGTCCTTCTCGTTCCGGCCCTTCCTGTATTTGGCCTGATCTGGGAGTTGAACCCAGATCCTTCTGTTGGCGACCGACACCTTAGCACCCTCGGCCACCGACTTCCTTGCAGGTCTGCGTGCCGAAACTAGTACTGATGGCACCAGATTAGGGACGCAAACTTAGAAAAGATTCAGTCGCCTGGGATTCGAACCCACATCCTCCCCGTGGCGACCGACGCCTCAGCACCCTCGGCCACCGACTCCCTTGAGATCCCATGGACCGTAACCCGTACTGATGGCACCAGTATCGAGCCACAAACTTGGAAAAGAGTCAGGCACCTGGGGATCGAACCCAGGACTCATTCGTGGCGACCGACGCCTCAGCCCACTCGGCCATCGACTACCTTCCCATTCAATTGCCCGAAACTCGTACTGATGGCACCAGCATGGAGCCGCAAACTTGGAAAAAAGTCATGCGTCGGGGGAATCGAACCCGGATCCTCTGAGTGGCGAGCGACGCCTCAGCACCCTCGGCCACCGACTCACATGTCGTATAGTGGCCCGAAACTTGTACTGATGGCACCAGATTAGGGCCAAGTTTAAGAAAACAGTTGGTCGACTGGGATTCGAACTTATATCCTCATCGTGGGAACCACCACCTCAGCCCCCTCGGCTAACGACTCTCCTGTAATACTGTAGCCCGTAACTCGTACTGATAGCACCAGTATCGAGCCACAAACTTGGAAAAGAGTAGAGCACCTGGGGATGGAACCCCGATCACATTCGTGGTAACCGACGCCTCGATACACTCGGCCACTGGGGGGTGTCGGTGAGGGGCTTGCCAGCGGGCCCGAGCAGCGTCTCGAACCCTTCGAACAGCGGCTGCGCTGTCCTGGTGCCGCTTGTGTGGCCTACCTTGTCGGGGTCGGTGCCGTTTGGGTGGCCTACCTTCGCCCCTGTTCCTTGCAGCGGGTTCTCGTTTCCGCCGACAGATGGCGCTGTCTGCGCGGCGACGGTTGCCTTCGGTGTTGGTACGGTGGTGTCTTCTGCTGGGTTGCCGGTGTTATTGTTTTCGTTAATTACTAGGTTGTCGACCACATCTGCATAGGAGCGGATTCTTTCTTGGGCACTTCTTCGTGTCGGGCAATCAAACCGGAGGTGTCCGGTCTTGTTGCACACTGCACATGTACGTTCTTGGCCGTCGTAGACCACCGTCGCCCGGGTGCGCGCAGTCCCGATGTATACAAACGACGGGATATGCTTGTTGAGTTCCATGCGCACCAGACGCACACCACTGTCGCACTTGAAAATGTAGTTTTCGCCGTACATAGTCGTTCGGATGTTGTGTACTTTTCCGTACGGAGAGAGGGCGGCTGCTACCTTTTCGTTGCTGAGCTCGAACGGGACGTTGAACACTCGAACTTCTCTGTACCCGAACCCGCAGTGCGTAATTTCTACATCGGTTCTGGAGCCATCTTCGTTCTTTATCTTGCTATTGCCGTTGGTATTCTGTATTATTTCATCACATTTGGGTCCGGTGGAAAACTTCACGAAAACTCGGCGCGTGCCGAACTCCTGCTGTATTCCACATATATCCGTCATGGTGCAGGACAGTTCGTCTCGGAGAAAACGTTGGAAACTAAGTGAATTCACTTTAGGACCGTCATTATCGATTGTGAACAACAGGGTGTTCACTCGTGCTTCCATGTTTACACAACACAACGAGGCGCGCTGCCTCACTCGACGCGACGCGTACGACCTGCTCAGGGGAAGCCGAGACCCGTGCGTCCGTCCCGTGCGGCGGCCGGGACCGGACTCCACTAAGTCCCTTGCCTTACCACGGCCCGAAACTCGTACTGAGGGCTCGCAAAGAGCCGCAAACTTGGAAAAGAGTCCAGCGTCGAGTATTCGAATCCCAAACCTTCCCGTGGCAACCGGCGCCTCAGCACCCTCGGCCACCGACACTCATATATTGTATTGGCCCGAAACTTGTAGTAAAGGCACCAGTATCGAGCCACAAACTTGGAAAAAAGTCTCGCGTCGGGGATTCGAACCCCGTTTCTTCCCTTGGAGACCAACACCTCTGAACCCTCGGCCACCGACTGCCATTGAATGGCCCGAAACTCGTACTGTTTTGGCACCAGTTTACAGCCGCAAACATGGGAAAGCAGTCGAACGGCTGGGATTCGAACCCAGACCTGTCCTCTTCGTGGGGAACGACGCCTCAGCACCCGCAGCCACCAACATCCATGCCTTTCCGTGGCCTCAAACTTCTACTAGGACCAAATTCGAGCCGCAAACTTTGGAAAATAGTCGGGCGCCTGGGATTCGAACCTGGATCCTTCTAGTGGCGACCGACGCTTCAGCCAATACCCTCAGCAACCAACTCACGTGACTGCCTCGAGCTCAAAACTCGTACTGGTGGCACCAGATCAGAGCGGCAAACTTGGGAAAGGAGTCACGCGTTGGGGAATCGAACCCCGACCCTCATAGTGATGACCGACCCCTCAGCACGAAGCACCCTGCGCCGTTCGCAAAAAAGGAACCGCTAATTTTGAGCGGCAGTGTGTGTAATCAGGGATATCATGTGTACGCTTAAACCCCGAGTGTGGACCCCTCACGTAGTCCCCCGGTCAAAGCAGCTCGTCGCCGAGCAGGCTCTGTTCCTGTTGCTCCTCGACGATAGATGGGGAAGTCCCTGTGGGCGCGGTGCAGTCCCGCCGCTGCACATGGCGTGTGGACGTGGCATCCATTATCTTTATCTGACGTTCTGTAGAAACTCAGGCCATCAATATCAGAATAAGTTTTCAGAATCTCACACTGAGATTCCAAACGCTATGAATATAGCAGGTATGGTGCAATGCACTGAGATATCGCACCACACATGCAATGCCTCAGTCATATTGCACCCTACGTGCAATGCGTCCCGAAAATGATCTGTGCTAATGCATGGGGGAGGCATTGCACTTCATGAGCAAAGCTTTTGCATTGCACCAATTGACGCTAAACTCGTAGCGTTTGGATTCAGTGCAGCTTTCAGAAGTGCGCGATTTCAAACACGTTACACTGTAAATCCAAAGGCAATACTTTTGGCACCTTTTTTGGCGATACAATTGAGTATCGCCAATAAACGGCCTTACGGAGAAGTATTGCCTTCAAAACGGCGATACACAAAAGTATCGCCAAAATTTGGCGATACTTTGGAGTTGCCACGATTTGGCAATAAACGTCGAATAAATCAAGGGGACAAGACCTTGGTTTAATGCCGTGGTTTTGGCAATATCCAAAAGTATTGCCAAATTTTGGCGATACTTTTTTGTATCGCCGTTCTGAAGGCAATACTTCTCCGAAAGGCCGTTTCTTGGCGATACTTTTTGAATCCCCAAAAAATGTACTTTAGTATCGCCGTTGCATTTGCAGTGCACTGACATTAACACAGTTACACGAGTGTAGTGGGCCGAGAGGTGGCAGTTGCGAGAGACTTGAGCAACAATCATTTCAGGAGGGTGACGTAGTGTGACATTACCAGCGTCACAAAATGTCACGCTCCTTTCAGCGACGAGTCACTTTCTTTTGGATGTGTCCTAACTGTATGCTAGAGTCTGAAGCCTAAAGTTACGCTGGAAGATATTACGCCAAACGAAGAATAGACAAGAAAGCCAGCACCGTCAGCGCTGTCAGACATCTGTTTCTCGCCAAAAATTGGTCTCCAATAACAGTTTGGTGTGAAGCTGGCCCCACAATGGCCGCGGCCGGACCCAGGCTTCAGGCTTCAGGCTTCAGGCTTCAGGTGTCGGATCGGGGCACTCTAACATTTCTGTTAACCGTCATCTCATTAATAAGCTTCAAATCCACCGTCCCGTTTCAATTTTCGTCGAAAAACAACGATATCGGTTATTATTTTACATTCTCTGCCCGGGAGCCGAGAGTGAGTGCCGGCATGTTGGTAGCTCAGCGCTTTGGGGAGGGATGAGCTGCGTTCTGTTTGTTTTTGTTCTGCTCAGTTGAGTTCTGTTGGTTCGGTCGGCAAAGTCAACAAACAATGAAGGTGAAAAATCTTGTGAATTGGTTTCTTCTCCTTTCTATACTCAGAAGTAAAAGGGGACAACCGCTTTCTTCTAATCGCGCCAGTAAGTTGGAAACTTTTTCAAGTGTGGTTATAGGGCCCAGGAGGATGCCTATACTAACTCTTTTTTATCTATTTTTTTATCCAGGATCAATTAAACGTCTGGCCGTGTACAACTTCCTGAAAAGGGAACGCTTTAGAGCAAAGTCCACCCTTCGTATTGCTCTAGCGAAGAAAAAAAGGCGTTTTCATGTGAGGCCCATATTTCTGGATCGTGAAGCATATGGAGCTTGGACAACCCTCATACCTATTATGAGAGAATTCGATCGTGAAGAATATTTCAGGTTTATGCGGATGACTCCGGAAAGCTTCGATTATCTGTTAGAAAGAGTTTCTCCTCTTATACAGAAAAGAAGTCAGCGGAAACCCATCAGTGAGGGTGAAAGACTTGCCATAACATTAAGGTAATGCATTTTTGAACGTATGTGTGTGACCTCCTGGTCATCTGAAAATTTGTAAAGTGTGATGATTGTTTAACGTTATTGTTCTCATATTAGGTATCTTGCATCTGGTGATAGCATGGCTTCTTTGTCATACTTGTTCCGAGTATCAAATCAGGTCATATCTAACATAATATTGGAGACAACTGCTGCTATCTGGTTTGCTATTAAAGATGAGGTATTTGAGCCCATTTCTGAGGATTTCTGGAGAAGAAAAAGTGCAGAGTTTGAAAGTATGTGGCAGTTCCCTATGTGTGGTGGAGCAATGGATGGCAAACACTGCTTTGTTCAGGTACATTCCATCGAACTTAATACCTCTTACTGACATTATTACTTAACATCCTGTTGCAGAATTGATCTTTTAATTCGGTACTTCCTTTTCCAGAAATTTCCAATGCGGGGCTCAGAGCATTTCAACTATAAGTATGGCAATAGTGTTGTTCTCTTTGCTCTCACCGATGCCAAGTACAAGTTCATCATTGTGGACGTAGGAGCAAGAGGACGTGAAAGCGATGGTGGAGTTTTTGCCAGGTCAGCATTCGGAAAATTGTACAACAACCATGAGCTGCAACTTCCACCACCGGCCTACAATGAAGCTCTGAGGACACATCTCCCTTATGTATTTTTGGGGGATGATGCTTTTCCCTTGGGTGTGCATCTGTTGAAGCCGTTTAAGGGTGATTTTCTCCCACCAGAAGAAGTTGTTTACAATTACAGAGTCTCACGGGCTAGACGTGTTGTAGAGAACTCATTTGGCATCCTAGCTGCTCGTTTCAGAGTTCTTCGTAAATCCATAATTGGAAGTGAGACTCTGGTGCAGAACATCATTCTAGCTTGTTGCGCTCTCCACAATCTGCATCTGACTAGAGAGGATAGCATTCCACCTAAGCAGCGTGTTTATATGCCCCCGGAATATGCAGACTTGTACAAAAGTAATGGATTCCTGAAGGAGGGCCGGTGGAGGAAGGAAACAAAGGATGAGGAGCTCTGCATTTTTAAGAGGTTGGTCCAACAGGAAGTACCGGAAGGAGTCCATGTTAATTTAGAGAGTGCACATGAGGTTCGAGAAAACTTTGTTGAGTTATTTGTGTCTGATCCTTTACCATGGCAATATGATAATGTGCCTGATGTTTAAGCCTAGGGGCAGGACCCCTGTAGGAGATGTGTAAGGATACCTCTGAAAAAATTGATGTCTTGTATTGAGTGTATGTAAATTGTTTATTAAATAGAAAATACCACAATTGTGAGTAGGTAGTCTTTGTACTTATTTCAAAGTGGTACTTGTGCTCTCTTTCCTAATCATTAAGTACAATAAACAATGTATATTTAAATCAAAGTAATAAAAAGTGTGACAAAGTCAAGTTAAAAATAAAATTTGCTTGGGAACCCAATTTACAAGTCCACAATTATTTTAAAATATACAAAGTCAAAAAGTAGACAACAAATCTATTAAATCTAATCCAGAAGGAAAATGATAGATCCAAAATATTAAGATAACTAAACATAAAACAGTGAAATATGTTGACGAACACAAAAGACTAGTCTGTCAGGTACATCGCAGGAAAATGAATGGAAGATCTTAGTCAAAGTAGATGGAATCTCAATCGAAGTTGTAACCTTCTGCTAGGTACTCATCTGCCGCCTCATCATCTAATTGAACTATTTTGTTGATGTGAGCATGAACTTCCACCATCAGCTTACCACTGACGGGCGCCCTTATTCCGCGCAGGAGGCAGGCCATTGTCTGGCCCCAGGCCCCATACACATCTAGGTCCTTTTCGGTGAGGAATTGACGCAGCATGGCAGTTTCGGCACCCTCGGCTGGCACTGGACCCTGATCATGTTGTTGGACATTGGGCCTTTCCCTGGCTAACGCTGCTTGCTGAGCCCGAATGTTGTCCCGAAGGCCTGCCCTTCGTTCCTCATGGAAAAGCTGCAGCTGTCTCCGTTCGCGTTCTGCCTCCTGCAAAGGATGGAAGAAAGCAAGCTGATGAAAAGGTCGGGTCATTCATATTTATAGCGAATTAGGATGCGAACTAACCGCAGCTCTGGCTTGTCGCTCTGCAGCGCGAGACAGCCCTTGCCCTTGCCCTCGACGACGGCGTTGACCGCGTCCACGCGCAGGCGAGACATTTTCCGGCAGGTCCGACGGTGCCTCCTGAATGACAGGCGAGAAGTGGACCCGTGGACGGGGCCCGCGGCGGGGAGGGGGAGGGGAAGGAGTCCGGATGTGAGTCCGCCCGGCCCGGGGGCCGCGCGGCAACTCCATGCTATTCACGTGGGGAAGTCCATCGCTTTCCCTGCTGCTCGCTCCGTCGTGCACTAGGGCTTGCACGACCACTTGCCCCGCCTGGCCGCCTGGCGCTGTCGCAGGCTGAGACTCAGAGTGGCGAGACACGTTGGCGTTGTCCCCGACCACAGTTTCATCCTCATGAATAGTATGCAGCATGTCAGTAGATTGGAATGAGATCTCGGCCTGGCGGCGGCGTCTGCCGCTCCTGGCGGAGGCCCTCGATGACGCACTCACGAATGAACGCCCACTCGCAATGGAGTCGTTGGAAGTGTTGCGACGCCTGCCGGGGGGTGACGGGGAATATCTTGGTGGTGGGCGGACGTCGCGGCGGGGCTTACGTTTACCAATGCCAGGCGACGCAGGGTGTGTAGTGGCGGCCAATGGTGAGGACGCGGCGAACGGCGAGCCCAGCAGGCCTCGTGAAGTATTACTGCGTGGGGTTAAATTGCGGGGCCCGTGGCGGCTTGCAGAGGTCGGCGACAGCAGGGCTGCAGTGGTCGGCGACCGCGTCCACAGATGGATGCGACCTCTGGTAGCTGGTGATAGATCGAGGGGCCGATCGAGGGGCCCGCCGTGGCCTGCAGGGGTCGGCGACAAAGGCGGAGGCCGCTGGTCTGCTTCTGCTGCGCGCCTTTCGTTGAATAGGGCTATGTCAGCACAGCAATCTGCAACAAGGCAAGCGGCCCATATTTTAGCGGAATCTTTCAAATACAAGCCTGTCCTTTAGCAAAAGAAAAATGAAAGGAAATCACTCACCAGCCGATGGCTGCGGGGCGTTGGCAAAGCGAATGCTGACGGGATCCTGGACCTCGCCGTTCGCACCGAGAGCGGCAGGATTGTCGTGCGGGTCGGGAAATTGAGGGGCCGCCTCCCGCTGAGATCCTCTACGCACATTGACGTTCGAGATCCTGACACGGGACATGTCCTTGCCGATCTCGTCCAGGAATGCCATCTCGTCGGCACCAAAGTTGATGGCTTCTTCGCCTCCGCCAGCTCCGCTGACACATTTATCCCCCTTCCTTCTTTTGTTCTGAGCCCTGTTTCTCCTCAGCCTTTGAAAGTTGCTTTTGCAAAATTCACCTGCAGAATTTACAACCAAACACGATTAATAGAAAATAGCTCGGTTTTATAAACACAAACTTTTTTAGGTTATGCTACACACCGTCAGTTCCAAACTCAGCGGCCACTTCCACCCAAGCTTTTGTTCACCACGCCCTTCTTGTGATGATTTTTCATCGTGTGGTCCCATATTACAGGTCTCCTTCGGACTGCATCGATTAATGCCGAATCAGAGTAGGGGACAACCATTTCGGCTAACGATTGTACGTACACTTTCCAAGTTGAAACACGACAGCGACGCCGCCGCTGCGGCAGGCAGGCGCTACCAACATGCCGGCACTCACTCTCGGCTCCCGGGCAGAGAATGTAAAATAATAACCGATATCGTTGTTTTTCGACGAAAATTGAAACGGGACGGTGGATTTGAAGCTTATTAATGAGATGACGGTTAACAGAAATGTTAGAGTGCCCCGATCCGACACCTGAAGCCTGAAGCCTGAAGCCTGGGTCCGGCCGCGGCCATTGTGGGGCCAGCTTGAGCGACCGCGTCTTAGCAATTTTTGACCGCCTTTTTCAAGATGTCCTGTTGTGGGTGAAATAGTTCTGGGGTTGGGGTTTGCAATAAACATACAAGTGGCAGTGTGTAACAGATGGGGTAGGTCCTGAACCGGAAGCACACAGGCGCCATGTTGGCGGAAGTAGATCAAAACTTGACATGGGAAAGAGACGATAGCCAAACGTATCGGCCACACTTGAACATTAACAGTCGTTTTATACTTATTTGCAGTGCATATGTGTTTCGCGAGCAATATTTGTATAGCTCGGCTTTAGTTTCAGATCCGAAGAGAGGTTAGTTTCCGGCCAATATGGCGTCTGCTTGCTTCCGGTTCAGGATCTACGAAAGCACCCTATTACTGGGCTCCGTTGCATTTCTGTAAGCAACCACCATGCTTAGTATTTCCCTCGTAAATAATTAAATATTCCTTTGTAATTTATTCATGAAACAAAAGTAACAAAACAATTAAAAGTTGAATGACAATTTTGGTCTCAGCGCCCTTGAACATAAGAAATAAAATAGAGGTCAATGAAAAATTTTGGTTAAACTTCTCTACGACGGGACTTGAACCATCTTTTAGGCTGGCACGCAGCAGCCAATAAATCGAACAGCGACTACCACCGAAAACCAAATCTATTCTATTTTTAAACATTCTGCTACGTGTGTTTTTTTTTGGACAGTCACAGTGCCAATAATTATTGACCAGCGAACACACCGCAAAAGGAGGCATCTCGGGTCGAGAAGGAAAAGTGAACCGACGGTCTCTGATAAAGCGGCCGATAAGCTGAACACCGCCAAGTTCGACCCACCGGCACTGCAGACCGATTCAGCACTGTGATTCGTGGCTCTATCTCTTTCGCACCGATATGGGACACCCCGTGAGTGCACGAGAGAGAGACAGAGAGAGAGAAAGAGAGAGAGAGAGCGAGATAGATAGATAGATAGATAGATAGAGAGAGAGAGAGAGAGAGAGCGAGCGGAATCGGCCAGGTGGAGCGGTCGTCCCCCTCGCGTCACGATCATGTTTACAGTCAGGCGCCCCACCAGTCTGCCACAGCACCCGGCCCCTGCGACCACGCAACGGCAGCGACGCATCAGTCAAGCGGAGGCCCTTCATGACAGGGCAGAAAGAAACCAAACGCAGGGAGGGACCGAACGTAGCGGACATGGACCAGGACCGAGAACCTTTAGACCCAGTCTCCAGGAGCGACGGCGTCGTCGTGGTAAGTAGCAACACAAGGCAAAAGACGCCGGGCCAAAACACACCTACAAAATGTAAAATTTACCACCAAAAAATAAATTAATAAGAACTATCAAAATAAAAACACACACAGCTGCTCATAGTCGACTTCCTTCTGGGACACCCAACTAAAAGCTTGCCGAATTTTTCTTGAACAAAATTTTTTTTTCTTAGTTGCATGTTGCATCTCTTCATGTTACCCTTGCGTCTACCAAAAAACTTGAGCGGTCTATAGTTTCTAAGACACCTGCTCTCTCGTTCGATCCGTTGCTACCTTTTCTTAAATTGCATTTGACCTATTACTTCTACGAGCATCTGATAAATAAAATATGGTGGAAATCCCGGGGGGGGGGCACGGGAAGGCGTTGCATGTCTCGATAAATCAACTCAATGTAAAAATGTGTCGTGTCGGTTTTCAGGTCCCAGTGGAGAACGGACGGGAGGCAAATAACGTGCCAGGATCGCCCAACGGTTGTTACGGTCGCTGCATGCCGCGTTTCTGTGCGATTTTCGCCTTCGCTGTCACATTCTTCGTCGTGAAATTCATAATTCGCGTAATTATAAACCTTGGCCGTTCGATGCAAGAGCACCAACAGACGCTTCACTTACCCGACGTAGGGGTCCCCGTGATCAAACCTCCAGAGAGAGATCAGCTTCTATTGGACATATTGCGGAAGCGAAATTGGGCTGTTAACCCATGAGGTTAGAAAATTCTTCTAAACGTGCACACGATTTCCTATATGTCATCTTTTATGGTACGAAACCACAAAAGAACGAGTCACATTCGGAAATATTGATGACTTATGTAACGAAAGTTTTTTTTTGAATAAATTGTAATTTATGCATTTTATGAGTGTCGATACATAGCAATAAACAAACTATTAGTAACCAATTGTTTTTATTATTGTCGTTTAAAATACAGGAATTCTGCACCAACAGACCGTACTCCTCTGGCCGGTTAGACGGTGGCAGGCGAACGATGGCACGCTGCTGAAACGCCAAATCGTCTTTTCGGTCTCAGAATAAACACCCATTGTCCAGTACTTCACGAACTAAAGGGTGTTTAAAGTAAGTATGCTCACTACTCAATCTCGAGATTCCAAACGCTATGAGTATACCATGTTTGGTGCAATGTATTGAGATATTGCACCATGCGTGCAATGCCATAGCCATAGTGCACCTTACGTGCAATGCGTCCCGAAAATGTCTTATGCTAATGCATGGGAAGGCATCGCACTTCACGTGCAATGCGAAAGCATTGCACCAGGTGCAATGAATGAAAACGTCTTAAAATGCATTGCACCAATTGGCGCTACTCCGCTATACTGACAGCGTTTGGATTATTTGCACTTTGCACTTTGGGAGCATGCCCGCATACTAGGAGGAGTAGGTGGTGGAATAGGTTTAGGATGAAGGGCCGAAGGACGCGGGGATACTGGTAGCCAAGAAATGTGACGTCACGTTCGTTTTCACGTGAAAACGGCGATGTTAGTTTGAGCGTGTCAAACGGTGAAAATTTACAGTCAAACGAATGTGACATACCGCACCGCTTTGTCACATTGCTTCGGGTGTGACACGCAATCAGCTGTCGAACTGTCACATTAAAACGAATGTGACACATAGTACCCAAGTACAAATGTCGTGTCACATCCAAACGAATGTCACATTCGTTTAAATGTGACATGCCCACTTTGTCACGTTCGTTTCAATGTCACACGCCATGATTGTCAGATTAAGGGGTGTCACGTTCGTCTTAATGTGACAAAGTGGGCATGCCACATTGAATCGAACGTGACAGTACACGGGTGTCACATTCGTTTGGATGTGACACGACATGTGTACTTGGGTACCATGTGTCACATTCGTTTTAATGTGACAGTTCGACAGCTGATTGTGTGTCACACCCGAAGTAATGTGACAAAGCGGTGCGGTGTGTCACATTCGTTTGACTGTAAATTTTCACCGTTTGTCACGCTCAAACCAACATCGCCGTTATCACGTGAAAACAAACGTGACGTCACATTCCTTGGCTACCAGTGGAAAGGGACACCGTTGGACGGTCGGCACCGGACTGGAAACATCGGTGAGGTGGTGTCAGATGTACGCCAATTACACCAATCGGCTTGAACCAGCTCGATGAACTTGACGCGCTTGACAGTGGGCTGTGAACGTAGGGACGGACTTGTGTTGTGAAGGAGTGCAGGCAACACTCGTGCGGACACGGAAAGCTGAGCATCATTTGTGGTCCAAGCTTCTTCAAGTCGAAATGACGGCAGTGAGGCTGGGGTTGGCCACAAAGGCGCACCCTGCCAGCGTCAACAGTGCGGCGCAAGTCAACGCCGTCTGCGTGAGACGGTGCAACAGGTAAAGTCTGAAAAGGAATCACAATGTGTCTGTAATTACGAACTTGCAAGCGCGTCACAAAATTCGGTTCCTGGTTTTCCCCTGGAACCGATAGTAAAGACATGGTGGCGATTTCCCGGGAATGCCGAGGCCAACCAGGAATCGATTTAGCGATGGGTATACCAAAAATAAGATGTCAACATTGTAAAAAATTCCGTACTTTTTGTACGGAAATGGTACAGGAAAATAAAGTATGGAGGTAAGGAAAAAAGTACGGAACGTCCGTACTTGCTCCATATGAACCCACGTAAAAGGGTACGGAAAAAAAAGTCCGGACGTTCCGTAGTAGGACAGGTACGGACGGTCCAGGCAAATTGTTGACCAGAAATATTCCGTACTTTTTCTATACTTTTTCTCACAGTGAAGTATTGTAGATAGCGAGGGGTGAAAAGACAGTTGCCTTTGGGTTGGCCGCTCAGTCCTCTGTTTTGAATCAAAAGCGTGCGCCTACCCGCGTGGGTTGCCGTCGACCCCCTCCTCTCGCAGCAGGTGCAGCTTGGTGCCCGCCAAGGCCGTCTTGCAGTAGGCGTCCCAGTCGATGGCCTCCACGTCCAGGGGGAACAGCACGCGGTCGCGGTCCGACAGCAGCGACCACAGCGCGCGCACGTTGTCGTCCTGGAAGTGCCACTGCTGCGTCGTGAAGAAGTGCAACGCCTCCAGTCGGCGGGCCAACTTACGCTGCTTGGGGAGCAACCTGCGATGGAAGTGGTTGACGGTGTCGGGGCCAGACACGGCTTCACTCTCATTCAAGGAACGTAACATCACGTTGCAAGGAATGAGACAAAACGTCACGTTGCTTTGAGCATTGTGTCACATTCGTTTCCATTTGAATCAGTCGAAAATTGGCTTCCTGGACAGAGGGTGTTCACTGAGAATGAAAGAGTGATGCACTCTAAATGTTGTACAGTGAAGATTCTCCATAGTATGGTGAAAATGTTCCATATTATGGTGGAGCTGACTTTATAACGTACCATTCAGAATTCACTGTACCTTATAGATATTTTGACGAATTTCGTTGGTATTATGGAGAAAATCTCCACCATGATATGTTGGTGCAGCCTTTCACCGTAAGACATTTACGGTGTGTTCATGACTAAAATGGGGGGGGGAGTTCTTTATTATCCAAATTTGGGTGAGGAAGGTTTCCTAGAAGGTGTACTATATGGAGCCATATAGGTAGCTGATACACCCCAACAATATGAAGAAATGCTTCATACTACGAAAGACCTTGCTTCATAATCCGAAACAATTAACATAATTTTCCGTAGCTTTTAGCCACAGTGATGCTCCGTCAACTTTTTCCCGTGCGGCCGGCTTGGGCACTCACCTGGCGGGCTTCTCCATGAGGGGCGCGACGACGCTGTCGTGCAGGGCGGCGGGGAGGACCATGGTGAGGAAGGTGCTGACCTGGTGGCGCCAGGGGGACGTGGTGAGGGGGCACGACGGCCACCACACTGCCCGGGCGGGCGGCCGCTCCCTGCAGCGGCGCACCCAGGTCTGCAGCAGTGTGCCCCACGGCACCGGGTTGTGCGTCCCCGCCACGCAGTTGTACACCGCGGGCGGGGCGGGCGGCCGCGGCGCCGCGCCGACGTGGTCCCGGGGGCGGGGCTCGGGGGGCCGCTGTCTCGCAGTGTGCCAGGCCGCCGCCAGCACCGTGTTGACCACGAAGTCCACCGGCACCGTGTCCGCCACGCAGCCGGACTCGCAGAAGGCGCTCCGCACCACGCCCAGCGCCACCAGGTTGAAGGGCCCCATCAGCCCGTTGGCGTTGTCCGTGTAGCCGGGGGACGGGTAGCGCCACGCCCAGCCCACTGCAAAGGCGGCACGGTTTGGCACCGAGAGATTCACTCTGAGTCACTGGTGAAACAAAGGCATTACGACTGTGTCCTTCAAGGGCGTGAACGATTTACGGACGGCGTGAATCGTCAGTGCCTTTAAGGGCATTGAAATTTTGCCCAAGTGTGCATGATAGCAATAATTAAGTCAACATCAAAAATTTTGAAACATAACGAAATATTTCTGACTACAGCCTTTCAAAGGGCATTAAACGGTGAGCGTGAAAACTGTTTGTGCCCTCAATGGCGCAGTTTTTATGCCTGTGTTTTGCCAGTAATGTCTTAGGAGTAAATATCCCACCAAAAAAATCACAGTGAAAACTAAAGCTTGGAATTACCCTCTGGTTTAGAGCGTAACAGGTTCATCTGCCAAGATTCCCCCAGCGTAACGTGTACAAGCGCAACTTTATGCTTGACTCAAGCATAGAAGCCTGCTTACCGATAGAGGGCCGCACAATCGCCACGGGCAAGTCCGCCGCCTCCTCCGCCAGCAGACTCTCGGCGAGCGCCTTGGTGAACGTGTACGTGTTGGGGCGGTCCCCGATGATCCTGCAGACAAAAGCGGTTGGGTGAAACTTGCACAGGGAACACTACAAACCTCACTGTCTACTAAGTCACACTTACAAATGCATGCTTGCAAGTACACACTTACAAACGCATGCTTGGCCAAGTACACACTTACAAATGCATGCTTGCAAGTACACACTTACAAACGCATGCTTGACGAAGCATGCGTTTGTAAGTGTGTACTTGCAAGCATGCATTTGTAAGTGTGTACTTTAGTAGACAGTTAGGTTTGCAGTGAAGTTGAAGTACAATGAGTGGAAAATTCATAGTTCTTTATTTATGTCTAATGTATCTTGAAAGAGGAAATTTTCACCACAATATGTTGGTAACTTTCACCATAGAGAATCATCACTATACGCCTATCAGGGTGTGCGACTCACCGCGGCGTGTCCCTCTCCAGGGCGTCGCCGTCCTCCTTGGCCCTGCGGATGATGTCACGCACGTCGGCGGGCGGCGGGTACACCTCCTCGCGCACCGAGGGCAGGTTGCAGTTGCTGAACGCTGTGGACACGTGCACGAGGGCCTTGAGGAGGATTTTGGCGTGGGAGGCCATGGCGTTGCAAGTGTAGCAGCCCTGCATGCTGATTCCTAACAGTGTTTCGTCACTCTTCTGCTTTGTCATAATTAAAAGATCAAACTGGACTGTCTCTAAGCATGCTAACTGTACCAAGGCGCTTGATTCACTGTACTTTTTGGACCGTCCATCCCGCACTCCAAAAACCATCGATCCCAAATCACCACCGGGACAAAGGATGACTATCTTAACTTGACAGGATTTGTGTGACAATTAGGATGGTTCAAGGTTTAAAGATGGACCTTCAACAAACGGCTCCGTCAAGCGAGCACAATTCAAAACACCAAAAAAGGACGTGAGGACGTTCTGAACACTGTTGCGACATCCATTTTACGATTGGTTCTCATTTAAACAATTTTAGTTTTCGGCACTCCTCATTCCGCGAACGTGACATCACAATGAAACAAATGTGACACAATGTCACGTTGCTTTGAGCATGTTGTCAATTAGTTTATTCACACGAATGTAACACCATGTTCAAAGATCGTGACATTTTGACACATTCGTTTCGACGTGATGTCACGTTCCTGGAATGAGAGTGGGGGTGCTCATAAAAATGCAGTGAATCCTGTACCTGAAAGAACAGTACACGCTGGCATTTAAATTAACAGGAGTCGCCGTGCCGTAGTTTTTTCTCACGGTGAGAGCAAGGGCAAACAACTCCACAGACTTTGTGCAAGTCAATGACAATCTCGAATATGAGAAAAAATTCTTCAAAGTTCATGAAACTTAGTCAAAATTATAAGAAATTTTTCAAAAATCAGTGAAGTGTAGACCGAAATTCTTGGAGATTTGGCTGCATTTCGTTTAAATGCATCCCGAATTCGAACATTTGTACAGTGAAATAAAGTGAGATATTTCCCCTTGTGTCGGAGTCGTCAGTGGCGCGTCCATAGGCGGCCTTGAGGCAAGCGGTAACTTGCCTACTTACAAAGGCAAAGTGGCACTGTTTGCCTACCTTTCAAGGCGGCCATCCAGGTGCTTTTTTTTGGGGGGAGGGGGGGGGGGCAACGGCGCTAGTTTCGATTGAATCGGAAAGTTTGGACCCGGGTTCAAATTCCAGTGGGGTACATACATACCATACATTCCCGTGTTTCTAAGGGCGCTGATGACGAAAATAGCAAGTATTTCGACCCCAGACAGGTTCAAATCCCGTTAAAGCTAAACATAGGCGAAATTCGCACACCTCTTAATGTACGAGAAGGGCCAAAGTTGCCGATGTGTATCGCTACTTCTCCTGTTATATTAATGCGCGCCTTTGGAGTGAGCGACAGAGACACGAGCGACGAAAGCACTGTGGGACCGAGCGTGCAGGGCGGGGAAGGCGTGTCGCCCACTCACCGCCAGCTGCTCCATGTCGCGGGCCAGCTCGGCCACGTGGTGCACGGCCTCCACGTTGAGCGGCACCGCGACGCGCAGGGGCTCCGCGAAGCTGACGGTGGCCGCCGAGTGCAGCACGACGGACACGTTGGACACCAGCACGTCGCGGTCCTCGGCGCTGAGGCCGAGGCCAGGCAGCGACGCGTCGCCGGCCACCGCCGTCACCTTGCCGATGGGGCAGCCGGCGAACACCTGCCGAGCACGCCGTGCGCGATACAAAGACATTCTCTGCAGCAGCAGTCGCCTGGCACTTGCTGCACTAACATGTAAGTGCAGCAAGTGCCAGGCGGCTGTTGCGCTGAGAATGTACCGAAAAGCTAAAATGCGCGCACACAAAACATTTTTGACAAAGTACGAGGCGTCACAGTATTCTATGCTGGTAAACTTTTTGTACAAATTTGTACGCGTTATTCCACAGAAACAGAGATTTGCGCAGTTTTTTTTGACGAAAATAATACAAAAAGTTCATGAGCACAAAAATCTTTTTTAAAAAAATCGGCCTGTAAAGAGCGTGAAAAACTGGTAGTTTTTTTGTGCCTTTGGTTTACTAGTGTAATTTACATGCTTGAGTTGCCAATACGCTATCAGCAGATAAATCATCTTTTTCCCTGAGAGCACCTGCGAACCCAAACGCTATGAGTACAGCGTCAATTGGATGCATCAGCATAGAGCATATTCGGCACGCATTGCACGTAAGGTGCAATATGGCTATGGCATTGCACGAATGGTGGAATATCTCAATGCATCGCACCATAAAATGACTATTTTCTCTATTGGCTTTTTATCCTTTGCTTACTTAGTTTTTTAAGCAGCAATAATATGAAGTATTTCCTTCGTAACAATGTACAGTATTGTTCACTATAAAGACTAAGTTATTGTGTATTAACTCTTTGTCAATAACAAACTGACTTTAAGTCAATATAACAAACAAAATCTTACATGGATATTGACGAAATAGTAATTTTTATTGCTGTGTGAAAAATTCTTTACCAAAGGACTTTTTGGTCAATAACAGCCTGAGAGTGCGGCGTTTGGAATCTTGGTTGGGTTTTTGCGACCTACCGGCAGGGCCAGCAGCTGGCTGAGGCGCTTCTTGGCGTCGACGCCGCGCTTCTCGCGGACCAGCAGGTAGATGCGCTCCACCTCCGGGCAGCAGCGCAGCAGCTTCTCCACCACGGCCTTGCCGATGAAGCCCGTGCCGCCCGTCAGCAGCACGCTGCGGCCGCGATAGAAGTCGGGGATCTCCATGGCAGAGGCGACGACGAAGACTGACTGCTCGACGACGACGCCCGCGTCACCGAGACCGACCAGAGCAACACGGAATACATGCATATAAGGCTCGAAATCTCCCACTACCTCGTGTGAACCCGTCAAGGCCGCGCTGTCGAATTTGACGCGGCCACTAACGAAGCGCGTAGCGAGCGCGGCCACTGACTTGCATGGCGCTCCAGGAACCGCGGGAGTAAGGTGCCCCATCATTCGAAAGGACAAAAAATACCCGTTTGAATCACAGGCGCACTGAGATGAGTATGAAAGAGTCAGGACTAAAATTTTGGGCGAGGAATTCTTCATCACCCAAATTTGGGTGAGGAAGGTTTCCACGAAAATTTTGCCGGACTAACAGCCTGAAATTTTACGACTCATTTCGGTCGGAAAATTTCAGACCAGGATATGGTCTGAATTTTCAGTGGGCGATTCTGCATATTTACTTCAGTCAAAATAGTCTGAATTTCCAGCAAAAAGTTTTAACAGTGCGCCGCTCTTATTTAAGTGACGACTACATGTAATTGCAGTACACTGTCAATATGTGTCACTGTGCACGAACAATGTTTACAAGGGGCCTGTCACTGACTAAAATTATGTACAATTGCGGGAGAGTGTAGTGAGCTTCTTCTCCACTCGACCAGCTTTTTGCCTGGCGTTTGTCTCAGAAATTGCATATATTCAGGCGTTTTTAAGCCAAAATCTGATAGTGGGAGTGAGTGTAGGCCGGAAGCGTAATGAGTTCAAGACGAGGCAGATTCCTTGACAATGTAAGTATCACAGTCGGATGTGTGTGCGCTTAAAATTGCATAACTCGCGCACGAGTCCCATGGGACAAAAACAGTCCCCTCACTGTCAGTGCCTAAGGTAAAAGGTCAATTGTGGGTCACTAATCATTTTGTTTGACGGGCCGCTACAAATCCATTCATATGAATGAGCGAATCGATAAAGTGTATAATGTGAAGGACTGTGAAGTCCTTCCGGTCCGGTGAAGGACTGTAAGTCAATCACTGGTAGCCAAGGAATGTGACATCACATTCGCTTGAACGTGAAAACTACGATGTCAGTTTGAACGTAACAAACAGAGAAAATTCATACTCAAACGAAGGTGACACACCGCACCGCTCTGTCACATTACTTCGGGTGTGACACGAAATCAGCAGGCAAACTGTCACATTAAAACGAATGTGACACATGGTACCCATTGACATACATCGTGTCACATCGAAACGAATGTGACACCCATAGGCTGTCACGTTCGTTTGAATGTGACAATTAGGGCATGTTACATTCAAACGAATGTGAAAATTTCACGTTCAAACGAATGTGATGTCACATTCCTTGGATACCAGTGAACCCAAGTTCCGCAAAAGTTGTACAAGGCTTGGCGCGGGGGAAGCTTTAAAAATTGCTGACCAATTCGTTTCAAAAATCAATTGCGGGCCAAAACAGCCTGTTTTTAAAATGGCCGTAGCTCAGTAACGAGAGCGACAGACGGGGCTGCTTTGTTTCAAAACGTAGTCAAGGGATCATATTGAAACGTCTCAAAGCTACTTTGGCTACTTGTTCAATATTAATAATTCAAAAATGCATTTTTAAAGGAAGTGACCTACAATTGATATTTCGCCTTATGCTACAACTTACGGCGAGTGTGGCGGCGAGCTTTGTCCGAGGGCGAATGCAGGCGGAGAGGCCGAGTGGTCTTGGCGGTCTTCACCGGTGCCCCGAAGCGCCGCTCCGTCTGACTCGGGCCGTGGCTGAATGACGGAATATTACGTGTCTCAGCCACAACACGCTTTTAACCGCATCCGATCGGTGCGGTCAACAACCGGCCGCCCTGTCGCGATCGCGGCTTCCGACTCGTCTCTCGCCAAGGGGCAAGCAACCTCGAGAAATTTTATACACTAATATCTCCCACTAAGGTCATTTCACGTTAAGGGGGCACACCAGTGAAAATGCAGAGGTTTCGAAAAACGATTATTTTGAGAAAAGTAACCGATGTATTCGATTTACATTTTATTCTTGGCTCAAAATTATGTCAAAGAAAAGGAAAATCAGTATGGGAGAGCGAGGTGGCGATGGCAAGATGAAGCGCCAGTGCACTTCATTTTTCAACGACCTTGCTTCACTCCTGTCACGATTCCGCCTCTTTGGATTGAGCTTCGCGCACGGGATTTGAAAATTTCTCAACAGGACACATGTGGCTATGGTCTGAACCACGGGCATGCAAAAAGAATGATTTTGAATTTGTTTTTTCAGAAGGCAAAAATGGAAACAAATTTTTTAACCAATTTTTTCGCGCTTTCATGGCTGCAGCTCACGTCCTATTTATGGGATGGCCATTTCCGAGGTTCAGACCATAGACGCAAGTGTAACGAGCATTTTGCCGCAAACCGCATTAAATTATCCTAATTTTTGCGCCCGTGAGAGTGGCACAAAGGTACAAAAAAGGTGTTTTGAGAAAAAGCCCTTTAAGTGGAAACATAGATTCGCATAGATTTGACGTGTTTTTTCGGATTATAAATGCGTCTTCTGACGTATTTTAATTCAGTTTGCGCCAAAATGTTCGTGGTTCAAGGGTTTTGTAATTGAAGTACAAGTGAAAAACCTAAACGTAAACAAGTGGTCAAAAATATGCAAAAATAATTACCTTTTTAGCAACTTTAAAAATGTGCACAACCCAAAGTAATTGGAATTTTGTGGTGGGGTTTGCGGCATTCGACTCGGGATGAATAGTAGGAATTCGATAAAATAAAAGAGAAGGCAAAAATTTGACGATTTTCACTGGTGTGCCCCCTTAATTCAACTGCAGCAAACTACGCCCTTACAGAAAGTAAACTATTGAGTCTCTCGGAATGGCGTGAATCGTAATGCCTTTCGAAGGGAATTGAAATTTTGCCTGAAAGTCCTCTACGAACCCACGCCCTTCCAAAAGGCAGACTGTTTATGCCCTTAAGGATGCAGTTTTTACGCCTTTGTTCAACCAGAGTATGAACGCGGTCAGAGGAGCGGTTGCATACGGGACCAAAAAAACAGTATGAATAAAATATTTGCCTTCCTGTTCTTCTGGACGAGCCAATAGGCAAACGACAGCAAACTGCAGTAATGACGCATTCGTCACTTTTAGTATTCATAGTCCGTGCTAGTGTCAGTCAATGAGGTCAACTTTTAATCAACTGCGAATCTTTTGTATCGATGTCGGGAAATAATGGAGGGACGCGATAGTGACATAATAAAGTGACGAGTGACAATGCGTGCCACAATTAATGGACTGACGAGTGTCATACAGGGATCCTTAACTTACCTCATAAGGGCATCATAACGTTATCGTAAGAGTTAAAGTTATTACCCTTAACTTCTGACATCTTTTCAAAAAGGTTAAGTTATTTTTTTGTGTTTCGAATTGGTGTAGAGATACTTTTGGAAGTACTTCCAAAAGTCTGTACCCTTAACCTTCAGCGAACATTGTCTTATGTTACGTTATGAAAGCAGTGTTAGTTAAATGTTAAGTTAAGGATCCCTGTTGTCATAATTGATGGAGTGACGAGTGCCACAATTCACGGAGTGACATGATGAACAGAGTGACGAATCATAACGAGTGCAAGAAGTAATGGAGTGACAACCACCTGCTTTGATGGGGATCGGCCCGAACACACGGCCTTTTCGTGATGGTAAAAATTAGTTGAGATGTATTCAAGAATTAAGTAGGGTTTACTGAGAGAAAAAGCGATTGATCAACAAGTTTGAGTTTAAATAGCTTGTTCATTAGCCATCAATTAATTATTCTTTAGTTATTCTCAGTGTTCACCTCAGTGTTCACTTTTACAAAACAAAAAGTTCTGATAGGCGGTGGCACTTCTATAATCACGTATACAAAGAAAAATTGACTATGTTAATTGCTAACATAATGTTACATACAAAGAAAGGTGTTTCGCAAACAAAGTAAATGCCACCGCACAACTGATAGGTATTAGTTTACAAAGTTCTCTTAGAATTTACAGAGTTTAAAATTGAACAAGTTATGCCACAGGCTCTGAAATAATCAAGTCATAGTTTCTAACAAAAAGACATTTGGCACGGATAGTCTCAATCCATGCAGGTCAAACAAACAGGGACTTCAAACAAGCCTTTCCAGGGACGCAGGGAGATGTCTGTCACGATATCAGTCACTGCGGCCACCTGCGACAGTCACTAGGGCAGCCCTCCACCCTGCGGTGAGCAGCAAACGTAAGTTGATGAAGATTGCCGGCTTTCTGCAGCACAGTATGACATCCCCAGCGGCACCACTGACAAATGCATAGGCAGAATTCGCTAGGGCAGTCCACGCGTAGGTGGAGGCGAGGGTTCCTCTCCCAGAGGTCCTGAACCAGGGGCCCATGCAACCAGTCGTGCATGCATAACTCATCTGGCCGCACCAAGAGCGAGGTGAGGGTGGGTGCAGACACAGGGGTGACTGCTTTAAGGAAGAAGACCAGAGCGTCTTCAGAGAGCTTGGACTCCAAGGACAGGGACTGAAGGGAAGAGAAGTGGGGCAGGATGTTGGCTACCAACTCCGAAGCGACTGAAGCAGACTCATACGAGCCCTTCCAGCTCAGAGTGAGGGATTCGATACAGCGGGCAGAGGGTGAGCTCGCCAGAGCCTGCAGAGGGACCGTTAAATTTTCTCCACAAGGTAAGAAAACCGATACTGATCTGAGGTGGGGCGCCTGGCGGAGAAAGTCTAGAGCACTTGGAGGGAAGACGGAAAAATCTTGATCTTTGTTGAACAACTTGAGGGTGTCGAGGTTGGACAGAGCCGCTGAGTAAAGCAAGCCATGTGTCGTGTTGCAAGCCAGGGAGCGAAGCCTTGGCAACATAGCTAACAAGTTTATGGGGAGACGATCATCACACATCAGGTTCACATCCTCCAGGGTGTCCGCATGAGTCTTCAACAACCATGTGAGGAAGCGGTCACATTTTCCCAAATAAGTCAGCTTGATTAAAGAGGGTCTTGCGTCTAACTCTTCAAGCCAGGGAACCGGCATTCGTGATGACTTAACTCTCATAAAGATCATCAGTTCACGGAGATCGGGAACACTAAGAGCCGCCTTCAAAAGGGATGCCACCGGAGCAGGTGACCTGATTTTGTACAGGAAAATCAGTCTGAGCGCTCTCAAGCCACCAAGAGCGGTAAATTTCTGAACTACGGCCGTAGCCAACGCCAACTCCGTTTCGTCATTGTCAAAATTCACAAGAAACTTCAGATAATCGACGACGCACTCGGTGCTGGCCACCAAAGACGCCACCTTTTCCGCCGGCGTCAGCTTCAGGTCCAAGTCCTCGAAAGAGAGTTTCCGGAGGCATGGGGCGACGCGAAGCGCCGAGAGCAGTTCGCAGTCTACGGCGGCGGACTTCCACAAGTGGCGGTGCACGCACAGGTCGCGCAGGCGGCGGCACACCACCCGGCAGCCCAGCAGCTCCGCCGGGGACAGGTAGGCCAGCACGGCCAGCAGCGCGTCGTCCGGGAGGTCCAGCAGCTGCGGCACAAGCAGGGGACAGTCAGACCAACACTGCATGCTAAATTCCCATGGACTTCTTGTCCATAACTGTTGCGATGTTGGTGCATGTCCGTTATGTACAAATTGGGACACATTTTAGGTAAACTTTGACCAATACTTAAGACCAATACGGAAATATTGTCCCTAATTATTGTAGTAAAATTTTACTCAGCTTCGGTATGCACAAATGTGGCAATAATTATGGACGCTAGGCCCATGAACATTCGGAGTGAGCAATTGTGCCAAGTGGGTCCATTTGTTGGTTTCAACAAACACCAGAAACCAAGCCGCACACAATTCGGACACCAAATGACCCACCTAGCCTGAACGGAAAAAGCAGCGCCTAGGATTCCCAGGTCCACCCTGAAAAAAGGACATATTTTGCAGGAGCTTTGCCTGTGAATCCCTGGCGTTGCTTTTGACGTGAGATAAAATGCAGAAGAAACGCTGAAACCTGCTGATCAAAAACGTTAGATATCGTAAAATTACTCTCCCGACTGGAACCTGAGGTGGTCAGATTCGGTTTTCCCAAGAAAATTTAAGTCAGTACTGCGAAAAACAGCCGTGACTCCTGAAGAGAGGGAAGGGGCCACTACCGCCGCAGAGCACCATAGAAAACACCGCAGGCTTTCAGTGAGATTTGGTCATGTCACAGCAATCTGCTGGACAAATTTTGAAGAGAACATTTTGTTCATGCCAAAAGGCATTAAGTCCTTCACATCGGCATTGCAACAACGCCGAGGGGTAAACAACTTGGTCAAAATTTGTACACCGTTATTTCAAATTCGCGTTATTTCACGTCATTTCATGGTTATTTCAACGTTATTTTAGCTTTATTTCAACGTTATTTCACGTTACTTCAAGGGAAATGTACACCAAAATTCAAGTTGTTTGCCCCTCGAACAACGCTGAAAAAGATAAGTACTTCAACTTCAGGAAAAATCGTGCACGCAGCAAAAAATTAATGAAAAAAAAAAACGTTGTAAAAAGTCACTTTTTGTAACAGCGTTGTTTACTCAAATTGAATGGTACTGTATTTAGAGGACATCCACTTTATTCACTTAGAGGAGAGGGGGAATCTGTCCTTGCGTAACGCGTTGATGCTTGGGGAAAAAAAGGGGGGCAGCCTAAAGATACGGTGGACACATTAAAAAATGAGAGCACATTTTGAAGGTACAAACCGAGGAGGTAAACACTTCAAGAAAGCGTGTTCAGACTACTCGGTATTGCGCTGTATTAAGGGGGTATTACACGTGTATTTACGGCCTTAAAATGCCAAAATGTGGCACATTTGACCCCCAAAAAAATGGGTATCAAGACGGTTCACCCAATTCCTTTCACCCGAAACAGCAATGCCCACTTGTGTTTTGTCCACTATTACATCCACCTCATTTAGCCCACCACCACTATAGCCCACCAGCATTTGTCCCACTGTACTTCCCCTTTCCCCCAATGTTGCACCCACAGATCCTTATGATCCTTACAAAAACATACGCGCTTACGATAAAATTCACCGTACCTTCCGATGAATCATGCGTTAGGACGGCTTATGCTTATTGCATAGGCGTGACAACTATGTGATCAGTGTTGATGACCCTTGTAAGGAAAATAAGCCTTGAAATGGCCATCAACTGACCACCAAAGTTTTCATTGTGCAGACCTCAATACCTTGCACTGGCAACTGTGCAAATTACGTAAGTGCCATTGACCGTACCCCATAATGACATACCGTCGTAATACGCATCAAGGAAGTACAGAAGAAATGGGACAGGTAAATGGCTAAACTGGAACTGAGAAAGTTACAGACAACCAATATTCATGAAAAAGTAGAATAATTCGGTTTGCAACTAACAGACAGTACCTTACCTTAGGCATGGCCTGCGGGAATAACGTCACACTCTAGTGGGTTTCGAGGTACAAAGGTGGGCCAAATGGTGGTCGGGTCTCTTTTTTTCGGAATAAAAATAGTGGGTCAAATATTGGTGGATTGAATTGAAGTGGGCATTTTTGCGGTGGGAGAGAGAATTTTGGGTGAAATGTCGTGGATCCAAAAAAATGTATTGCGAACACGTGAATTACGCGTAATACACGGTTTTTGAATACAGGGTATTACGCGAGTGGTTAAACCCTCGGTACAAACAGTGAATAAGGGTACAAATACTGCATTACGCTGTGAGAGGAGGTCCGGGGTTCTGGCCTAACGTATCGACGCGTTGAATGGTAGGGGAACACTGTGGCAAAAAGGTACGGAAAATCCTGTTAATTTTTTTGCCAGGATTCTCCGTAGCCCTCTTATCAATATTCTCCGTAGGCTCTTACAGTATTCTCCGTAGGGCCGCACAGTATTCTCTGTAAATCCGCACAGTCTTCTCCGTAGGACCTCGAAGACTGTATAGTCCTACGGAGATCACTGTGCGGTCCTACGGAGAATACTGTGCGGTCCTACAGAAAATACTGTAAGAGCCTACGGAGAATATTGATAAGGGGCCTACGGAGAATTACCACAAGCTGTTTACAGAATTTTCCGTAGCTTTTTGCCACAGTGAAGAGGGGATAAAAACCTGCCCAAAAAGTGCGAATCGTATTACACTCTTAAAACCTTACGAAGTATTTTGAGCATACATATAACAAACTAAAATACTTTGTTATACGAAGAAATAGTTCGTAAATTACGAAGTATTTTCTTTGTAAGCTTACGTATGCTCAAAATACTTTGTTATACAAACTACTTTTCTTTGTAAGGCCCAAAATAGTTTGTAAGGTTTTCTGAGAGTACGTTCGTCCCGTTTAAGAGAAACGGGACGAAGCCGCAAGTTCAAAAACCGCCGTGGAACGAAATCATTAACGGCCTAACAGGAGCGTAAACTTGCGAATCACCAAGGAAATTGACTACAACCCCGTGCAGAATTGGGCGACGTTACGCAAGGCGTGTATGTTAGGGTTCGGGGACAGCGCAGAGCAACGCCACAACGGAGGGCCGTCGTCGATAGAAGAACAGGAAGCATTGCAAAACCGTACACTCGATGCCTAAGAATGAAATTTGAGCTGTTACAAAGAATACCGCGCTAGCGTAACACGTCGCAATCTTCAATAGAACTATAGGGAAAGAAAAAATATGTAAACTTTGGCAGCAAATTCCCCACATCGGACCGATGCCAGTGACTGCAACATGCTCCATGGCCAGGGTACTCGAAGAGAATTCTGGCCCGCAAGAGGAACGAAAACGGAAGTCACAAATACGGGCTCTATGAGAAATTTGCGTTACGATAAGATACGATAAGGCATGATACGGTAAGTCCCAGACATCATCAGCCGCGAACAGAACTCAGAGAAACTGTTTTTTCTCAATTCCGTTTTGGCTCTTCTTCCGGACCAGAAATCCGTTGCAGTGCCCAAGGCAAATTCCCCGATAGTGAAGGAGAAAACGGCTCACCGATTGGTCCATTGTTGAGGCAGCACGCGGTGGATTCCAAAGTTCCGATGAATTCACAGCGAACACCGTGCGATTAAACGTTCGTCGACCACGTCACAAACTGCAGGGGTACGCACACACCGGATGCAGAGCCTCGAGCACGCCAATGGCGGAGGAGGGACAAGAATGAGGAACGTGAGCTACGAAGTGAAACACGGCTGAAACAGTGGTCTGTCAGATCTGTGTAAGATCTGTCAGAGAGTGCGGATGGCGCCGCCGCGGTCGCTCAATCCCTGCCAAATTTGAAATGGACTAATGTGCGCCACGGACCAATTATGTGCCTCTCTCTCTCTCTCTCTCTCTCTCTCTCTCTCTCTCTCTCTCTCTCTCTCTCTCTCTCTCTCTCCCTCCCTCCCCCTATACTGTTACTTACTCCTTCGTAATGCGCGATGAGCTGACAACCACACGTTGTATTGCTTTCGATCCAGTGTTACTGACGAAAGATCGTAGTTTTACTTATTAAATCGTTATCTTACGACTATTCTCGTTTTGTCACGCGTAAACTTGTGTTCTTACAAATCAAGCTTACTTTTACGAATAGTTGCCTGTCCAATCTGTACCTCGAACTGCACTGTTTTTTTTTTACAAAGTAAATTGTAAATTGACAAATTGTTCATCATTTTACAAACTGCTTCTTAAATTGACAGGTGAAATCGTAAATTTACAAGGATGATTGTAAAAGTATCTGAAAAATTGTGTTTTTGTCTGTTGTTTCCTTACTATATAGAAAGAAAAAGTGCCTGAAACGACCAAAATTTGAGGATTAAGTTGGTAAGTTTAAGAATATTTTTGTAAATTGACGAAAAAAAGATGGATGATCAGATCGTTTTTGAAATTTACGAGCAGTTCGTGGTACAGATTTAACAGCAAATTAATCGTAATTTCACCAAATAATCCCGAAGAGTCTTTATTCGTACTCAAATTTTTGGGACAGTCAATCTCTCCAGGATGTGTCCGTTCGTCTCTAGGAAGGCTTACCGACGTGTCTGTCTCCAGTGCACTGTTATGCAAATAATGTGACGTAGAATGTGAACTTTGTCACATTCGTTTGAATATGGTCCGAGGGGTAGTACCTCGTTACTTTGACGTACATACGATTCCGGATTCCCACGTTTCCCGAACTAATCCCACGAGAAAAGTAAGAACTTTCGAACATTTGACTTTGTTTTTTGAGTGTTCTGCGTCAGTACCACGACAACATTGACAATGACATTCCATATGGAAACGTAGGATTTTGGATAAAATCTAGAATGATGCCCGGCGCGGGCGCGGACTTAGCAACCCCTCGATATGGTCACATCTGCTTGAATGTTGATCCACGACGTTAAAATGACCGTGACACTCGTTAAAAGGCAGTGGCACGTTCCAAACCAATGAGACATACTATCCCAAACGAACATGACGAATTACATTCCAATGAGTGGCGCCACATTCGTCGAATAAGCTTAACAGTGTGGAGCGAGGTGGAGGCATCTGATCTACATGTTTTCGCACGGGCACATCGTGTTTTAGGTTTCGATTCGCAAAGCTGAGGCTCCACGCAAAACAACTCGCGATAAAATTAGTCCTAGACCGTAAACTCCGTATCCAAACTATAAATCCCTCAGAAAAAAAGACATTAAACGACTGCTTGACGCGTGAAATCTCACGGATTTGGTTTGGAAAATGCCCCTCTCCGCCTGTTCTTCCCCGGCCCAGCACGCTTACCTCCAAACTACGGGGAAAGGCGGCCTTGCCTGCGCATCCATCATCCAAGACGATAATTTTGGCGGGTTCCCACACGCGTCGCCTGCTGCTCCGAGGCGGCGGAGTGTGCTCGCTCGGAGCTAGTTCAGAGGCCCGGCGCGTGGACGCCGAACGTGGCGGCAATAAAAATGTCTCTTCTCGCCGGCGTCCTGGCGGTGGCGGTGCTGGCGGTGCTGCGGCTGCTCCGCGCCTACATGCGGTTCCGCAGGGCCGAGTTGTCCATCCCCGGGCCGCCGACGCTCCCCGTCCTGGGCAACACCCTCGACTTCTTCAACGTCACCGAGGAGACGGTGGTGCCCACGCTGCGCAGGATGTGGGGCGGCCGCTACGAGCTGTCCGCTTCTCGCTGCTCGGCCGCCTGATCGTGTTCGTGAGCGACGCGGACGACATGGAGAGGGTCATGAAGCGGCGCGACTTGCAGGACAAGTCGCGCTTCTTCTACGAGTTCCTCGAGTACTTCTCCCGCCGCGGCCTGCTCACCCTGAACGGCGCGGAGTGGCGCGCTCACCGCCGCGCCCTGCAGCCCGCCTTCCACCCGGAGGTCCTGGACAGGTGGGTGCGCACTCTAACAACATTGCCATGTACTCTCCGGCATTGTATTGCAAACTCTCCAGCAAACTATTTTCTTGGCATTGCGACACAGCCCGCCTTTCACCTGGAGGTTCTGGACATTTGGGTGCGCACTCAAAAATCCTTGCGGTTGCAGTCTCACTGCACTCTAAATGTCTTACAATGAAATTTGACCTATGTTATTCGTATGTTACAGTGAAATCGGCGCAAGCATAATACGAAGCAATATTCCTTCGTAATACGAATCTTTTTAGCTTTTTCATTGTAAGATACAAAGAAAAACCTTCGTAATACGAAGAAAAACCACCTTCGTATTATGCTTGCGCCATTTCCTCCGTATTATGGGAAATTTCTTCGTAAGACATTTAGAGTGTGTGAAAATTTGAGTCGTCACTTGATGACAATTTCAAGGCTAATTTTCCTTACAAGGATGTCATCAAATCAATTGATGACATTGTTGTCATGCCCATGCAATAAGTATAGGAGCTTTGATGTAAATGTCATCAATTTGTGATGAGATTGCCATCATTTGAAAGTGATGAAAATATCATCCACGTTTTTGTCATAAAGTGACAACAACTTTTCACAGATTCTCCGGCATTGTATTGCAAACTCTCTTACAAACATTTTTCTTTGCATTGCGAAGTATTACTTTATAACCTGCATAGATAATGCTTTGCAACGTTACAAACCTAGGCTCCGCAACTCACGAACTATTTCTTCGCAATGCGAAGAAAAAAGTTCGCACGGAAGTTCGTAATTCAAAGCCGGAGAATGCTTCGTTCTGCTAAGTACCTTTCCTAGCAAACTTTCAAGAGTGAGGACAGCGTCTCACGAGAGGGGAACCGCGAGGGCGGGAACACCAAAGCCAAAATCTGACTTCTTATCACTTTTCTTTTCAAATTCTTTTCCAATTTAGTCATTTGCATTTAATAATACTCAAAACAACAGCCCTTTGAAGTGGAAGAAATTCAAAATATTGAGATATCGCAGACGTGCGGGATATACCTTCAGAGTTAGAGCGGTGAGATAAAATTCGTCTTGATCCTTCTGCCCTATTCTAAAAAGTGACACAAGCTTTTTTTGTGTACGTGTTACGGTTAGAGCCCGATCGCCGGTTAGGGTCGACCCTAACCGGTTAGGGTCCGGTCTAACCGCTCCGGCCCGGTTAATGTCCGATACAATATTTTATTTTGAAGTCCCTCGGGCCCTAACCGGTTAGGGTTAGCCTGAGGAGACCCTAACCGACCGGCATCGGTTAGGGTCCGACCAGAATATCAAGAATAATTTTAGGGGCGGGGGGTCCGACCAGAATATCAAGCATAACTTTAAGGTGCTGTAGAATATCAAGCATAACTGTTGGGTGCTGTAGGGGCGGGGCGAGAAGGTGGGGGGGCGCAGTGGCGTTGTCATGGTAACCAGGGAAGCTAGGCAAGCTAGCGAAGTCCAGGGAAGTCCGGTAAACCATGGCCATGGCGCTCCAGGCGGATGACTCCGATTTTCCTGACAAGACCAAGTTCTATGAAAGGCTGGAAGAAGCCCTGTCCACCCGTCGACTTGAGAACTCCAACTACATCAGAGCCGAGCAGTACGAGAAGTTCATCAGAGAAACGAAAGAAGCAAAGAATAACCGCTCGCTCTCCCTGTCGAAACGGCGCTTGCAGCGTTTCGCTGTGTGTGAAGTGGACGGGGTTGAGCATCTGATTGTCCCTCTAAAACCAGGCGAGACTAATATGAAATTCTTCGTGAAAGTGGAAGATTTGTATGATCGTATCAAGACGCATCACACGGCAACACACAAAGGCCGAAACCGTATTGTTGCCAGCTGCAATTTGAAGTACAAGAACATAACCCAAGAGGCCATCACTATTTTTCTTCAGCTGTGTCCTGGCTGCCTAGGGAAAAAAAAAATGAAGCTGAGAGGTTTGACAGTTAAACCAATGGTCTTCAATAAGTTCAATGATAGGTGCCAAATTGACTTAATCGACCTGCAATCCGCACTTGTCGAGTGTCAACCCGGGGATGAACAAGAGGTCGCCACAGACAGCTACAAGTGGATTTTAGTCGTGCAGGACCATCTCACCAAGTATGTTCATCTCCGCCCTCTGAAGTCTAAGAAGGCTGTGGAAGTGGCCCACCATGTCGTGGAAATCTTCCTGGACTTCGGCGCGCCCGCAATTCTCCAGTCCGACAATGGGCGCGCGGGCGCGCCGAAGTCCAGGAAGATTTCCACGACATGGTGGGCCACTTCCACAGCCTTCTTAGACTTCAGAGGGCGGAGATGAACATACTTGGTGAGATGGTCCTGCACGACTAAAATCCACTTGTAGCTGTCTGTGGCGACCTCTTGTTCATCCCCGGGTTGACACTCGACAAGTGCGGATTGCAGGTCGATTAAGTCAATTTGGCACCTATCATTGAACTTATTGAAGACCATTGGTTTAACTGTCAAACCTCTCAGCTTCATTTTTTTTTCCCTAGGCAGCCAGGACACAGCTGAAGAAAAATAGTGATGGCCTCTTGGGTTATGTTCTTGTACTTCAAATTGCAGCTGGCAACAATACGGTTTCGGCCTTTGTGTGTTGCCGTGTGATGCGTCTTGATACGATCATACAAATCTTCCACTTTCACGAAGAATTTCATATTAGTCTCGCCTGGTTTTAGAGGGACAATCAGATGCTCAACCCCGTCCACTTCACACACAGCGAAACGCTGCAAGCGCCGTTTCGACAGGGAGAGCGAGCGGTTATTCTTTGCTTCTTTCGTTTCTCTGATGAACTTCTCGTACTGCTCGGCTCTGATGTAGTTGGAGTTCTCAAGTCGACGGGTGGACAGGGCTTCTTCCAGCCTTTCATAGAACTTGGTCTTGTCAGGAAAATCGGAGTCATCCGCCTGGAGCGCCATGGCCATGGTTTACCGGACTTCCCTGGACTTCGCTAGCTTGCCTAGCTTCCCTGGTTACCATGACAACGCCACTGCGCCCCCCCACCTTCTCGCCCCGCCCCTACAGCACCCAACAGTTATGCTTGATATTCTACAGCACCTTAAAGTTATGCTTGATATTCTGGTCGGACCCCCAGGAGCAGGACGTGACGGAGAACCTGCTGCAGCTCACGGCGCGCGCCTTCGTGCGCACCACGCTGGTGGGCGACCTGGACGAGGACACCGAGAAGGCCATCCCCACGTTCACCGACTGCTTGCACGAGTTCAGCCGCTCCGTCAACTCGCGCTCCTTTCAGCCCCTGCTGTGGCCCGACCTGGTGTTCGGCTTGACGCCGCTCGGCCGCGTGGTGCGCCAACTCAGGGCCAAGGTGGACGCCTTCTCCGGACGGGTCATCGCCAAGCGGCGCGCCGAGCTCGGCCAGCGCAGCGCGGAGGGCGAGGACCGCGCGGACTTCATCCGGCAGCGGCGGACGCTCATCGACATCTTGCTGGACCCCAAGGTACACGCAGAGACCGCATCTTTGATAGGCTTTTTTTCAAGCAGAGGCTAATGAAAATGATCAATTCACTACAAGTCCAAAGGTCATACTTCCCACCACTCCAGACACTGAAAAACCAAACGTGGTGTAGACCTAACCCACACTGAGAATGAAAGAGTCACCACCATCGCCCTTTCATTGGGTAACGCATGCACTGTTGCCCAAATTTGGGTGACGAGCCCGCGGTGAATAAATTTTGGGCAGTCATAAAATCGTGGCCCAAATTTGGGTAACGCCGTCGGCGACGCCGTGAGGTCCCCGATGACGCTCTTCCGAGGCCACCACGATGACCCAATGTGGCGTTGAGGCCTCCGGTCATCGTGGTGGCCCCGGAAAGACGCCATCGGGAACCTCATGGCGTCGCCGACGGCGTTACCCAAATTTGGGCGACCAAACGCCTGTTACCAAATTTCGGGTGATGAATTTTTCGTCACCAAAATTTGGGCAACGAAGTTGCATCACCCATTTAAGGGTGATGTTGGTGACCTATTCATTCTCAGTGCACTGGTATGATCAAATGGGTGCCATTTTGACCGCATCAGTTGGTGCGGTCTGGAACACGTTTGCTGCGTTTGGTGTGGTCATTGCGTGGACATTGTGCCCAAAAAGAAACTACGTAGTAATGTAGTGTATGCGTAACGCCTGCGAACTCCTGGGTAGGCACGCCCGCCAAGCGCAGCTGCGTGGTTGGCTGCCTATCCCCTGCGCTCGCAGGCGCTCCCTCTCTCTCGTTCGCACACACAAGATAGAGCCGCGGGTATCCCAGCAAAACAATCTTATGGTCGTAGCGTAGTTAATGCGATAGCCACTTGAAGGAACCGCATTTTGGCGCAAACGGGAAATTAGTGACTTCCTCATTTTGGTGAACCGAGCACAAATTAATTCCTGCAGAAAAAAAACGGAGACTTCGCAGGCTACGAAGCAGATCCTTTTTAGTACGAACGGTTTTGTTTGTAAACAAGGAAAAACACACTAAACTACTACGTACTTTTTTGAACACAAGCTTTGTACAAAATTGAGCACGCATAAATGTCATGCACAACAACGCACCTTCGCTACGCACAAATCCCTTCATTTCAAAACTCACGCTCAATTTTTATGCAAAGCTCACGCACAAAAAAGTCCATTTAGTAACTTAGTGCGAATCCTTTGTAGCCTGCGAAGAACTTATTCGCAGCCTGTGAAGAATTTTTCATTTGTATTACAAGCACAATCGTCTGTTTTGCAAACGATTTCCTTCGTAGGCTCCAAATTCTCCGTTTTCTTTGCATTTCAAAGAGCGTTTTCGCATTTTACACTCGTATTTCTCACTACTTCGATGTTATTTCACGTTCTTTCACATTTCGATTTTATTGCAAGGAAAAAGTATACAAAACTTAGAGTGGTTTCCCCCTCCATCCACAGAGCAAGACGTCCGAGGGCACACTGTTCGAAATGAGCGACAGCGAGATCCTGGACGAGGTCAAGATCTTCCTGGGCGCGGCCGTGGAGACCACCGTGGCGGCGCTCGGCTGGACGCTCAAGGTGCTGTCGGTGCGGCCGGAGGTGCAGGAGCGCGTGCATGCAGAGGTCCTGGAGCAGCTGGGCGGCAAGGAGGGCCTCACCTCGGCGGACATCAACAAGTAAGTCACCCTGAGGTTTCATTTGCACCGTCAAACATTTTGTCGGGGCCATCATGCGACCTACACTCCAAATTTCGTAATCCCGCGGAAACTCGAGAAAAGGATTCAGGTAAAGACTCTGGGATTCCTTGACTTTTTACACACGAAATTACTGTGTAGGTTTTTCTGCGCGCCAATGCACGAAATTAAACATGCACTTCGTAACGCACAAATTCGTGCGTTACGAAGTGCAAGTTTAATTTCGTGCATTGGTGCGTAGAAAAACCTACCAAGTACTTCAGTGTGTAACTAATACTACTTTCATATCGTAACATAAGACGATGTTAGCTGAAGATTAAGTGTACGGACTTCGGCAAGTACTTCCAAAAGTACCTCCACACAAATTAGGGAAACTAGAAAAATAACTTATCCTTTTGGAAAGAAGTCAGAAGTTACGGGTTATATAACTTCAACTCTTACGATAACGTTATGATGCCCTTTTGAGTAAGTTAAAGATCCCTGGATTCCAGAGTCTAACTCAGTATTATCTCTAAAACCCCGAAATCAACTCCCAATTTCAGAGTGGACTCTCAAATTTCGGATTAGACTCAACCTAGTGGGTTCAAGCGGCGCCCTCTTTTGCAGGCTCAAGTACACCGAGCAGGTGATCAAGGAGACGATGCGCCTGCTGCCGTCCGTGCCGTACACGGCGCGCGTCGTCCGGGAGGAGACCAAGTTCGGCGGGCACACACTGCCCGCCGCCACGACCCTGTTCCTCAACATCGTGGGCTGCCACCGCGACCCCAAGCACTGGCCCGACCCCACGCGCTTCGACCCGGACCGCTTCTCGGCCGAGGCGTCCGCCAAGCGGCACCCGTACGCGTACCTGCCCTTCAGCGCGGGCGCGAGGAACTGCATCGGCGGCCGCTACGCCATGATGGTCATCAAGACGACGCTGGCCGCCCTGGTGCCGCGCTACCGCGTCGACGCCGTCCCGGACGGCCACACGGAGCCCGCCGACTTCCCCTTCACGTTCGACGTGGCCTCCAGGATGCTGGGCGGCGTGCGCGTCGTCTGCACGCCCCGCGCGGCCCGCGCCGCCTAGGCGAGCTCCTGCAGCACCGCAGGAACACCCCGCACACTGCATGATTCTGTACACATTTTGACGAGACGTTTTGCACAAATGTGTTCCTGATTGAAGCGTGTGCATTTATTTTCTCGTCCGAAAAGTCTATTGGCGCGAAAAACTGTACACCTAATTTCCTTCTAAGAAATGCCGAGCAGTCATACTACGCTAATTCTCAGTACCCCGCAACACAAATTTATCATCGAAGAAATTCGTTTGTGACATAAAAAACTGGCCATAAGTTCCTGAGAACCCTTCACGATCGGCTGCTACCATCGCTGTGCTGTCACAATACTGTGTAAACTCTTTAATTGTAATTATAAAAAATGAAATGCTTAGTAGGATCTTGGGAGTGTATAACGTCTCGTGCAAAGTTTGTGATGCCACCCTTAGGTTTTGATGAATGACACTTTCTTCTGGTCCTGTGCCGCGAGTTAACGTTGCACAGAAATAGGTTAAAAATTACTTTGTCCCGAGCGTGCGTGCACACTGCCAAGGTGTTAAAGACCAACAAATTGAAAGAAAAAAGGTGGGAAATGCCGTGTTTCTACCTGCCGATTTGACACCTTTCTGGTCTTCAAAGCGTCGTTAGTTACCGAATCCAAGTTGTCCTCACCACCATTTCGCCTGATTGGTCGCACTTCTCTTGGTAATCACCAATTTGAGTTGATATAGGTTGAATGTAGCCATTGCCATTGCTTCATCATCGGGGCAAGGCAAGAGTGAGTTTCAAAATAAGGAGTAAGTTCTTAAAAAGTTTAATTAGTCAAGTAAGACAAATTGTATGATCAAACAAAACCGATAGCAAAAATAATGGCTAATTAAAATATTGGACAGAATTAAAAGATGTTTCACAAGAAAATATTACGTCTAGCTAGTCTTCAGCACATCTTCAAGTTACACATATAACCAGTTGCAAACACAATTTAACAAAAGAGCACCTGCTTAGAGTCACACCAGTATGCTAATTGCACAATACATTTCCAGGATGGCAGGCAAATCTCTGCCACGACACCAGGTCGCTACGGCCACCTTGGCAGCCATTCGGGCAGCCCGCCATCCTGCGGTGAGCAGACAACACAAGATGTTGCAGATCGTCTAGTTTCAGCAGCTCCTCATGGCAACCGAGGCGGCGGCACCACTTACTACTACACTCTGCCCGATTTCCTCCGAGCACGTGAAGGTGGAGGCGTGGGTTCCTTTCCAGGAGTTCCTGAACCGCACGGGAGTGCAGCCAGCCATGGGCGCACTCGCTAGGGAGTGGCTTCATCGAGAGCGAGGTGAGGCTCGGCGCAGACGTGGGGGTCACTGCCTGCAGAAAACCGTCAAGAGCATCTCCACGTAGCCACCACTCCAAGGACAGGGACTGCAGGGAGGGGAAGTGGGGCAGGATGTTGGCTGCCATCTCCACACCGATCGAGTCCGGATGCAACCTAGCCCAGCACACAGTGAGGGATTCGAGGAGGCGGGCAGAGGGCGAGCTCGCCAGAGCCTGCAGTGGGGCCGCGTGGTTTTCCTTAGGTGAAGCAAACGACACCGATCTGAGGTGGGGCGCCTGGCAGAGAAAGTTTAGAGCACTGGGAGGAAAGTCTGGTAGATCTTCATCGATGAACTTGAGAGTGTTGAGGTTCGACAGACCCGCTGTATCAAGCAAGGCACTGGCCTTGCAAGCAAACGAGCGAAGCCGTGGCATCATCCGCAACAAGTTCATTGGAAGGTGATCTGTTTCCCTCAGGCTCAAACTTACATCTTCCAGGGTTGGCGCATGGGTTGTAAGCAACAATTCGAGGAAGGGGTCCAATATACCGGTGTACACCAGCTTCGTCAGGGAGGGTTGCTTCGCCGTTATGGACCACGAGGCCGGATTTGGCGGATTCTCACTTTCTATAATGATCCTCAATTCGCGGAGACCGCCAACACCGAAAGCCGCCTTTAGAAGGGGAGCAAGATACGAATCTGGTACGTTTGATCCGACATAAATCAGTTCGAGCGCTCTCAAGCCGCCAAGAGCGGAGAATTTCTTAACCATGGCCGTAGCCAAGGGCACATCGTCATCATCAAAAAACGCAATCACTTCAAGTTCAGCGACGACGCACTCGGTGCTGGCCAGCAACGACGTCACCTTCTCCCTCTGCGCCGGCGTCAGCTTCTGTTCCAGGTTCACCAAAGAGATTTTCCGGAGGCAGGGGGCGACACGGAGCGCCGGGAGCAGCTTCATGGTGTCTATGGCGGTGGACTTCCACAGGTCGGAGTGAAGGCAGAGGTCGCGCAGGCGGCGACACACCACCCGGCAGCCCAGCAGCTCCGCCGGGGACAGGTAGGCCAGCACGGCCAGCAGCGCGTCGTCCGGGAGGTCCAGCAGCTGCGGCACAAGCAGGGACAGTCAGAGCGCTGGCTACACTGGCAATTCGGTAAAGTCGGGTGATGAGGTTTCCTCGCTCAAACTGCGATCATGAAGGTTTCCTCACCCTCACCGGTGCTAGCTAACAGGTTGGCGCCTGTCACACTATATTATCATGTGGTTTTTAACCCAAAAGCTTTGCACAAAATTGAGGTGTTAAAAAGGGCACCGAAGCACGAAAGTGGGCGTTTTGGCGCACTAACTCGTGCGTTCCACGTGGTTTGGTGCAAAAGCTATGCACAAAACAACTACGTACCGTACAATTAAGGGTGAGATTTTAGGTTATGAAACATTCGTCGCCCAGATTCTCACGAAAATATGAGTAATTTAGAACACAATCAAGAACTGTGTAGTTTTTTTGTGCAGAAGCTTTGCACAAAAATGTGCATGTGTTCCACGGGCTTGCTCAAATTCTGTTCAAAAGCTTATGAACAAATCAACTACGATGTAATTCAGTGTGCACGTGGCGTGGGTGAAACGATGCATCACACATTAAATGTTTGCGCACTTTTACTGACTCGCACCGACGCAGACCAGAATCCCTGCCAGGACACGGCGTTCGCAATTTCGCAGCCGAAGCAGCTTGGTTCGGTCGACTCCAGTAGAGCGATTTTGTACACATTAAGTCGATGTTGGGCTACTTTTAGTAGATGATTAAGAAGCTTAACGGGGAGCCTTAAAATTAAGCTTGGTTTTTGGCCCGTCCCGTTTATTTTTTGGCCCGTCCCGTTTATTTTTTTGTAAAAAAATGACGGAGGGACGGGCATATAGTATGATCCCTGCTGTGCGTCCGTTCGTCCGAGGACTTCCCGTGGTCCGATCTTGACCAAATTTGGTATGCAGCCTCCTTGGGTGACCCTAAGAACCGCCCGGTGGCAGCAAATCCGATCCGAGCCCCGGGGGCGCTGCTGCAGGTGCATCATGGTCTACATGGGGTCGAGGAGGATTTCGGCAACGGATACAGCTAGCAGGGCATGTAGGGGTATTTTTGGAATCGGGGCGACGAGACAAAACCAACGGTTCCAGTTTCAAGCGAATCGGAGAAGTTTGGACCCGGGTTCAAATCCCAGTGGGGTATATTTTGAACATTCTTTTTATTCGAGTTTTTGCATTGTTTCTTAGGTTTTTGAGGGCGCTGATGACGAAAATAACATCTCTTTTGATCCCAGACTCAGGTTCAAACCCGTCAGGGTTAAACAAAGGCGAAATTCACACATTTGTTAATGTACGGGACGGGCCAAAGTTGCCGATGTATATCGCTACTTTTCCTGTTATTGTAAAAAAAAATGACGGAGGGACGGGCATATAGTATGATCCCTGCTGTGCGTCCGTTCGTCCGAGGACTTCCCGTGGTCCGATCTTGACCAAATTTGGTATGCAGCCTCCTTGGGTGACCCTAAGAACCGCCCGGTGGCAGCAAATCCGAACCGAGCCCCGGGGGCGCTGCTGCAGGTGCATCATGGTCTACATGGGGTCGAAGGGGATTTTGGCAACGGATACAGCTAGCAGGGCATGTAGGGGTATTTTTGGAATCAGGGCGACGAGAGAAAACCAACGGTGCCAGTTTCAAGTGAATCGGAGAAGTTTGGACCCGGGTTCAAATCCCAGTGGGGTATATTTTCAACAGTCTTTTAACTCGAGTTTTTGCATTGTTTCTTAGGTTTTTGAGGGCGCTGATGACGAAAATAACATCTCTTTTGATCCCAGACTCAGGTTCAAACCCGTCAGGGTTAAACAAAGGGGAAATTCACACATTTGTTAATGTACGGGACGGGCCAAAGTTGCCGATGTATATCGCTACTTTTCCTGTTATTGAAAAAAATGACGGAGGGACGGGCATATAGTATGATCCTGCTGTGCGTCCGTCCGTCGTCGTTCGTCCGAGGACTTCCCGTGGGCCGATCTTGACCAAAATTGGTATGCAGCCTCCTTGGTGACCCTAAGAACCGCCGGTGGCAGCAAATCCGAACCGAGCCCGGGGCGCTGCTGCAGGTGCATCATGGTCTACATGGGGTCGAAGGGATTTTGGCAACGGATACAGCTAGCAGGGCATGTAGGGGTATTTTTGGAATCAGGGCGACGAGAGAAAACCAACGGGTGCCAGTTTCAAGTGAATCGGAGAAGTTGGACCGGGTTCAAATCCAGTGGGGTATATTTTCAACAGTCTTTTAACTCGAGTTTTTGCATTGTTTCTGATGTTTTTGAGGGTGCTGATAACGAAAATAACATAAATTTGGACCCCAGACTGAGGTTCAAATCCCGTTAGGGTTGAACATCAGCGAAATTCACACATTTCTAAATGTACGGGACGGGCCAAAGTTGCCGATGTATATCGCTACCTTTCCTGTTATTGAAATAAGCTATAGCTTAAGAGACTTGGCGGTATGGTGGTACATGTACGTATGATGATATATGCCTACAGCAAGAATACAACCCCGTGTAAAAGCTAGTTGCTGATCGTGAAAGGAAAAATCAACTCACCGATAGGTCCATTGTTTCCATTGCAGCGACGGGTTCCCAGTTTCAGCTGAATCCGCGGAAGAATCTCGTCGCCTCACTTACAGTCCGGCACGATCCCAGCAGCGGAGTAGACAGATAGATCAATCTGCAACGTAAAAGAACATCCATTAACCACAACAAAGTCCACGGACTTGCACCCGCTTGAGACGATCATGAGTTCAGGAAAAGAACCAGAAACTTTAAATAAGATGGCACGTTTGTCGCATAATGCTAAGCACCGAGGAAAGATCCACGATTAGGGTGCAAATAGCTCGACTGGAAGTTCGTAAGAACACTCCGATAACCTAACTAACTATTTTAGGCCTTTCAAAGAAAAGCAGCTTGTTATAACGAAGTATTTTGAGCGTACATAAACTTACTAGGAAAGTATTTCGTACGAACAATTTCATCATGTAGCGAAGTGAATTAGACTGCACAATGTATGCTCACAATACTTCACGAGGTTTGAATCGTGAAATCAAGAACAGACGCCGGCGAGGGGGAAATCACTCTTAAAAACTGTCACCCGACTACTCCCTTACGCTCTATTACGCTTACGCTATTACACTGTTAAAAAAGTAATGAATTTTCAAAGCAATTTTGATGACAATTTTATGAATACGGATATGAATTTTACAAACATTGCAATTTTCATAACTTGATGCGAAAATTCGGAACAATTTCGTAAAATTGACAATTGTTGGTAATTTTAAAACCATGTTCTGAAAATTGCGAATCTTAAATGTTGATTTTGAGCACACAATAGTAATTTTCCGAATCCGATTGTAAATTTCATAACTAGCTCAAGAGGCGTGGCCAAGGGGCGCTGGTAGAGTCATCAGTAGCTGACCCTCCGCCTCCCGTGGGACGTGGTAGCACAGCGGTAAAGAGCGTGCATCACAAGTCAAAGATCCCGGGTTCGAAACCCGCTGATCAAAAGCAGAATCGGTTCAATGAATGGCATAAGGCCGCTTGGGTGTTCACATACATGAACATTTAGTTGTCCTTTTGCTTAACTGCTCTAAAATGACCTCGCAAACGCGAATATGAATTTTCATAACATGATATGAATTTTCATAACGTGATTGTAAAACAATTTACAATCATTTGTGATTTTAATTTTCATAACAATTGTTTGTGAAAAAAAATGCCAACCAATGTTATGAAAATTACAACTGATTTTTTTAACAGTGTACAGAAGGCTTATTACGCTCGAAAATATTCAGATTTAGGCTAAAATCGGACCCTCAATAGGGAAAATTTTTAAAAATTTCTCTGCAAACTCAACAGTGTACTCAGTAAGTAGAGTGTGCTCATGAGTACACTCTAACTAGCGTGTACTGAGATGAGTACACTCTAACTAGCGTGTTCTGAGATGAGTACACTCTAACTAGCGTGTACTCAGATGAGTACACTCTAACTAGCGTGTACTCAGATGAGCACACTCTAACTAGAGTGTACTGAGTACACTGTTGAGTTTGCAGAGTTGGCTATTACGCTATTACTATTACGCGTAATACTAGGAATCGGTGACCCGACTTTTACGCGAGTGATTTCCCCCTCGGACGCCGGACTTTAATATGAAAACATTAGTCAGCGGAAGCGGCAGAACAGCGACGCCGACGCTCATTTTCACTTCTGGATTATTCCAGCGGACTCGAAAGGAGAATGAAAAGGCGAACGGGCCGCTTCCGTTTGGGTCACAACGGACGACAGAGGATTCAAATATCGCCGAAAATCTCTTTTTGGCTGAGCGATAGCGAAGCCTGTTACTCCAGTGCGGTTGAAAAGTTTTTTCTGTCTGTCTGTCTGTGTGTCTGTGTGTGTGTGTGTACACTACTCCTCCTGAACGGCTCGGCCGATCTGGCTGATATTTTGCAGGCTTATTAGGTATGTTCTTGGCTCGGCACACGCGAAATTTCACTATCCTAGCTCAACTGGTTCAGTTTTTATAGCCGAAAAACACCTAAAAACGGCGAAAAATCGAGATTTCTGCAGGTAGATCACCTCTGTCTTGAAGAAAGGGGGGTCTGGGGGGCGGAGCCCTCCAGCTTCGACAAGTAAAAAAGTGACAAGGGTCAAGATCGTGTTATCTGTAGATGAAGCAACTCTTTCTAGAAAAAGGGGGTCTGGGGGGCGGAGCCCCCCAGCATGCAACACGTAAGAAGGAACCGACGATGGACAAGCCAATACCTGCCGAAGGCAGGCTAGCGCCGCAGGCCAAGGTAGGTGCGCCAGGCGCGGATTGGAGGAACAGGCCGCGAGATATCGCGAAGCCTGTTACGACAAGACGCGGTCTGGCGTAAACCTACCTTGTAGGAAAATGTCTGTACGGTTAGACTCGGTCCTGGATCTTCCAGGACCGTCCTGGTTTTCCTATGTATTTAGCATAGGAGAAACCAGGACGGTCCTGGAAGATCCAGGACCGAGTCTTACCGTGTGTAAGATTCAATGTGAAACATAACAATAAGACTCATGCGCATGCGAGTGCAAATACCATGAAGTTACACCTCTCGGTTGATAGACAAACACCGCGTCGCCGCAGGCCAAGGTAGGTACGCCAGGCGCGGATTGGAGGAACAGGCCGCGAGACATCGCGAAGCCTGTTACGACAAGACGCGGTCTGGCGAGGTGAGACATATGGTATCGTCAAGTTTTGGTCAGACCTGAAAATCTCGCCAAAATCTGGACAGTCTCGCCAGAAAGTAACGAGACTTTTTTTGTCTCACCACCACCACCACCACCACCGTAAAAAAAAGCATGCGGCGGACGATGCGTCACAATGGCCAGACCAGGTCTTACCAAAACTTCTTGCCATATTTTGGCGTGAAGTGTCTTAGTTCACTTTGCACTATGCAGTGTTGCCTCATTGTCACAAGCAGTCTGCACTGGTTTTATCTTACTCTGGTTTCGTCCCCCCCCCTCCTCGTTTAAGTGCACAGCGCTACGAAACACGAATCTGTCTCCACACTGAGTTACTATGTGGTTGCATTGTACATTGTGCACGCGTTCTGAATTGCACTTATTTGTGCGTAACCAAGCACGAAAGTCTGCGTTGTTGTGCATTAAGTCGCGCATGCTCTATTTTGAGTAAAGCGTATGCACTAAGAAAAACTTCGTAGTAAGGTAGTGTGTCCGTGCCGCCTGCGATCTCCTGGGTAGGCACGCCCGCCAAGCGCAGCTGCGTGGTTGGCTGCCAATCCGCCGCGCTCGCAGGCGCTTCCTCCCTCTCGTTAGGGTCCTAGAGTGGGAGAGAAAAGTCAATTGCGAAAATGCTACGCGCACTTTGCCATACTCGTCATTTCCGGACCGCAGAGCCGGTTTCCGTTTTCCGGAATTCAAACACCATTATCGCGAAAAGACGTACCTTCGCAACCCGCTAATGTCACAAGACAGGCCAACCACCCGAACGTAAACAATAATTCGTCTGCCGTCTGTCTCTCCGAGTGAAACGGCGGAAACGACGGTCCGGAAACAAGACCAGCGGTCCGGGAGTGACAAGTATGGCAGATTTCGCTGTCAGAAAGTGCGGACAGGCATGGCGTTTCTCTCCCACTCTAGGACTCTACCTCTCGTCATGCTCCGCAGCCCCGGCCCCGGCCGCCTCTCCCGATGTCCAATACGAGGTGATGGCCAGCTCCTCAACCGCAGGCCTCTCCACGCAGAGATAGACGGAGGACTTCATGCGCCTCCTCACCTCACCCACCCCACGTCCAGGGCAGCATCGGCCGAACCAAACCAGGAACCGGCGGACTCCCTCTCGGCCTCCTCCAGGGGATCTCTGCCGAGCACGCCGCCGGCCTCGTCAGAAAGGGCCTGGGGGCACTCGACGGCTGGATGAACGACGTGGGTCTCTCTTACAGACCCTTCCCCCGTCAGAGATGCGCAATGGGGGCCCCTTTCGGCCAGTCGCAGACGACTGGTAGTCCCATTCGGAGCGGGAAGCCCGAATTCGCCCCGCGCGGCGGTCGCCCGCTAGCCTGACTCGGGGTGCCTTTGCCTCCACGGGACTACCAACCCTGACGGGAGGGTCTCCAGTCTCTATGCAGCAAAGGGACTGGCCTTGTGGATTATATTCAAGACTCATGTGTTCTCACGAGTGCCCTTAACGTGCCTGCCGTCGGGGAAGCGACCGGCTGCCCCGCCCTTCTCCTGGCCGGGCTGTGGTCCGCTGCGACCACCTTGGCGCAAAGCGAGCGCAGCAGCAGCAGGCTGGGCAGCAGGCCAGCGAGAAGCTCATCCAGCCGACGGCACCGACCGCGCCACCCACACACCACGGTGCCCGCCCGTTGACCTACCTGAACGCTACAAATCTATTGGCGGTACACATGGTGTGGAAAAGGCGGTAAAACCTGTACCGCCTTTCTATTGGCGGTAAAATCTGGAGCCCGCCAATTACGCACCCTACAAACTGAACGAAAAAGGCGGTACAAAGTATTACCGCCAATTGCATGCCATTTAGATGGTGCGAAAAAGGAGGTACAAAATATTACCGCCTTTTACGTTCTCTCAGTGCGCCAAGAAATCGGCGGTAAAGCTCTCCAAAGGCGGTACAAACGGTTCTGTAAGGGCGGTAATTTCTGTACCGCCTTCGTATTGGCGGTAAAACCTGGAGCCCGCCAATAGCCAATTACCACCAGTAAAGGGTGGAAATATTACCGCCTTTCGATTTGGAGTGGACCTCCCTGCACACGCCGAAGGCCAACTGCCAACGGCGAAGGCCCAGCGCCCCGCGAGCATGGCCGGCAGTGCAAGTTCAGCACTGCACTGTGGCAAAAAGCTACGGAAAATTCTGTAAACAGCTTATGGTAATTCTCCGTAGCCCCCTTGTCAATATTCTCTGTAGGCTCTTACAGTATTTTCCGTAGGACCGCACAGTATTCTCCGTAGGACTACACAGTCTTCCAGGTCCTACGGAGCAGACTGTGCGGCCCTACGGAGAATACCGTGCGGCCCTACGGAGAATACTGTAAGAGCCTACGGAGAATATTGATAAGAAGGCTACGGAGAATCCTGGCAATAAAATTAACAGAATTTTCCGAACCTTTTTGCCACAGTGTGCTCCGGCCGACGGACGCACCGTCAGCGCCGTCAGCGTAGGTGGCCTCGGAGATCGTCCCCCGTCTCCTCCACACTGTAAATATCAAGGGGTTACCCACTCAAATTTTTAGCGTACACAGGATTCGTGATTACCAAAATTACCTTGATTACCAGGATTACTAAGGTTACCGGGATTACCAGGATTACCTAATGATTACTATGATCACCAAAAGATTACCACGATTACCAGCGATTACCATGATTACCTAATGATTACCATGATACCTCAGCGATAACAAAGTCTATTAGCATTCTTTGATAATAACCGTGTTCTCACTTTCACTTGAATGCCTCGTCTCCGGAACAGAGCTACTGCGAATAATGCATAGTGTATTTGCCGCCAAAGCTCACCATAGGAACAGCCAAGGTGATGAGAAGTGACGGTGTTGCGCGATTTCGTCTGCTTGGTTTTCTTGGGCATGGTACAAGATTCTGGCGTGGTCGGGCGTAAGAGAAGTTATTTTGCCGCCATTCCACCCCTGACTTCCAAAGAGACTAAGTTATAACAGTTCCATTTTTTGGTTAAATATGAAAAACTGCAAACAAAAAATTATTAATAATAAAATATGGAGAGGCAACTTCTTTGAGAGTCCTCTTAAGTAGTATCTTTGTCAGCAATAGTTTTGGATAGGAAAATAATAGTCAATTTAGTTCACAAAAAATTTAAAATGTGGCACGAGGACGCACATACCAGATACGCCTTGGGTGGCTTCGGGTCCTTCGGGTGTCCGGGGAAGACACCTCCCCAAGCAGGGACTATGTCGGCCTCCACTCCCACACTGGTGCCTTGCGAGTCTAATCGGTGGCCTACCTTGCCATTGCCATTACTATTAACGGCTAGACCACACATGATCGTATGCCATTTCGGGCCCGACACATGCCCGCCTGCACTGCGGGCGTTAGACTCCCGCCCACACAGTTGCGATTACCAAGATTACCACAGGATTACTACGATTACTACAAGATTACCACACGATTACCACGATTACTACAAGATTACCACGATTACCAAGATTACCGAGATTACCACGATTACCCATGATTACCGAGTGGGTGTACACAGGATTACCTCAGTGGGTAACCCCTTGTATTGATGACACGGAATGTTACACAAAAACCTGCCACATGCCGGATTTTTACCTTTGATGGTCCAGCTAGCCGGAATGGAGCCCTCCAGCGAAAATCCGCCTAGCGCGCCGGAAAGAGGAAACCGTGCTGCTCATTCTGGGCGTTGAGCCGAACTTTTCTCGCTACAGGTTCGGCGCTGAGGCGCGAAACTGAAGTTGACGATGTTTGAAAACCAAGTACACGGTAGACATTCTTTCATCCAATAAAGCAGGAGGTGAGAGTCGCCGGAATAAATTGCTATCCAAGGGTGTCATAAAGGGTTGCCAACGGAACAAAAGGCTGTTCGCGTGCGTCTCGGTCGCCGCGACGCGTTGACAGATACCAATGCGTCCGAGGTGGCAAACCAACACCAACATGTCTCATGACATTGATTTCCGGGAAAGGACATACACTAGGGTCAGTTGGGGTAATTATGAGACATGGGGGTAAAAATGGGACAGCTGTTTCTTGGAGAAAATTTGATATCACAGGACTCATACCACTCCAAATGTGACGCTTCAATTGTGAAAATAACATCTGGTATGGAATGAAATCTAAAATGTCAAATCTTCACCAAGAAACAGCTGTCCCATTTTTACCCCGTGTCCCATAATAACCCCAACTGACCCTAGTCATTATCATCCCCTCCTTTAAAACTCGCCTTGAAATACTGCTCCGCATGCAGACGCAAAGTCGCACTCGCGCAGCGGGACAGGGGCAGAGAAGACCGCTTGTGGTCCAGCATCTCAAAGTCGTGCCCGGAGCCCCTGGCGGCCGAGGGATAGGCAGCCCAACAAGCACCTCTGCTAAACAAGCTGCCCAGCGCCGGGCGTTCATCTGCAAGCGGAGGCATCACGCAGCTGCTCATTGCAATGCTGCAAAAAGCACCGCGCTCATCAAATTTTGTGCTTTGGACAAGACTACCTCACCGCGAGATGGCCACACCTGGTATTCGAGGCAACACCGCTTAACACCGCCGCCTCCTCACCTCTCTGCATTAATTTAGCCATGAAAACTAGCGGGGGGTGGGGAGGACGACTTCGAGCTACCTTTGTGAACGCCGTGCGATTGCGAGAGACAGATGGCGCTCACCAAATGTTGTGGGGCCGCCAACTTGCAACTCTACACTGCAAACCTAATTGTCTACTTAGCACGCACTTACAAATGCATGCTTGCAAGTACACACTTACAAACGCATGCTTAGTCAAGCATGCACTTACAAACGCATGCTTGGCAAGTACAAACTTACAACTGCATGCTTGGGGCCATATAACTCCATGATACGCACATGCATGCCCACCTGTAGGAAAATTAACATTGTGGGTAAGCTGAGATCCTAAACTTGCCCACAAAAGCAAATCATCCATCGAGGGCGCCGCTAACTGTAGAGGGTCTCGAGCCGGCTGGGTCAAGTAGCCTCCGCCTAGCCTCTTCGACCAGCTAGCGTGGTAGCGCAGTGGTAAGAGGAGCTGGGTCCTGAGTGGAGGTTGCAGGTTCGATGCCCATGCATTTCGTGGTTTTTCTGAAGTCAGCCCGCATTTAAGAAACCTCCAACTGGTCCTTGCCCAGAGTGTATGGGATTTATACACGTGGGCAAGTTAGGACCAAGTTGGGACCAAGATGCAAAATTTATGCACCTTGGGCAGTGGGAGGGCCTACTGTTGCCCACGTGAGAAATTTACTATTTGGGTAAGAATGGTTCCCACCCATTGGGCAACAAAAATTTGGCGCCAGTGGGTTACTAAATTTAGCAACCCTTTGGGCTGTGAAATTCGTGATCGAAGGGTGGGTGCAGGGGAGTTTCAGCACGCACACGGCAAAACCAACGTCCGGGTTTCCCAGGCGCACCCTGGAAAAACAGGGCATTTTTCCAGGGTGCGCCTGGGAAACCCGGACGTTGGTTTTGCCGTGCAAGTAGCAAAAATTCGCAACTTTTATTTTACAGTGCGGAGAGAAAAAGATACCCCATGTGCCCTATATGCCCATTTCTTTCTCAGAGTGCAGGCGCTCTCGGAATGCGCGACCGGGCACGGGATACGCGATATTCTGCACGATGCGGCCGTGTCGCGGGGGAGGGGGGGGGATGCGGTGCGTCATGCGAAAACCGCGGGGCATTGGGGGTCGGGTCCGAGAACGCGCCGACTGCGCGTCGCGTCAGACGGAGAGTCCAGCTCGTCGAAAACACAAATCTAGGCAGGGATCCTTAACTTAACATTAAACTAACACTGCTTTCATAACGTAACATAAGACGGACTTCGGAAAGTACTTGCAAAAGTATATCCACACAAATTCGAGACATAAAAAAATAACCTACCCTTTCGAAAAGATGTTAGAAGTTAACGGTAATAACTTTAACTCTTATGATAACGTTATGATGCCCTTATGAGGTAAGTTACGGATCCCTGAATTCAGGCCGGCCGCACAGGAGTGTCCTGGGCCGCTACAGCACAGGAGGATCGCTGCCTGCCGCTGCAGTGCAGGTGCTGCAGAGGCAGGCAGGCAGGTGACGCGCGCCTGCGCCGCCGGGCCAGCAATCTCCTGACTAGCACCCACTTGGCGGTACAAAAGAAATGTGCGAGAGACGGATGCACAGAAGTATAGTCGTCTTACAGAAGCGGGGTGTTGAAACGGTACTTACTTTGTTCGCGCCCGACTGGGCCCTCTCATCGCGTCTGGGCACAGGACAGAGAGCGAGACAGCAGATGATCACTCGATTCCATTCTGCGGAGAGGGGGTGGGGACGGGCGGTAGGGAGGGAGAGGGAGGGAGGCCTCGCGGCTATCCTCCCGCCACGTCGCGCCGCTCGCTAGTCAGTCTAGCGAGGGGGTATGCGCTTTCTGAACCTGTGTACCGACTATTACGCTATTACGCTCTATTACGCCACAAATTAATCGGAATTTAGCTAAAAACGGCCTAAAACACACCAAAATTGATAAAATTTTGACAATTTTGGCTATTACGCGACTATTACGCGTATTATTACGCGTGCTATTACAGATAGAGTGAACCGACTATTACGCGAGTGTATACCCCCTCGCAGTCTAGTCTAGTGTCTAGCCGGGCCACATCGCTAGGTGCAAGGTTCGCAGGTACTGAGGTTTAGGGAGGACGCGGTGAGTAAAACAACTCGCAATCAATTCCACAATGTCAACGTGTTCGTACGGGTCCCAGCTGGACCGACGTGGGCGGTCCTGCCATGGTATATACGATCATATGTGGTCCAGCCGTCAATAGCAATGGCATCGGGCACGTAGGGTCATTTAGGGTCCAGCCACCAATAACCCAAGCCACTGCCCGACTGGTTGCCTACGTGCGCGGCACGAGAAGTGCGCCAGGGCTCCGAGGCCCAGGGCCACTATACGGCCCCCACCTGAAAACATTGTATACCTGTGTACTCCCCCCGTCACCAGGTGGACAAAGAAGAGGAAACTTCTTGGCCACCCTATGTTGATTAACATCTTTCCCGCGCACCCTATACCACACCTGGCCCGGGAGATATGGAGGGGGGGGAATCGTTCTTTTCGGCCTGCTGCTCTGCTCGCCGCACTCGATCATTCGGCTGGAGGACAGCGAGAGCAGCACAGCTCCCATGCAACGCAACGTGCAGCATCGTCTCGAACAATGGAAGTCACAGAGCAGTGAGTCCCACAGCGCATCGCGCGGGCGGTGGAGGTGGAGGGGGTTGGGGGTGCATCGTCTAGCGTCTAGACCAGCGGTTCCCTCCCTTTTTTCAGCCCGCGCCCCCAAAACGGTTTCCCAAAAATTTTTCGCGACCCCAGGAAAAAAATTACGCGACCCCATCTTTTTTCAGGGGAAGGAGGGATTTTTTCGAAAATTAACTTTCACATTTTGAATTTTGACCGAATTTAGAGGGTTTGAGTGTATTTAAAATAGAGGGCCGAAATTTGTAATGAGACATTCTAATCTTCAAATGATAGCTGCCTTGCTGTGTTAATTTTGACATCCAAGCTTGGTACTGACCGCCCCTCAGGAGCCAACTCGCGACCCCACGCGCCCCCAGGTAGCATGCCGCGACCCCAAAAAATTTTTTCCGCGCCCCAAAACCCCCGGGGTTTGGGAACCACTGGTCAAGACAAAGGGAAAGGGGAAGGGGAGGGAGGCTGCATTCGCGAATGCCGCGAGGTGATGCGACCGCGGGCGCGACGACGCGACCGTCCGCCATTAGAGTACGCACCACACCAAGCCCGCACAGATCACCCTTTGGTGAGTACATAATAACTTCTCATGAGTAACTCTAGCGGGTTAAGGTGGAGTTTTTTGGGGATGAGAGTTTCGATCATTTCGATAAAATTCCTCATGAAGGCCAAACCAAGCAGCCAAAAAACATGGCCTGCGCTATTTTTCCCCTTTTTTTTTTAGGACTTGAAAAAGAATCACAAGCCAGAACTGTACGAACAACTTTCTCTATAAAAAAAAACAGAGGGCGACATTTTCCCGCTAAATCTGTCAAAGTCAGAAATATGTAAAGATCTCATGTGATATTTGGGTAGCCAACTTTCCCCTTAGGGATCTTAGCTTCCAGTGGCACCTATTGAACCCACAAAATTTGAAAAGATTCCGTGACCCAAAACAAAATCTCATATGCTTCGTTCGGCCATCCTGCATGTCATGCTGTGAAAAATTTGTCAAAAACGAGTGCTTGCTAATTAGTGCTTTGAATATCTGATCTGTAACTGCAAATCGTCTGCTGTATGCAAAATAACATTCACTGCAATATATACATATTTTTAAAAAAAAAAATTTCCCAAAAAACTCTTTGGCTATGATAGAAAGCACATTTTTAATCAGTTTCAGGAACCTCTCAAAAAATATGGTTGCTGCAGCCACTCAGAAAATTCGTAGGTCAAAATGAATAAAGGGTTTTACAAAGCATATAAACTGATGTAAGGTAGGATTTGCACAAATTTCATTGAAACCAAATATCTTGTCCCATTGAGATTCAGAACACTTATCAAAAATGTATTTCTGAACATAATTAGTGGAGAGGGTACTCCATACCCAAAACACTGGTGGAAAAGTGACGGTTAAAGTGAGGTTAAAAAAATTGATTTTGGAAGGACCACTTACAAAAAAAGTATCTATGGTAAACCGCTAGAGACCCTCCCGTCAGCTGCTGCTTTGACAAACCTGGATATCAGAGAATCCTGTTCCACCAAGAAGTATTAGTCTTTGATGAAGGACTTTGGTATGATGTAGCAGTCTGGGAGATGCGTCTTCAGCAGACATCTGGTGCCATATGATACAGCTCTCCTCGTCAATCGTCAGGAATGCGCCAAAGAGGAGTCACCCACCTACAAAGAGGAGTGGGCATTAATTTTCTATTTTAGCTCAGTTAATGCTTAAATAAAAAGATGAGTGATTACCACTCTGACACTCAATAAATCAAGGTTATAAAATAACACACAACTTTGATAAGAAAACGCAGAAGTTATCATATGAAAGGGCATTGTGTGTAAGAAGTCAAGTTAATTTTTAAATGTATCATCCTTTTGCCTTGAATACATGTGAAACTAACTCAGAGAACCATGAACTCTCATGAAATATTTTTCCTCCGCTTTGAGATTACAAAATGAAAAACTTTCCCAGCATATTTAAGTAATCTTTTGAGATTTCGGGAAACTTTTTTTTTGTCAAAAATTTTATGACAAAAAATGCAACTTATTAAAAGAAATTAAAAATAAATTTGCTAAGGATCATACAAAGAACTAAGAATGAATTAAAAGCATAAAAATAGAAAACAAATTTTAGACCTCCAACCAAATTGACAAGTTTAAACCCAAAAAAAGGCAAACAATTTTTTAAATATTTTTGTCCCATAATTTAAACCAACCAAAATTGAAACTGGGAAAATTGAAGATTAAAAAAAAAAAAAACACAAATTCCTATTAAATTATTGAGCATCCAAAATTGTCAGGATCTTGATCACCTTTTAAAACCCCATGTCTTTCCAATTTCCCCATTTTTGGGAATTTTGGCCCCTTTTAACAAAACCTAAAAAATTGAAACCTGGAAAATGAGGAATTAAAAAAAAAAAATAATTAATCCGTTAGCCTCTACATGGAAAAATTATGAATATACAAATCATGTGCACCCCTGTGATCAACCCCTAATCATAAACATGCTGAGGCAATGGAACTAGGAATTTCCCAAAAAGGGAGACAAAATAAAGAACTGCGAACTCAGCAAACTTCATGGGAGCGTACAACAGAAGGCCTGGTGAGATGAAATTAATTTGCCCTTTGCTGTAGTTTTTCTTTTTTTAGAAAACTTTGACAGTATAAAGGTCAGCTGGCTGCCTGTCACATTAAAACTCAAGTTTCCTGCTAAAAGCTAGAAAAATCAGCAAAAAATATTTTTCTAGAGAGAGCAAGATCAACACTTTGACAAACATGATACAGTGCAAATATACCCTTGTTTAGCTGCTTTTTGAAAATAATAAAAAGATCTCTCCAGGGGAGATTGTTCTAGGTCTTGTCTGTCCTTTTATAGCTTCCCAATGCCATAGATGGTTGAGAGGGCTGCTTGGAACATACCAATAAGGAATGGCTCTACCATTCAAGAAAAATCAGGGACTTTCTTGGTTTACAAAATAAGAAAAGGTAAATATGAACAATCAATCATTCTAGGGAATTTTTGAGGAACAGGACAATAGCATTGTCATGCCTCTCCAGTTAAAATACCAATTCACAATAATCTGTCCAAAAGGTTTGACATTTTGTAAAATCACTCATTGAAGGGAAAAAACAACATTGTGATTCAATCATAATCCTCTAGCATGACAATACTTGTCATTAGTTTCAAAATTTTTCATTCTGTTAAACTATTATTGAAGCCAAGACAAAAACAATCCAGCAGTGATTAAGCCCAGATATGCAGGTGCTCCAAGGACAAAAAGGGGTGAGGGAATTCGAAGTGATTTCAAACCAAATTCTTTCCACTTTCAGAAGTTACAGCAACCCTACCAAAAACACTAACAACCCCCTAACAGATATAAACTTACATTCCGCCTTTATCTGGTGACTTGCTGCATAGACCAGCTTCCATGTTAATTTCTCCCCCCCCAGCAGCACTAAGCCAATATTTCGATATCTTTGCTCCAAAATCAGTTGACTAATTGACGAAGCTCTGGAATAGACAGCATGCACAAAATGACAGACTCAGTACTGACAAAGACTCAAAAAGTTAAGGAAAAAGAAAAAACCAGACTTGCCTCTTTTGTGACAGACTTTAAATTCTTCCAGATGTTTATAGCTGGTAATGCACCTGCACTTTTGGCTGGCTCTGTTGATAAAAACACCGTCATGGATTAGAAGACAGCAGAAGAGAGAGGGAAAGAGAGAAAAAGAGAGATAAAACATTTAAAAAAGTGGCAACAGAAGTAATAAGAGAACGAATCTAGATTTCCCCCTAAACATGAAACAACACTGGCTCGCAAACCTCAATGATAGGAATGGAATAAGTAAAGGAAAATTAATAAATGAGTTGATGTTTCTTAATCAAATGTTTAAGAGAGGGACTCTGAACTGATACAAAGCTTTTCTAATAATATTGGTGCAACTCATGCTACGAACAAGATGAAAAAATATCAATAACACATACGAAACACCATTCTGTCTCAAAAGTCAGGTTTAAATTTTTGGAAAGTTTTATGTTTATATCTGAAATTTATGTTAAACTAAATCAGAGCAGGATTAAACAGTGATATGGATAATCTGTAAGGACTCATTTAAAAAAAATCAAGATTTTAAAAAAATTCAGCAACATTGGTGAATAAAATGTTTCGCTGTAATTATTTGGAACTAAATATAGCATAGCTCTGACATTGATTTGAACAATAATCATACATGATTGCCAAAATTCTTGTACGGTATACTTATGATGATCTTACCTGTTGGTGTAAATCACAAAGATTGTCTCGTAGAGAATAATATGACAAGACAACCCACCATTTAAGTGTATTCAAATCAGATTCAGTATGAAGGTACTCTGAAGGAGTGTGCCAGCACATTGTCCGAGTCAGATTCAGTATAAAATGAAGAATAGAAAGAATAGTCATTTATCTGAGAACAGATGGCGGCCTACATATGAAGTAAATTACCAACCTTGAGAATGGCGCTCTGATGCAGTGCTAACTGTGCTAATTGGAGGAACCTTCCGCCTTTGGCTTGCTTTTATGAAGGTCTGTTGCCTGTTGATACGGCAATCGTAATGCAATTGTGAAGTAAACAACACATTCCTAACAGTAAGATAAAAAGAAAAGAAAACACCAGACTTACTTCATTTCTGACAAATCCATGACTTCCTCCAGATGTTTCTTATTAGTACTGCGTTGAAACTGCTGTAAGATGAAACTGGATCAATTAGAGGCCTGCTGGCTTCGTAATCTGAGTCTGTCATCCGAATTGCGCATAACAAATGCAACCCCACCTGTAAAAGTTTTTCAAAATGTTGGTAAGCAACACATGCAACAGATTTTTCTGGACTGAGCAAGATCAACACTTTGACAAACATGATACAGTGCAAATATACCCTTGTTTAGATGCTTTTTTAAAATAATAATATGATCTCTCCAGGAGCGATTGTTCTTTATATAAAAACCAAGGAACTTAGTGCTCATGAAGGTTTGTCACAGAGTTATCTTCAACCAACATACATACTGTCTTTTACAAGTAAAATGAAAGCTTCTAACTATAGCAACACGTTCCATAACAACTAATGAAATAAACAAAAAACAAAAAGAATAATTTGCATTACTGAAAAGAAGTTTGACAAACTTCGTAAAGGAAAAATAGGCAAAGCACTGGTCATACCTGCGGCAGATAGCCATCATCTTCATGGGCCACCCTAAAAGTTTAAAAGTGCAGGAGATTTTTCAAAATTCCAGTGCAGTACAGCCCAGGGTTTCCTGTCCAACAGAGAAAAATGGATTGGAATTGCTTATCAACAGACAAGAGAAGCATAGCTATCAAACCGTAACAACACAAGTAATCAGACATATCTAATATTTAAAAAATAAAAAACATGTCAAAATTTTTTTATTGTTTTCTCAACAATAAAGTTGGAAAGATTATGGGGATAGCACCGGCGGCACCGGGTTACTGGACTCACCTAGACATGACATTCTTGAAAGAACATGCAGATTCTTGTAGTCTCCATGAGGGTTTTAGGGATTTATGAGATTTAGGATGGACATATTCTGTAAAAATTGCTCTGGCTTCGTTTTGATTCGGTCTCTAACGCAGTTCACCTGGAACATGTTTGCAGGAGAATTATAAATGCCTTCGGCTCGGGAACGGACGCTCGGTCTGGCGTTCTGACCATGGTCGGTAGGAGTTTGAAGAAACGAAAATACTCAGAATTAAAGGATATATAAGCAAAAATATATATTGAGGCGCACTCAGTAAGACTTTTTGGGAAAACGAACACCTTTATCTCGGATTAGCCGGTTTAAACGTGGAAAATGACATAAAAGGAAGGGGGGGTCGACTGCCGTGTCTGGCGAGGATCCGCGGCGGGCCCCATCTGCAGGCCACATAGTATACATTTTTTATCTTTGTTCAGCTCCTAAAGGTAAAAACTGGGGCTTTTATTAAAGCTAGAGGCATATACTATCAAATGGATAGGTTCTGGAAAATCAGGGCAGGAAATTTGCATTCTCCTTACAAAGTTGGACGTCCTCAGGCCGTTAGCAGGCGGTGAGTCGATCCCCGACATGGTCAGAAAGGGTATCTGACGACTTTGCAATGAGAATGCAAATATTTCCTGCCTGAGTTTCCAAGAACCTATCCATTTGATAGTATATGCCTCAGCTTTAATAAAGCCCCAGTGTTCCCTTTAGAGTCTGAACAAAGAAAAATTGGAAAGAGTTCGGCCTGCAGATAGCCGCCACGGCCTCCATCCCACTCGCCTGATGTTTGTTTACAACTCTCGGCTCGGTTGCCCGCTCGCTCGCCGTGTGCATAACAGCTGCCTGCCGCACAGCACCAACCTTACAGCGCCAAGGCGTGCGTGACATAAGCCCCTCTGTACACACGACAACAGCGAAAAAGCAGTAACTTATTATTTTCTCTATAATAAAAATTAAAATTATCCTTGCGTCTTCTTGCCATCCTTGCCTCAGGAAACTATGCATTACATGAAGTTTTTGTTTTGTCGTGTGAATAAGCATGTGTCATAATGCTGCAAATAAGCAACCTACCAGCTGTGTTGAGGCGAGGGTTTTGAAGCTCCCCTACACTCACGAAAGTCCCTAACTTTGTATTTCGGCACAGTTTTGTGTCCTCTTTCGATTGCGGGGAGGAAAAGGGCGATAATCCACGCACAGTAAGCGGCAGTTAAAACGTTGTTTAAGTCTGAGACCTTTGCTCATGATTTCGACCCTTCGAAGGAATGTCGTGATATATAACCTCAAATATCTCTAGTTATGAGCGTCTGCTGGTCCTGTAGATTTCATATTTAAGTAAATTGCTTGTCTTGCATAAATCTCCTCTCTTGAATGCTCAGGAAATGGATGTGGATATTGTCAAAGAAGAACCAAATGACGGAGAAACATTCACCAACGCCATCAATCAAGGATCTGATGACAATATTTCGCAGGAAATGAGTTTTGACATTGCCAAAACGGAACTGAAGTCTGAAGGCCAATATGATCTAGCTTTGGCTGGAGAAGCAAATGAGGTCTCATACCAATTTCATCATAATTAGACTAAATATTCTAGTGACATTTTATTTGGCTTTCTTTTAATTTCAGTGTGAAAAGACACTACCCCTACATTCATTAGAAATGAGTCTGGACGCTGTGAAAGAGGAACCCAAGATCTGGGTACCTTCTGCAAAGGCCGACGCACCCGATGATGAGGCAAGTATTAACCAATTTGTCATGGGCTGTAGTGATGGCATTTCATTTGACTAACTTGTTGCATTTGTATATGTTTCAGGAAAAGAAGATTGAATCTCAGATGCTTCCACCATCAATAGAGTTTGACAGGATAATCTACTTGATGATTCTTCTAGAGGACTATGAAAGAGTGGCATCAGCGGGGATATCCTGGCTCAGGAACGCTCCAACTTCAATCCTACCAATTGTTTTCTGTCCAAGGTGTGGAATCTGGTTTAAGGGCTTTAACCGCATGCATGAACTTATTAAGCATGTTCAGTCAAAGCATTCCTCTACTGCTATCCAACTTATGATCAAATCTATGGACCTGTATGGCAAGTTAATCAGTCATATGAAAAGAGTTCTCCAGAGTGAAATAGAAGTGTTGGTCGGCAGGCACTTATGAACCAGTGTAGTACAGAATACCTTCATTTGAAAAAGTTTTCTGTTATTCTCTCCCTAAACTCAGGCTCACATTTGGATCCAAATTTACAGGGGTTTTCAAAAAATATGGGAAGCATTGTAATTTTCAACTGAAAAATCCTTACAGACCTTTTTACTGTCACATTCTCCCGTCTTCAGAAAAATATTGGAAAGCAAACACATCAAATAGATTCTGCAGAAACAAACTGGAATACAAATCAAACTCAGTTTACGGTGTCGTTCAAGATGATTCTTCGTCAGGCTGCTTCAAGTTGGTCTTGCTGAAAACTTTCGAAATTAATATACGAAGAGCAGCATCGTGGTCAGAACTTGATGAATTGCCTTCGGAGCGTGCTGAGTATATGCCCTGAACGGGCATAACACCATCCTTCCACTGTAGAGTCCTCCACACAGACTTTGGGATGGGCTGAAGATGTTCAACACTGAGGTTTTCAATTGAGAGTGCCTCTTCCATTCCTCTCAACACGAGAATGCCTAACTCTTTCAGCAGTTCACACCTCTTTTTGAACTCCTGAAGTAGAGACTCAGAATCAGCAAAGGCATCTTTATCCCTGCAAGTGGGTAGTGGGAACAAGAGTTAACAGAGAGAACATAAGATGGATGCCACCTAAATGTAAGAATTTTGGCCAAGAGAGGTAGAGTTTCATGACAAGAGAAGTAACATAAGGTGCATTACCTGTTCATTACAATGCAGGCAGGAACTATTGTCCATTTGAGATCCCTGGTCAAAGACTGCAAAAGGCCATTTAGCAAATGTGCGTTGGTCAGGACCTGTGCTGAAGTGACCTCCTCATTCTTGAAGTATCCCAAACCATTCCAGGTGCTGCCAAGGTAGTCTGCATGACTGTTGACGAAGTGAGGCTTTCGCTGTATCCTTCGTTCTTTATTTTTGGTAGAAAATGGAAGTCCACATAAGACACATTTTTCTGCATGCATGAAATCGCATATTTTATCCCTTTTTTCATGTCGTCTGAAGACTTTGCTTTCAATTGAGACACAGCACTAAGTGAGAAAAAGAAAGATGTTTCACACATAAAGGAAAATGTTACCTGATTACTATCTTAGTTCACATTCATTACCTGCTTAAACCAATTACTGTCAACAGGCTGCCTCTTTGGGCAACCATAATTCCAAACTAGTTCGGTACCGTTGGATAAATTTTTGCATTCCAGCCTCACAAAAAAGCAGGAGTTGAAGTTGCTTGGCCTAATGAGGGATATGGTAGCCGTACTAGGTGCCCAGTTACAAAAGCTGGCAGGTCCGCCCATATATCCTCTGGGCTGAACCGGGCTTCGTGCATACAAATGGGAGCAAGGACCTGTTTCAGGCGCAGAAGCACACCATCCAAAGAAAAAACTGTCCTCCATTCTCAGAGTCACATTAATGGGCATGTCCTTCTTCACTCTCATACGATACCCTAAATGGGATGCATTGGGATCATAAAAAATTTCAAAAATTGATTTTGCATTGTTCCACATTTCCTTTATGGAAACTTTCAAAGTGTCTAGCTCATCAGAGCTAATAGCATCACACCCTGCAACAGATGGAACAGTGTAACTCTATTGTAAAATGTAACAATAACTCCTGTAAATCTTGTCAGGATGTCAGAAACCTGACTGAAAACCTGATTGAAACTCGCGCACCTCTGAAAGCTGAAAACTAATTCTGACATCATTCAGACCATCAATTACAGTAAGTTTTCAGAATTTCAGCTATTAGAGGTGCGCGAATTTTGATCAGGATGATCAGACAGGTTTCTGACATGCTGACAAAATTTACAGTGCTGCAATCATAATGTGCACTGAATGTTTCATTCTGGAGATCTGGACTTTACCCTCAGTGTTTTCATCGTTTTCTCTGCAAGAACAGCGTCTAAGGGGAGCACCCATAATATCAAATCCACACTGGTTATCAAAGTCCCACAAGTCCCGTAACTGTGAAGGGGATAGAAGCGGGAGAGCTTCAAAAGATCTGGGAACAGAATAGAAGAAAATATGGTCGTCCAGCACTGTGCAAGACAAAGATAGGTATCCAACAAGAAAATTCACGCTGTAGCCGACTTACGCAGAAGAGGTAGGCTGCTGTGCCGAGGTTTTCCCTGCCCCAGCACGTCTTTTCTTCGCCGTTGCCATCAGGCCAGGAGGTCGCGTCTACCGTTGCCTGCAAAGCACAAAGCACTCGGGCTACTCGGGCGGGCAGCGGGACCAGGCACTTCTCCCAGCTCTCACTGACTCCAGCCAGCCAGCTCTAGTTAGCTCTAGTCTGTGGAGACTTGCTCGCGCTGTGGTTGCCCGTGGTTTCTGTAGAGTCCTAGCGAGTCCTAGCCAGCCAGCTATAGTACTCTAGGTTCTAGGTTTCTGGCTGGTCAGGAGGCGCTGCCAACAACTACGAGACTAATCTATGGAAACAGTGGTGGTCAGGTGTCGAGGCCAGCTAACGCAGCTAAGGCCAGCAAGGCCGCTTAAGGCCGGCCAGCCAGCACGCGCTAGTTAGAGTTAGCGTAGTTCATTGTAAGATTATTTTTGTTAAGTTTATGAAGCGGTTGGAGTGGGATACACTCGTAAAAACGCTGCTTACAAAGCGCCGCAAATTTCTCATATAGTCTTGCTCCGGGGTGGGGCTGGAATCCGTACCCGTACATGTACATGTATGTACATTAAAAATTTGTTTATGAATGATTTCAGGGACACTGAATTTCAAACATGGCAAGCATTTTCACGGTGAGTGAAAATGATCTGTTTCATTTTGACTCATTTTGCGACTCGAAATATGAGGATGTCAATTGCCAAAAGTATGGTTTCTTCAAGGTATATTTCACAACGCATCACTAAGGCGGTAATTACAGTTTCTCTCTGCTCATACTCTCATTGTGTTTGCATTCAGATCAAACTCGATGAATCGTGTGCTGGACAAAGTACCTCCTTGGATGAATTCAAGAAAATGTTCTCCATCAAGTGTCTGAAGAGCGTTCAGAGATTTCTTCCATTGCGGAACCCAGATGTGAAGAGTCTTTACGGAACTGCAGCTGTCCCAACCTATGCTTGGCAACAGAAATGTTACATGGACTCATTATTGGGTGACACAACAAATTTTCAAGTTTCTTCCAATTGCTGGTGAGTACATTACCTCATCAAAAACTTCATCAAATTTCACAAGCGTATTACTATGATTTCACCTTGTCTTTTCAGCATGCAGGAACTGGAGAATGGTGAAGAGGCTCTCCTAACGCACATATTTGACGAAGTTTCAAGGCATTCTGTGACCATGCATAATAAATCTAAAGATTCCCTAAATACTGTACGTAAACGAGCACAATCTTTGAAGAAGGCATTTGAGAAACGTCAGTCACTTAGGAACATTCCATCCCTGGTGGGAAGGAAGAGTGCGTTCGCCATAGCCATGAAATTCGAGAGAGTAACTCATTCATCCTCTTCCTGCCGTTGCAACTTATGTGCCCTTACCTATGATCAGCCATCAGTTGAAACTGGTATCTTTTATTGTCTTGGCATAGAGGAAAATCAGGATGATTATGTTTTGACCACTGCTAATTTTGCTATGAGTCAACTTTGTTTCTCTAATATGCTGTCTGATCTTGACTCAATGTACGCTGGTGTGTCATATCCGAAACTTTACCTTGGTGGCGTGCATTCTTTTATTCCACTTCATATTGAGGATTTAAGTCTTTGGAGTTTCAATTTTCTACTTCATGGATATCCCAAATTGTGGTATGTGGTTGTTTTTATATCACTTGATAATTATTTCGAGTGACCCTCCTTTCAGGGGCAAATTCTTATCGTTTAAAAAAATAATATTCATCTAATTTTAGAAATGGTTTAATTTAATCGTTAAATCACTTTGGTCTGCCCTCTTCAACAATAAGTAACGTTCGAACGATCACTTATGGTGTCTATTTTTTTCAGGATGATTATTCCTCCGACGTCAGTTAGCCGCCTGACAGATGCTCTGCAGATGAGGGGAGAATTGGGTTATGTGAGCTGGTGCCGAAATATATTAAACCACAAATTCTTTCTACCTACATTGCAATTTCTAAAGGAAGAAAATATTCCTTTTGAATTGGTAAGAAAATGCATAATATCTGCAAAGGATAAAGAATAACACTCAGAAATTATTCCATCTTGTTGGACTTTTTCCACATCTTGCATTGTTGGCTTTTATTGTCCTGACATTTATTGTTCTCCCTCTTTACGACCGGTTCAGTACCTGTATTTTGAGAGGCTTAGATCGAATAAATGCTGGTTGTTCATTGCTGTGGAGGGAGTTAGTCGTCATAGCCTTATTTACTTATTTCTATTTTTTTCTTGCAGGTGATTCAGTATGCCGGAGAAGGCATAGTTCTTCTTCCTAACTGTGCACATGCTGGATGGAACCTGGGCACAAATTTGTCTGAGGCCTGTAACTTTGGTACGAACAAGTGGATTCCATATGGCTGTGTCTCATTACAATGCAATTGCAAGTAAGTACTATATGAGCTGTTTCATATGATGATACGCAACACTGTGTGGAGGTACATCTGGTGTTAATTATGGTTACAGGCCAGACTCAGTGCATGCTGACCTCTCAGATGTAATTGCTGTTCATCAACCAAGTCTTCTGAATGCTTATCGCAATAGAAATGGTATTGTCGAAATCAAGGATCAGTATTTCCAAAAGTCAACTATCATTCGTAGGATGGACCTCATTGTGGAACCATCAGTAACGCAAGAAAAAAGTGCTGCATGTGTATCTTTTGAACCAGTGTCTGCCCCTGACCCGGATGCAATGCTGGGTACTTTGCCAGTGTTACAAGCAAACAAGTCAAGAGTGAAGTGCCCTGTGTGTAATGTGTCTTGGGCCAGTGTTCAAAAGTTCAATATGAAAACCCATTTGAAGAAATACCATAGACCTCGCATCAATGAAGAAGCAGTCAGAAAATTTACTGAGCAATATTCAATTTCCTTAAATTAACATCTTAAGTTTGTGTTCCCATGTGGTTCATTGCAGGTGCAAGAAATGTTTCAAGTTAATTGTGTGTTTAAAATGTTATTATCTTAAATTTTGCTTTGCTGGTTAAAATTATAACAAAAAAAAAGCTTGATGTACTTGACGTAATTATAATTGTAAAATTTCAAGAATATACTTACTCTAATTAGTAAATCAGTTGCCCATTTCTATCCCTCTTTGTTTTTTCAGTATTGTCACAGGAAAAGTAAATACTTCACAGATCAATTGGATATAATGACTGGTATGAAAATGAAATAATCTAATCTTATGAAAGCATCAATATTTGAAACTGCTTGTTCTATTACTTCCATAATTGGTCATCGTCACCTAACACACCATCATCATGAGCGGCCGCCGATCGGCAAGTGGCCAAACTTTGCCCCTGTCGCCCTTGAAAGAAGCGAGGTAGGCCACCTTTTCTGCTGCGGTGTGTTGCGGGCTGGGCCTGGCCTACCTCGCGGGCGCTAGGTCACAAGTAAGCGGTGCCCTACGAGAGGGCAGCTAGGCAGCTGCCAAACCCCTCAACGAAACAGCGCTGCACGTGCCGTGCCACAGACCTGTAGCCGCTCCCAGGGGCACTCCGTGAAGGCCGTGAATTGGGGCGAAAAAAGCGTCTTGCAAGGAGGCAAAGCAGGGAGGGCCTATCTCAGGACTGGACGGGCCGGGGCTTCCTGCGCGTCCGTGAGAGAGACGACGGAGCGACCGGACGGTATTCGGAATCACCTGGAATCACACACCAAATGTTTTTGTACAAATTTTGTACGAGACATCACAGTTTTTTGTGCGCACGAACTTTTCATACAAATTTGTACAAAACTGGCGAAAAATGTGCAGTTTTTCATACAAAAATTGTTCGAAAATTTCGTGTGCACAAAAAACAGCGATGTCTCGTACAAAATAGTGTGCAGGGCCCCGATGGCGGCGCAGCTGGGCGGCCTCACACGTCGCCCGTTGGTCTAGGGGCACGTGCGGGGTAGACGCGCGTGGGTGCGGACGGACGACGAACGGAGGAGAGGGCTGATCGGGCCGGACGGTGCGGATGTGTCTATGTCTCGTCTCAAGCTCCTGGGGTGTCGTCCTGCGGGCCTCCCTCCTGCAGCCCGAGTAGCAGCAGCAGCTCGCCGTCATGGTCACCGAGGCCGCCCGCCGTGATCGCCGTCGTCATCGCCGATCTCCGCAGCACCGCTTCGCATCTCTGCCTGGGCACTCGAGACAGGCACCTCGACGACGGCCCAGCACGCCCGGCCGTCATCTCCCTCCTCGCCTCTGGCGAGTCGCACTGACACACGCACACGGACGTTCACGCGCACACACACCCACAACCACGGGATTTGAAATTTCAGTTTAAATGTCTTTCGGCGGCCACTGCGTCCAGTCTCAGTGGCGTGCCTTTTGAAGCAGGTGCACGAGGGGCCATGGAGCGCCCCTGTTTTGGCCACATGAGAACGCCTTATCTCAGGACATCTAGATTCTTCAAACCTTGGTAAGGTTTAGTGCGCGGTTTGAGCCGCCTGTCAAAGTCACGGGCACACCTTAGCGCCTGCGAGGTAGGCCAGCGGCCTGGCCCGCGACGCACCGCTGTGGAGACGGTGGCCTACGTTGGCACAGGGGCAAGGTAGGCCACCGTGCCTACACCAGTGTGCTGCGGGACGGGTTGGTGGCCTACCTCGCAGGCACTAAAAGCGTCACAGCTGCAACCCGAAACACATGATGGCAGCTCTACCAAACCCACACGATGACAGTTCTTGTGTAGCCACAACATCGTGGCCTGGGCGGCCAGGACTAGTGGCTGGCGGTGCGCTCTGGACCTCACTGTGTGAGGTGCGAAGACGCACCATTTGGGCCGCTGCTGGCAGCGACCAGCGTGCCGGACGGCCCAGTCTGTTAGAGGCCGTTCAAATATGACGGCACACTTTTTAGGCTCATTTTTCGACCCCTCCCCCTATAGTTACAAATGGTCACTATTTTGACTCACCCCTCCCCGTGACGTCACATTGTCCAAATCATTATGCTTGGCAACGGGAATAGATACGCGACTACATCGTCTTAATTAGGTGCCTAAATTGGAATTTCCCAACAATTTGATTGCATTTCGGCAAATCCGGTCGAATCTGGTCTAACGCTAACTTGTTCGGAAAATCTGAGGAAAGTGCAGCTAAAATACCGAAGCCAGTGACAATTTAAGCTATTCACTGAAAATCTATCGGCGTGACTTCATGCCGCTGTAGGGGCGTGAATTAAGTGTCACGCCAAAAAACGGCATGACAGAAAAGTCACGCCAAAAGTCGGCGTGACTCAAAAATTCACGCCAATTTTTGGTGTGAATTTCTTGTCATGCCGCTTTTTGGCATGACTTTTCTCATAAAACGCGTTGACATTTACGCCAAATGAGGGCGTGACTCACATGTCATGCCGTTTATCGGCGTGAATTTCGTGTCACGCCAATTTTTGGCGAGACTTTTTGTCACGCCATAATTTGGCCATGTGTCCGACCATTACGTTTTCAGTGATTGTAGGCGGGGATTGCCGGTTTCAGTTATTTTTTAGTGGCTCACTCCATTTATTTGACTATTTTACACTACTTACAAGTGTGATGTCACAATGCCTGCATCCCCCTCTCCCCCATGTCACATTCGGTCACGATTTCTCTGACCCCTCCCTCCCTAAAAAGTGTGATGTCATTTTTGAACGGCCCCTACCGGGAAGGGTTTTTACGACCGTCCGCGAGTGAGTGTTGCCCTAGTGGTTGACCACTCAGCTCAGAACAGAAGTGTACACAGGATTACTGATTACCAGTGATTATCTACAAACATACTTAAAAAGAACTCCATAATTTTGGCCAGCTAAGAGCATTTTGGCCTCATTCCATAAGAAAACCCCCCAAAATCCAATAAAAACGGCGAATCTAGCCAGTTTTGGTGTGTGATTACCAATGATTACTGGACGAGTTGCCACCGCATCTCGTCGTTCGGGCGGCTCACAGGTGCGGTAGGGCTCTTGCACACTGCGAGAAAAAACTACAGGGAACCCTGTTAATTTTTTCACAGCGTCGCTCTGCACCCAAAACCACAGTGATCTCCGTCTTTTAAAAGACGGAGATCGCTGTTAAGTAGTAAGGGTATCCCAAGCGGACAAGTCTTTGAACTGTTCAAGCGGCGCCCTCTGTTGCAGGCTCAAGTACACCGAGCAGGTGATCAAGGAGACGATGCGCCTGCTGCCGTGCGTGCCGTACACGGCGCGCGTCGTCGGGGAGGAGACCAAGTTCACCACGACCCTGTTCCTCACGAGGGGTCGTCAACTTGCATATTACTTCGTACACAGGCTCTATATGGGAAGTTGCCAAAATTGTGGCTCCTTTTGGCTCCTAAAAAAATGAAAAAAATATCTCGTTCTAAATTTTTTTTAGTATTTTTCCTGTATTCTAGGGGTCATTCTAAACGCATTTTCGAAGGAGGCCAGGATTTTCTCGCACTTCGATTTTTCCCCTATACTTTACATGGGGGAATGGCACGGAAGTTACCGAAAATGTGCATGGCACGGAAGTTACATCATCAAACAAACCGCGAAAACGGACCAACCCGTTCACCAAATCGAACAGGTGTCTCGCCTAAAGTTTAAAAGACGTGAAAGCGCAAAATGGCCAGGTGGACTGAAGTCGGTAGGTCGAGTAGCAAGCTCGCTATTGATGACACGGAATGTTACACACAAACCTGACACATGCCGGATTTTTACCTTCGTTGGTCTAGCCAGCCGGAATGGAGCCCTCCAGCGAAAATCCACCTACCGCGCTGGAAAGAGGAAACCGTGCTGCTGATTCTGGACGCTGAGCCGAACTTTTCCCGCTACAGGTTCGGCGCTGAGGCGCGAAACTAAAGCTGACGATGTTTGAAAACCAGTACACGGTGGACATTTTTTCATCCAATAAAGCAGGAGGTGAGAGTCACTGGAAGAAATTGCTATCCAAGGGTGTCATAAAGGGTTGCCAACGGAACAAAAGGCTGTTCGCGGATTTGCTCTCCGACAAATAGTTCAGGAGATTTTCGCCTTGGAACACGGACTTTTTCGACAATGGACAGCACGGAAGTTACATTTTGCCCAGTTTTAGCCTGTTTTGACAGGGAAATGCTTGACCTGCAAACTCGGTTAGTGGGTGGGATAGCAGGGGAGATGAAGCCCAGTCATAGGAATCAAACCGCAGGTCAATACGTCGAAAAATAAGGAAACTGTGGCCCAAAGACACAAAAGGACCCACAATTTTGGCAACTTCCCATATTACTTGTATCACTGTTAAAAAAAAGTCGAAATTTTCAGACTCTTTAGGATGAAGTCAATTTTGAAACCCCGTGGTCTGAATTTTCAGACCCCCGGACACTCTGAATTTTTGGACCACCCACCCAGGGAACGATTTACTTGCATCGATGCTCGATTTTGTCTCACCTGACTTTTCATGATTGGCTGAGCGATAGCGAAGCCTGTTACTCCAGTGGGGTTGAAAAATTTTTCCTGTCTGTCTGTCTGTCTGTCTGTCTGCGTGTGTGTGTACACTACTCCTCCTGAACGGCTCGGCCGATCTGGCTGAGATTTTGCAGGCTTATTAGGTATGTTCTTGGCTCGGCACACGCGAAATTTCACCATCCTAGCTCAACTGGTTCAGTTTTTATGGCCGAAAAACACCTAAAAAACGGCGAAAAATCGAGTTTTCTGCAGGTAGATCACCTCTGTCTTGAAGAAAGGGGGGTCTGGGGGGCGGAGCCCCCCAGCTTCGTCAAGTAAAAAAGTGACAAGGGTCAAGATCGTGTTATCTGTAGATGAAGCAACTCTATCTTGAATTAAGGGGGGTCTGGGGGGCGGAGCCCCCCAGCATGCAACACGTAAGAAGTAACCGACGATGGACAAGCCAATGCCTGCCGAAGGCAGGCTAGCGCCGCAGGCCAAGGTAGGTACGTCAGGCGCGGATTGGAGGAACAGGCCGCGAGACATCGCGAAGCCTGTTACGACAAGACGCGGTCTGGCGTAAACCTACCTTGTATTTGATTCGAATCAAACATTTTATTCTCAAATTGAGCATTTTTCTCACGCCTTTTGTCTCATGGATGAGACAAATGTTTGCTCAGGTT